TATACAATATTGCATGGTATTAACTTCTAAGATGAAATTTGTCAGCTAAATTAGAATTTTAGATATCGTGGGGTCTTAAACTTGATATTTAATTTATTTGCTTAAATTTGAATTTTAACATTGCAGCGTCTAAACTATAATATTCAATGCATTCAGCTTAATTAAAATTTTATATATTATTGTAGGGTCTTACCCATAATATTTAATTTATTCTGGTTAATTGAAATTGTAAATGTTATTTTAGAGTCTGAACTCTAATATCATATTTAGCCAGGTAAGCTTGAAAATATTGCATGGTATTAACGTCAATAATTAAACTAGTCAAGTAAATCTGAATTTAGATGATTTGTAGGGTCTTAACATTAATATTTAATTTTAATTTTATATAAAATTGTAGGGTCTTAACTGTCAGATTTAATTTATTTAGATAAATACAAAATGTATATATCACATCATATTTAGCCAGGTAAGCTTAAACTTTATACAATATTGTTTGGCATTAACCTCAAATGGAGCTAAACTCTTTGGCTGAGGTTCAGAAGCAGGAACACACCTCAGTCCCTCCACTTCCTGTCCTACGTCCATTCACATCGCTCTGCCCTCCCCACGTGTTCATTCTGGCTTCTCGTGCAAAGAAATAACACATGCCATCACTCAGCCACAAGTTTAGAAAACTCTGACTCACCATGGACCGTGATCCTGATCATCCATCAGCCCTCCATCCTGGCCCCAGACCTCCTCCACGCCGGTCAACCGAATCCATACCGAGACCCCGGAAACGAGGAGACCAGGCCGAGGGGGCGGGGGGCGTGGCGTCATCATGCTACTCGTAGCTCCGCCCACACACACACACACAAAAAAAAACTGACGCAGAAGAGCCTCCGGAGAAGCCCACTTATTCCCTCAAAGCACCCAGAAACACTCATCCTACGCCCACATTCCCGACAGTTCTCTTGATCATGCTCCTCTACATGAAATCTCCAACCAGTTCGCTGTTGGTCTTTAGAGACCTTAAGAGAAAGTCTTCACCTGACACTTTTCAAATGACAAAGTTAAACTATTTCATCATCTGACAAACTCTTTTAACATGTGATAAACCAAAACAGTTCTCTCCCGATTAGATGCCATGCTTTGCACCCGACCATGACATCACCATCTCCATAACTCCTCCCAGGTAGCCAGATGTAGTTCATCACACCCCCCCAGCAACCTACCCTAATGCAACCTGTTCCCAGCTCCACCACCTGCAGTCATTTCTTACCAACTCACCTATCCTCCCTTGAAACTCCCCAACAACCTTTTCCCTTCATATTGACAGATCCTCCCTCACTTAAGTGCAGACACCTGCAGGTTTGCTCCTTCTGCAGTGGGGCTTCCTCTCGAGCTGTTTACCCCGACAGCCTCGCAAAACACGACCAAGTCACTGATCCTACATCCACATTTTAGCACCAAAACACACACTCAGAACTCATCCAGCCCCAGACTTGTTCATCTCCAGATCAAGTGCCTTCGGACAGTTTCCACCCACGAGTCACCAAGATGCTGGTTTCACTGGCCTCCTTATACCTCGTCAACAGTCTACTTACACTGCTGGCACTGGTACCCCAGACTGACCCATCTCTATCCTCTCATTCAACAAATTCAGCTCCTATTCTGGCACCAAGATGCCAGTTTCACCAGCCTCATTATACCTCGTCAACAGCTAAAGATGCCAGTGGCACATACCTCCATTGTCCACACCAAGCCGCCCAGGAGGCATCTGAATTGGGAATCCAGACCACCTCAACTGGCTCCCTTTGATGCAAAGGAGCAACAGCTCTCTCAGAATGGCAAGCTCCTCAACCTATCTGAAATGCTATGCCCAGCCAACCTACGGAGAAGGCTCATTTTGGCCACTCGTACCCGCAATCACTCTTTCGCTTCAAGCAAGTCCCAACAACATCCAGAATTCTAGCACATTCCCATGCCACACTTTTCGTGTTGACACAGCTTCCAGCCGACAGGTTCTGGACCACATAATCAAAGCCATTGGCCTCGAGTGTATCTGCTTCTCATTTGACCAACCCTCAAGACCTGTGGTACGTTCACTTTGCTCGTTCAAGTCTTCACCAACACAACGCTCATCCAACAAACAATCAAGCTTCAGTTTATTGGTGTGGTCTCAGCTAGTGAATAATAAAATTAGTCCGGTGCAACATTATAGGGTTTTAGCCGTTATGCTAAATTTAGTCAGTTAAGCGATCATTTTATATATAATTGTAGGGCCTTAATCATAATATTTAAACTATTCAGGTAAATTTTAATAATAACTAGTGCTGTACTTTCTTGACCATCCACCCATTTTATTCTGTGGTTTGATCACTGACAACAGGCTAAGCAGGTCATTCCAGACGTCACGCACCCTAGCAGTACTTTCCAGTTTATCTTGGGCAATCCTAAGGCGTTTCCAGGCCAGATAAGATATTTAATTCCTCCTCAAGTTCTAGGTCTACCCGAGGGTCTCCGCTCAGTTAGAAGTGCCGGAAAAACTCCAAGGGAAGATACCTAGGAGAAAACCTAATCAGATGTCAAAATCAACACAGAGGAGCAGTGACTCTACTCGGAGTTGCCTCGGACGTCCAAGTTTCTCGCAGTATCTCTAAAGCTGAACTCAGTCACCTTGCAGAGGAAACTAATTTTGGACGCTTGTATATGGTATGTCATCCTTCCAGTCATTACTCAGAGCTCATAACCATAGGTTAGGGTTGGAATGTAGACCGACCGGTAAATCAAGATTGGGACTTCCTTTTCACCATGACAGTCTATTACAGTGCCGACTTTCTAACACAAAGACCTCAATGAACTGGAATCAAGGAGCAGGATAAACTCACTGGGGCCTCTATTCTAATATTTATGTTTGTTAGGTTAATTTGTAATGCCAATTCTTTCTCTACCAGAAAGCACTTTGGCTCTATGGCTGTTGTTTTAAATGTGCTATCTAGATAATGTTGACCATGAACACATGGTAAACAACGGTTGATGCCTCAGAGAGTGAATGGGGAAGAAGATGTAAGTGAACAAACTAGTTACCCACTGAGTTGTTTTCTCATTCTCTTGTTTGTAAAACTCACTCATGATGGATCCCAATAATTTCAGTATGATTATTCTGACCACAGATAACAGCTTTGGGCAACCCCACAACTGAAGTCTCCACAACATCATCTTCTCAAGTATTCTCTAATATTCTACTCTCTCGATTAGCTGTGATGGTAGCACTCTACTCATCTAAAGGTAAATCAGCAGTTTACATCACGTTAACTAACAATGCGGCTTTTTTATTGTTTTGATTGAGAGACCCCTAGTGGCAGAAATTACATTCTGCGCCTTTAATAATTAATTTAGGTAGTATAGGAACAATCACTGATAACTGTCTCCTAGATACTTTGATGATAGTTTGGAACAAGATGCTTCTAGTCAATACCTGTATTGTCCTGTTTTCAGTCACAGTCTTACGTAAGGATTAAACAACGAGGAACTGTTCAATATGAAAGTGGAACTAATGGTTTAATTAATGGGCATTAAAGTCAAGAACAGGTCTAAAATTGTCTTTGCCTGTTTAGTTAATAGTTTTCAGGTCATTAATGGGGCTGTCATGATCATGAAATTTTAGTTGATGGCAAGTTGTCATACAAATAATTGCACTTAACTATTTAATTGTCTTTTTCTGTTCATGTTATGCTTCTTAGTTTTAGATTAGTGGTATTAGCACCTTTGACTGCCTTTTTGCTGCAAATCCCACAAATTGCCTCTTCTAAGTTATAGGGCTGTCATTGTTTCATTTGGTTTAAACCCAAAATGTGCCCACAGCACACTGGTGTTTGGTTTTGCAACTAAATTCACGATGTTAACATCAACAGATGCTCATCAAAATGCAATTGGTCGAATATTAGAAATTAAGCGCCTTGAGACAACCAGCTGGTGCCATTAAACCACAGCACGAGAAAGAGATGCAAACAGTAGGAAACAAAGAGGAAGTAGTGACTAAACTGTGACGTGTCTGTTGGCTTCATCCAGCTGTTTCGTACAGGTGAATGGAAAGGATTGTCACGATTTTGCAAAATGATTACGGCAGCTGAAATAAAAGGGGATTTAATAATAACTGTGACAAGCCTTGTCATTATTTAGTCGGTAATAAAAGAGTCACGACTTCACAGCAGCAAGTTTGCACAGAAAATGGTACAAAAAATGACTCACTTTGGAAATATTTTAACCAAGAAATCTTAACTCAAGGGTCTTAACTTCAAGTGGTTTATGCCTTCTGGCTTTCTTTCAGGCTATTTTTTTTTTGTAAATATATACATTTACGTATTTTGGTTTTCAGCTACCTTAACACATGGTGGATGTACAGTAAGTGGTTATTGTGCGTCTGTCCATTGTTTAACCTCATACAGACACGTAGGGATTGTGGCGAGCCATTGTGATTTGTGGCCTGACAATCAAGCCGCTGGTTGTCATCAAGGCACCGCAGACTCCTCGGACTCCCGTTGCTGAGACTCATCAACACAGCCTGGCATTATTCAACCTCACAGCACGTGATGCTTTTTGCCAGGCCACAGCGTTCTTCCCCATGCCGCTTTCCCATGCAGCAGCCATTCTCCCTGTGCTGTCCTGAATTTCAATGTATTATGTTTCGCGGTGGGGGTGCAGGTTCCTGTGTGCATGCAATAGATGGAGGCATTGATGTAGATGTGGCCCCTGTGTGTACGTGTGTGTGTGTGTGTGTGTGTGTGTGTGTGCGTACACATGCATGTGCTTCCCATTTGTTTCACTCATGACAAACAGAAGCAGAGGAACCTGTGCTGAATAATATACGAGTCCCATCATCACATAATGGCCATAATAACTTCTTAATTGGCGTGTAGAACATTGTGTTATGATGAGATGAGCTGCACACAAGTTGGACTACTGGGTTTAATTTGCTTCACTCAGTGTCAGGAAGAGAGGAACTACTCCACTAATAATCACAATTTAATGTTCAGATGTTTATTGGAACACATAAGTTCAATATGATGAGACAGTCTCAACGAACAGGACACGTTCAGATGATATAACAACTGTGCAGGAAAAAAAAAAGTGATCAGAAACATTTAAATCAGCATCATACGTGTTTACAACACGGAAGGTCATGTCGTGTGATGACATCATGGCAGGTCTGGTTCAGTAGGCGACTGCTTTAGTTTCCGCCTCGATAAGACATCTGGCATGTCTGAAGAAGTCCTGCAAAAGATCAGCGCGTGAGTCATGCTGTATACAACGTATGCTGTATTGTGTGTCTGTGAAGCCATCTTTAGAAAAACAGAAAAAGTTCAGAGCATGATTTGTTTAAGGGCCTCTATTCATAATGTCTTCCTTCTATTTGCATCAACCAACATCACTTTATTTCCCCAACCATCCAAAAGATGATGTAAAGTTCATTAAACTCCAGAGAGCACTAAAATGACTGAACGGCAAAAACAGTGTTTTGCTGTATTGTCTGGCTTGTTTCACAAGTTTTTTATTTTAAGATATTTTTTGGGCTTTTCTGCCTTTAATGGATAGAACAGTAGAAGAGAGACATGGGGAAAGGACATGCAGCAAATGAGCCACTGGCTGGAATCGAACCACAGCTGCTGCATCGGGGACTATAGCTCCCGTACATGGGTCACCCGCTCAACCTGTTGAGCTGTCTGGGCACCCTAGTTTCACTAGTTTAAATCATGTTTGACTGTCTACATATATATATATATATTAACACTGGTTTGCAAAATATGAAGCACTAAATATTTCACTAAAGGTATGGAAACCCTGAGTGGCAAAAAGGTCGACGTACACTATGTTTAGTCTGAAACAGGTCAACACATGGAATGTAGGTTGATGAATGATTTAATCTGACAAGATTGAAATCCATCCAGTATCTGGGTTACTATAGCAACCACATCCAAAGTGACTGTTTGACTATGAAAAGGAGGTGATACCTTGTAATGTTCACTTTCAAAAGTCCCCTTTTCTCCTCTAAATTACTTGGAGACCGTCAAAAAAAAAAAAAAACGTTCTTATGTAAGGTGTTTTGTTGGCTCTTTAAAAGGACAGTTTGACTGATTTAAAAAAAAAAAAAAGTCTTTAACTTGAAGATGACTTCAAAAAAAGTGCATGTCTTGTTATAGTGAGAGCATTTTGTCCATGAATCGGTGCAACAGATTAATTTTGTCAAAGCATATACAGTTTTTGGCATTTTTTCACCTTCACTTATAGATTACAGCATGAAATACGATGACTGGATATACCACAAAAACTCTTAAAATCTTAAAAAGAGCAGCACAGGATGAGATTCATATTAGCTCAATGCGCATTAAGTGAATCTCTGTCACTGTAGCAAGCAAGTATGTCTTCATTATCTGTGTTGACAGATTACATAACAGGCAGAAAGCAGGGTGTGAAAATAGAGCAATATCTAAATATTGTTCCTTTGAGAATCACATGCAATATTTGTATGAGCTTGACATTTTTGGAGGAATTAAGATTACACTTTTATCAACCTACTGACATGTTGTTTTTCCAACAATGTCCGTCAGGCAAAAGCTGATTTACACAGTAAGTTTTAGGAAATTAAAAGCACTTTAATTTTGGGGAAATATTATAATCATGGAAACTGTACTGCAGAAAAAGGTGTCTTTAAGGTTAGGAAATGAGTGCGGTTCCAAACATCTGGTATTTAAGTCAAACAGATGGACAGTGTTGGGTTCATACCCCTCTTCTGGGTTGATCTCAGTCACTGGTCCGCCCTCCACAAAGGTTCCCATACGGCTCTTAGAACGTTCCAGATTCATTTGACTCTGAGTTCCTGACAAGAACACAAAACAACACATGAAACACCGAATATAACTTTAAATGTTTCAGTGGCTCATGTAAATCAGAGAGCTGCATCGTACGATGAAGGTCGAGAGGAAGCAAAGTCACAAAAGTGCACACAAATACTCGGACTGTCTATTACGTAGTCGCCTGTCTTAACCAGTTAAAACAGCTGCTTACAGCAACATATATGAGTGTCAACAAAGGAAACTGATTTATTGTAGCCATGATGGGAATTCTCTGAATGCAAAGGAAACAAAAGGAGATAATACCATTTAGCTTTACATGTAAATGTGGCACTCTTTAAATTTGCAATACTTTTGATGCATAACGCCAGGGTGTTAAAATCACACGTCTCTGCTTAAATGATCACTGTTAGTGGGATTTACAGACAAATGACGGCGGCGTTACATAAGCAAACAAAGCTTCACTGACTTTAATGGTTTGATCTGAATAGTTTATGCATGTTTTCTTATCTTAGTCTACTTTGTTGTTTATAGTGGAGCACAATAATACAGATTTATTTCAAATTTTATTAATATTTAATACCAAAACAATATTAATTGCATTGCATTGCTACATGATGTGACTGTATGATATATTTAGTTAAAGGATTTTATGCATCAACTGATTGTTATCACCTTGAAGTGTGAATAAGGTGGCTATTATCTCCTCCACATCATTCCTTGATCTCATAATGGGGTCAAAAATGGTTATAAAAGGAGAAAAAAAATGCAGTTCCTTTTGCTGCACCCAGTAAAGAGAAGGCTGGTGTTCTCTAGTTACTGCCTATTAGCTCTCCATTGTACCTACAGAGGCTTTTTTATCAACACAAGAAGGACACAGGGATGGATCAGTATCAAGTGAATGTTATCTTTATTAATTAGCTGCCTCTCTGTGAGGACACTGATTTCACTCACCTTCTCGTCTGAGCGTCTCAGCTGGTTGATCCGGAGCGGGATTGGCAGACGTTGGGTGCACTCTAAAGTTTCCTGAGAAATTTTGAGAGCCAAAATGTTTCTTGGATAGAAAAACAAAAAATCTTTTACTAATGCAGTGAGCAAACGATCAGATGACTTACCAAAGGACGGAAGAATGTGGTTGATGTTCAGCCAGGCTTTTATAAAGGGGTAGATTGATATGAGCAGGCCTGGGAAAGCATAAAATGCAATTAATTTGATGGATGATACTGTAGAAAAACACTGGTTTCACTATGTTTGCCTTATGGTTGACGAAAAATAAGTAATAGCACAAATAATTGTGGTCTTAATGTGAATATTTGTCACAATCTTGGTTTAAGAAGAAATGATTCATATTGTATGCTCTGCTTGGAATTATAGTGGCATAAAAAGAAACCAGGAGTGGAGGCAAATGTTTTGTGCAGCAGAGTGAAATCTCATTACAAAGGGATATTACATTTCACTACATAAATCTAATCACCTGCAAATTCCAAATCTGCTAATTTAATTTGTCCAACTGTTTCAGGTCTGCGTTTGATAACTGTGAGTCACACCGGGAGGCTAGAAAATAAAGAAGTTCCCACACTCGGAGGCATCGCGACCAACAAATGAGACTGTTTGATGAAATATCTATTCTCCAACTGAAATCCTCTTGACGTAACCTGCGGATTATTTTCAGCGTGCCAGATACAGCGTGCGTTGTTTCCTCCTGTTCAACTCAAAGTATAAAGTAATATCTGAACTGCAGGGCTTGTGTGCCTCTCAGTGGCACTGCGCTCCAATTCAACACAGTTATTGATTTCCCTTATAAGCCAGAAGAGCTGGCATTAAATCCTGGCAGGTCCTGAGGGTGGCTGTGATGCATGTCTGTGCTTAAAATGTCATGAAACTGCAGAAGGAGTGAAAACAATCTGCCGAGAACACTCTGTTCATACTCATTAGTCAGCCTATGTGTTGGAGGAGGCATAACGGCACACAAGCCCCAAAACGCATAATTAGACGCCACTCAGCTGCACAGACGCTGCCGGAGTGAACGTCTCTTGTCGAGGTGCACGCTTCTGATTTCCCCCCAAAAATTCCTCGTGCCCATCAGAATGATCAAATTAATTATTGAAAGCCGATCAAGTCATCAGCGTGAATGTGTTTCACATTAACTATGCATGCATGCCGATGTTGTCGTCGGCAGATCAAAAGCCCTGCCCTTTGCTCTTTCTCTCCAGGAAACCGGTTAAGACACTCCTTTATCTTGGCAGCGCAGGTCCTCCGGCTATCAGCTGGTTCCAGTTACACTCTTGTATCAGATGAACGCTGGATGGAAAATGTCACAGGCCGCAGATCTTTCGCCTGAGTTTTTGACATTTCTTTTAAACAAACGTTGTGTGTCCTGCTCCGACCAGACAGCACTTTCCTTCACTTTTTAACTGTACATTAGAATTGCTTCCTGATTCTACTGTAAATGTAAAAATGACAACGCTAACAATATTTGCAAATACAGCCATTCTTCTTGTTCTACAATTCTATTATTTCATTTATCCAAAGCGACGTATTTCTGAGAGCGAATACAACACAAGCAAGGATCTAGTCAGGAGAAAACAAGGAGAAAACCTTTTCACATTTGCTTCTATCACAAATAAATCCTTAATGTATTAATACAATACATTAACAAATATGAATTCCTTTGTTTTTCAATAACTCATTCACACAGAAATGTACTATATGATTTGCTATGTAGTGATGTAACTAACTGTGTAGGCTAAGTTACTTGCTAAAGATGTCTCACTCCCAGTTTGACCTCAAAATGTTCTAAAACTGTTGTAAAGACTCATTTAGGAGGGGTAGCGCTGCTTAAAAAGTTCTGTCATCACCAACCACAGATTAGCAGATTCAGTGTGTCATGATTTAGAGCTGTGGTCTCTGACAACACAAATGTAAACTATCTGTAGTGGCCTGATGACTTGTCATTACCTAAAAATGACCCTGTTTTGAGTAGTCCAGGATCCCAAAGTGACATGTTTTCAATCACACTAACAAATCTTTCAACTGTGAGAGAGAAAAAATAACTGCTCAGACAAGAAAAGCAATCAGGATTATCAATAACAACTTCATAGTTTTCCCATAAGTTGTTCCTAAAAAGCTCCACACACACTCACCGAGGCCTCCCGCTCCCAGGAAGATGCCCCCTACAGCATCAGCGTCACACTCTCTGGACACACCGATGATGATGCAGCCCGCCACAATGCTGAGCAGGGCCGAGCCCACCCGCAGCCCATGGTACTCCCCGACGCTGACAGGGTTCATTCAGCAGGTGGAGGCCCCCCACCTGCCCCACACACACATGCACACACACACACAGAGTGAACTGTCCCGACACTTTGCTCCGCTTAAACTTGGGCCCTCACTGCTCGGGGCAACTTTACTGTCATCTGCATGAGCCTCGCCCCTCCCCGTCTTTCACTCTCCCTGACACAGAAACACTTTCGCTGGCAGAGCCTCCATCTCCACGCCGTGTTTCTCAAGACGTCTCATGCATCTTTAAAGATGGAGCTCTGGTTTCCATTGCCAGTGAAAATGAGAAAGCTTGGGGCGCCGACTCTTATGACAGCGATACGCAGGCTACAAATCTGATCACAGGCCTTTTCGTACCAGCGCTGGCATCCAGTGTCATGTACGTCGAGTGTAATTTACACAAAATTACCAGTTAAATGACAAACAGCCAGCGTGTTAAGGACTTAAAGGTAAGAGATAGCAGTGTGACTACAAGGGCAGAGCAGCACAGAGACACAAAGAGAGAGAAGGGGCGACAGTCAGAGTTCGACTATGTGCTACTTGTGTGATTTGTCTGCGAGCTTGAAGGGAATGTGTAATGAAAGGTTCAGAGAGTCCTCTACGGTGGGGGCCCGAGGCCATCCACAAAGGCATGCAGTTGCCATAGGAATAGCATATCCATGGCAACAGAGGCAAAAAGAGGGTAAGCAGGATTAGCACCGGTGAATAGGATAACAAATGAACTTACTGGGTGGAGGAGAAACAGTGACACGTTTCCTGTTCAACAAGTGAACTCCGTCTTTCCCCACCGCCACATGTCGGCATTCATGTCTGCATCTAATTATTATGTTGGTAATGTAGTGTGTGTTAGATACACGACCAATATGGACTGAGTCGTGAGAGTCTTGTAACTCGCAATCCCTTGTCAAACTATATATATTTCTAGTTGCATTATGTTTTATAGACCTGAACAGCTAAAACTTTTGCCAGAGTAACCGTCATATATTCTTTCAATAAATTCAAAAGCTGCATTGTCTATAAAATTGCCAGGTTCCCATCAACACATTAGAGAAAGTTGTAATATAGAGAACAGAACATGTGAAGTATTTGTAAAGCTCAGCCCACCCGCCCTATACAGACCTGATCATTGACTGTGGACGGCAGGAACAACTGTCCTGTTTTCACAAAGTCACATCAACATCAGGTGATGCACCTGTTTAAAGCAACAGCGCGTCTTTTACGCAGCTGCTGAAGAAACTAAATCTGGACTGCATATCTAAAGTGGTCCTGTTTTCTGATTACACTACACTTAAATGATTTGGGAAGTGTTATCACTTGGATGCAAAAATGGTGTTGGGAAGAGGTGCTGGGAAGCTCAATATAAAGTTGTGACTTCGTCCTCTGAAAGGGAATACTGCGATTTGTTGTGTTTTGGATCACAGAAAAGTCCCTCACTTTTCTAGATCTACAAGGTAACTTGGGATGACAGATTAAAAAACAGATCTGGCAATATTGTAGCTGGTGCAGGAATTCTGTACACTTTAATTAGCAAGTATAGCTTGTCTCACCATCAGGAAAGTAATCTGACCTGGGCACAAGAGTGGGCACTATTTACTTTTTTGTGTTTGCCATTACTTATAAACACTGATCATAATGTCTGCACTAAGATCTGGTTATAAACACACACAGCCGTGTTTCTCGTAGGTTAAACATGACATCTTCACTGTTGCACATGCAGCAGTACCATGGGCCAATGCTGGATGGAAAAAGAGGAAGCAAACAAAACGTATGCGTTGGCCGGGAATCGAACCCGGGTCAACTGCTTGGAAGGCAGCTATGCTAACCACTATACCACCAACGCCTTGGAAGTTCCCGCTAGGAGACCCCTAATTCAGTGGACTTCGAATAGAGATGCGTACAAGAACCTTTTTTCTTTTTCTTTTTTTTTTTTATTTCGTCGTGCATCCATTTTTCTCCTTATTCCGGCAGCGATGCAAAAGGAAGCAGCAGAGGAGAGCTGCAGAAGGAGGGAAATGAGGAGCAAGTATACACAGATAATTACATGGAAGTGTGAAAATCATAACGCTGCGTTGGTGCTGAAAGTGCAAAAAAAAAAAACATGTCAGCCTTTCATGCAGCTGTCAGTCGCATTTGTGGGCGAGTTTAAGCATTGAGCCCTAAAACTTCAGTCACGTGTAAAGCTAGCAATAATGGTTAAGGAAAGTCACTCCTTATGCACTTCCAAAGATTCATCTGCAGAAACTATTTAGTCAGCAACGTCAAAAGGAGTGATGGCCCGTACGGGGATCGAACCCGCGACCTTGGCGTTATTAGCACCACGCTCTAACCAACTGAGCTAACCGGCCACAGACGTCATAGGCAGAGTCGTGTTCCATATTGGCTGGATACGTTATCCGCATACAACATGTCCTTATTTTTGTGTGACAACAAAATATCAACAAAGAAGCACCTCTTCTTGCCATCAAATGTAAATTATTGATTTAAAAAAAAAAAAAACATTTCGGTGGCACACTTTTTTTTGTTTTACTTATTCCCAGATTCATAGGGATATATCCAGTTCACCAAATACGATAATCGTGCAGTTTTCTTTTTTTCTGAGATGAACTGATTCTTTTTCTTTTACATCAAATAGGGAATACGCAGACGGACCGATGCAAAAGCGGTTACAGCGTGCACATATTTCTGTTTATTTTCTCTGTCCAGTCTGTACACTGTATCAGACCTCGTGGCGCAACGGTAGCGCGTCTGACTCCAGATCAGAAGGTTGCGTGTTCAAATCACGTCGGGGTCATTTCTTTATGCTGACAACTGGTCTATGATGTCAACAAGACGTTTTTCCACATTGTACCACCTTTTACACTATTTCTACAATAACTGAGAAAATCACAACAGCTGTGCCAAGTAAATTCTCCAAGATGTGCCTTAAAACTTCTTACTGAATCACTCTGTTTGTGTTCCTCTACTGAGAATAACAACACCTGTTGACTATAGGGATACCTGGAAGTGTTGTGCTGTTCTGTCAACATCAACCACAGACTAAGTACATAAGAAGAGTCACCGTATTACATCATGATTTACAGCTGTGGTCTCTGCAACCACAAATGCAACATGCACATCTGTAGCGGCCTGATGACACATGGCTTTATTTAGAATTTACACTTGTATGCAAACATCTCTGCAGAAACAAAAAGATAAAGCCAAAAACAAAAAGCAATTAGGATAATTAAAAACCAAACAACAGCTTCCCCGTCACAGCTCTTAAGACCGTTTCACACACACTTACCGAGGTCATCAGCTCCCAGTTATTTACCTCCAACAGGATCACTCTCAGGAGACTCCAGTGATGTGTAAATCTATAGAGAACAGCAGCTGCCGACAGTTGGGATAGCCTAAATCCTGTTTCTTTTGATCCATGTTGTTATTTCTGCAAGTGCAGTCGCTATTCTTATGTCTGGAAATGACAGAAAACAAACAAAAATAACATGAAAGTCAGCTTCTGATTCTAAAATTTTAGCGTCTGAATTTCAGTTGAAATACACTTTGGACTGTCAGAAAAAAAATAATCCAACATCAAAACATGTTATATTATATTATATTATATTATATTATATACATTGTGAATACGTATTATGTATTCAGCACAGGCACAAGCAAGCGTATTACCTGTCCTGCTTTAATTATTTTTTTCCAGGATGATGCATTTCTTCAGAGTGCCTCATCATGTACCATAGTTTGCTGCTTTACCTTTTCTCTAAACAGATCCTGTCTCCTGCTTGTTGTACTGCAGGACAAACTGGTGTGAATAACCTTTGTGCCAAACCACTCTATAAAAGAAAATGGAGCTACTTTGTCGATGACAAATAAAATACTGTCAATAATTCAGACCAAAGAAAGAAGAAAAAAAACAGGGCTCGTCCGGGATTTGAACCCGGGACCTCTCGCACCCAAAGCGAGAATCATACCCCTAGACCAACGAGCCAGCCTGACAGTACCGCGTACTGGATGGGTTGAGAAAATTCCCAACTGTTACAGAGTCAGTTGTCTTTAGGTCTGTTCAGGTCCAAGTACGCGGATGCGGAACCGGACAGAGGCAGAAATGTATTTAAATTGTCGATAAACTTTTTGACATTGCAATATTAATTGAACAGGGATGACGTAATAACTAGCAAAATGTCTAAATGTAGCAATTCCACGTGCTAGCGTTGTCTCTTTGTTTAACTGAATTTTAATTTTAAATTTAAAACGCTTGCTAAATACCGATATCAGTTAGGGGCAGTCTATGCTCAGCGGTTGGGTAAAGATAAGACGTTGTATTGTTTATCTATATTCCAGCCAGATTAACTGATGGAGATAAAGTTTAAAGCCAGTCCCACAGCAACATTAATCTCAAAAACACTTTGCAACATGACACAACAAATCACTTAATAGCTAACAGTTAGCATGTTACATTAGCTTGCTAATAGCTAACTTTTTTTTTCAGCTAACCTCTTTAATCTCTGTTAGTAAAATCACATACCTAAATCCATGAAGTTAGTGTGGAATATGGACACTTGCTGTGACCGCAGCACCAAATGGGCGGATCACTGGCCTCACCTGTTGGCATGTTGACATCTGTTAACCTGCTGGTTGGGTTGGGTCGGATGGCCTGCACCTACAGCTACACCCAGTCTGTTGAGCGTTATGCAAGAGTGCAGCAGTCCTCAATGTAGGCAAATCATTGTGTGTAAAGACACTGAAGGGACTACACTGTATTCAACATCAGCTTTAAAAGGTGAAGCGACCAACTTTAGACTGAGCCTCATTCTTCCTCAAAGACTTGGACTGACTTTATTCATCTCAGAGGGAAATTCAGTTGTTAAAGCAGCATGAATAGACAACAAAGGGGGTAAACAAAGCAAGAAGACAACACAGAATAGAAGAAAATAGAAATAAAAAAAATAACTGTGGTGAGAAAAAAAACACTGTAAAAGTGAAAATACTACTCTAGAAGTTTTTTTTTTTTTTTTTTTTCAGAAACAGTCTCAGTGCACAGTTCTCATGGCCTTGTCATTGTTATTTAAGGACTTAAATAATATTATAAATACTTTTGTCACTGTCATTTGGTACACTTGCTTTTGTTTTCTTCACCTGCTAGCACCCGCCTGGATATCTGTCTTGTAACACTTGCTGTTTATTTGAGTTGTGACACTTAGACTTATAAACTCTATCGATCCACAGGAGGGAAATTGTTTGATCACAGCACCGACACAAAATAAATATGTATATAAGAATATAGAAGAGATAAAAAATAAAATTAACAAAAGAGTGGGGAAAAAAAAAAATACAGACAAATAATAAAAAGAACAATAACAACAGAAGTTGTCTGATCCTATAAACAAATCTTTGATCATTCTTTAACTTGCCAGTGTTTCACATGTCATATGTGAAAACCTGCTTGGCAGTAAAAGTGATTGTGGTTCTGACAAATACTTATGTTGAATGTTGCTTAATGTTGAAATGATTCTGATTTTATTTTCAAGCCACTTGTGGTAAACATCATACTGTCTGTAGGCTGCCTCCTGTATATTTTGTTATTTATTTTTTTAAGCATCCTTATAATTAACGTACTAATAATGACTATTGTTTGCTTGGGTTTTACCCAGAAATGCCAAAGGGTGTTTTTGTTTTTAATAGCAGGTTTATCTGTGACAGTAATCCACACTGTTATTAACATTTAAATAGTTTAATTATGTTATATTGCATGTGAATACATTCAGAGGGTGTGTGTGAGAGGCTTACATTATGATGGCACATAAGGCCCCTTTGTCAACACTTCAGATGTGTAAAGACAACGTAATACGCGCTTTATTTAAAGGTCATCTCATGTTACTCGGCTGAGATGAGTGAGCGCACTTTGTACTACACGAGGATAATAAATACAGTGCGGTAATATTCACCATTGTTTGCCAATACGTACCAGTCAGCAAATCTTTCTACGGCATACGGGTTTATATGTGCTGTCATGTGACCCACACTCAGCCATCTTGTGGAAAACGAAGAGAGAGAGAGAGAGAGCCCAGAGAGAGCCACACAACTCAAACCTTGTGCTGTCAGAACAAGCAGAGGTAAGACAGCCAAAGTTTAATACACTAGCGAGGAAAAATCGGACATTCAGGTTAAGTGCCATGTCAGAGGGGCAAATTCTGGCGAGCTGGGGTGCTCGGGACTGTTGTTAAACCACCATGTTTACTTGGCCTTGCAGCACCGGGCTCCAGTGGCTCCATGTGCGGGCCCAGGCCGTGTGAAGTGCGGGGTGGTTTGACAAGGAAACGTTGTTGTGGGTCCAGGCTGCTCGGGAGGCCGCGTGTAGCTAGTTAGCTAACCTGTTAGCATGCTAGCTACAAGTATTGAGTATAGGGATTAATTTAATGCCGAAACAGTGTTACAGTCGCTATGTAGTATATATCACACACCTTCCTTTGTGTTGGTCAACGAAATTAGCGTCAACACACACGTATTAGTTCATGTGAGACAGCCGCTACGAAGGGATAAAACGGTGCTTGCTAGCAAGCTAGCTGGTTGGCCAGTTGCGGCTAGCTAACGCGCTACATGAACCATCATTGGCTGTCGTCTTGCTGGCTAGCGAAAATACTCTGGTGTGGCACCAACATGCAGCAAAGTGGCATTTTAGCCACAACCACCCTCAACCTTTCAGTAGAACCACAACTCTACTGTCAGCTTTTAACCGACCGGACATGTGTTGGCTAATGTCACTAAGTAATGTCCAATAAATGGTTAAGATAACCATGGTAGTTGTTTATTTGACTGGTTAGCTTGCTACGCTGGCTAACGCAATGTTGGCAGCCGAGGGTGATTTCTACTTAACCTTCCTGTGTGACTATTACGTCTCGTAATGATTATTGGCAGCCAACTTTTAATATTATCCGCTAAAGTTAGCGTCTGTGTGATCTGGAGTTGTAGGTTGGGCCGGTTTGGCTAACGTTAGGCAACGTTAACCGTGTGTTTCCTCTCGTTGGGCTTGGCGTTTTTAAAAGTGGAGTTTTAGAGAAGCTAACAATCCCCAAAAAACTTTGCAACTGCGTAATGATCTGTCGGGTTTTTTTTCCTGCTCACTCAAGCCGCATTGCCTCATATCACAAATGTAATCTGACTTTATCAAACTGATAAAAGTTGTTGTGAACGGATTGGGCGTTTGGTTAGCTCGGGAGCGATAATGATTTCAAACATTTCATAACGTTGTGTAAACTTAGCCAGTCAGAGGGTTCGCTTTATGTTAGCGATGGTAAATGTGAGAAACGTGTCGGGGAATTGCCATAAATGTCGCTAGCTCCGCTCGAGTCGCTCTATTTATTGCTTTAACTAGTAACTTACACGTGGCTTATCCAGGCTTCCATATGGTCAGTGGTATTGTGAGTCCACTGTCGCCTTTTGTGTCCGATATATGAGGAGGGCTACGCAGCAAATCCCCACATTGAAGCCTTAATGTAACAGGAAGTCTTTGGAGTGAAGACATCCACGTAAACCAACACGTTATCTTGTTGGCATAACGTGATTATTTTGTGGAGTTTATTTGCTGGGAGTTGTCAATTACAGGTGTCTGACATACCCTCCTTCAGGCTCGGAGCCTTCCTAAAATAGCTTGAGCAGATTTGAAATCGTACACGGCTGGTGTGCGAGTGGGATGGTCTATATCCTGAGGAGCAGGAATACATTAAAGCCAGCGACAACACTTTGGATATTTTTACCAATACTATTGGATTATGCGATTATTTCAGGCGTGTTTGAGAAGATTGTTGTTAGTTTTTCTTCATTTAAGTTTGTAGTAATAACATCGAATCAATAAAAACACGAGCTGAAATGGGACAGCCCTGCAGTTCCACTGTTTTTATAAAAACATATAGTAGCTGCACTAGTACACATCTCATTTTTCTAGTCAACGCATGCACAAAAGCATTTTCTAGGAAGTACAGTTAATACAGCTATTGGTTGCATCATAAGTATATGAACTACATTAAAATCACAGAGCAGTAAATTGTTAGTGAATTTGTTTTAGACAAAATAAAACACAGCTACATATGCAGGATGTTGCTGTTTCTATGCAGTGTGGATCAACTGTGTGTCACTAATCCTTTCTCTTCCTCTGCATACTTCTAGAACTTCAAGGAAGAATGGCCGAAACCCAGACACTTAACTTTGGACCAGAATGGTAATTACACTGGCATGAAATAGTGATTATTGAGTGAAGTGATTTTTAGGTTGTGAAACGGGTTTTATTTTCAGACTGACGGCAGCTTTTCCATACATGTTAAGACATGCCATTTGCCACCTCAGCTTTAGGGCAGTCTCCCGTTCCTCTTTCTGTGATGCTGTTAATACGATTTCTCTCTCTTTGCAGGCTCCGTGCCCTGTCTGGAGGTGGTGGCAGCGGTGGTGGTGGAAGCAGCAACGCTGTTGCCTCTCCACCCCTCTCACCTGCATTGCCAAAGTATAAACTTGCAGACTATCGCTACGGGAGAGAAGAAATGTTAGCACTTTATGTAAAGGATAACAAGGTGGGTAGTCTATAATGTCTGCGTCTTAGCTGTCGATACAGGCTCGCAGTCATTGAGACTTGCATACAAATTATGTTACTGCCAAGATTAGATTTTTGCCTTCCTTATTTGTTGTGTCATAACACAGTCTTTCACAGCTTTGTGTTTCCTAGCAGTGAAGCCTGTGATTATTCTCTCATCCAGATCCCTATAGACCTACACGATAAGGAGTTCCTGCCCATATTGCAAGAGGAGCCCTTGCCACCTCTGGCACTTGTGTCTTTTACAGAGGAAGAACAGGTAGGAGTGCTTGTCCTAACATCAGGCCACTGGCTTGGTGAGAAATGGTAAGATCAGAAACTGTTTCTGATTTACCAACCGCATTAAATCAATGAGATTAATGCCTGAGGCAGGTGGCTTCTTGTTGTCATGTCTTGGAATCTACACGACTTTTGTTATCAAGACTGTCAAATACAGAGCAGGTGCAAAGACGAGAGCTGAGAGCTGGCTTTTTGTCCCCCTTGCTCCCCTCCCCTCTGTTTGTGTTTGCAGAGAAATTTTTCCATGTCTGTAAACAGTGCAGCTGTACTTCGGCTGACAGGGCGAGGAGGTGGACCGATAGCAGGGGCACCAAGAGGCCGAAGTACCTCAAGGGGTAGAGGTAAGAATTCAACTCAGATCATGCATGAGTGTGGCATGCTTCCTTTAATCATTTTCAGGATGAGTTGCTGCAGGTAAGTCTACGCCATGGAATCAACACAATACGTTTGATTTATAAAATGAACCTTTATTTTAGCTATTTAGTTGCTCTGTGTTGCAGTTTCAGAAGAGCAACAACAACTGCAGATAGTTCAGATGCCTGTGATGAGCTCACCAGTTTTCTCCCAGTTTGACACAAGGGGTGTAACGTTACCCCACTATAGGTGTTGTGCTTACTCAGCATGCTTCAACCTCAGCTGCTTGAACTCATCAGTAATGTGCGTTAAATGTGGAAAAAAACGTTCTGAAAACATCGTTCCTATTTGCACAGACAGATTGAAGATCAATAAAAACATTTTGTCATGCCATGGTACAATATGTTTTCCTGTTGGTCAACCTCAGGCGCTTAGACCTTAGTACACAGTTGTACAGTTATTATATTGTGAGTCCATGTGTTGTATTTACTTTCTCAGAACAGAATCTAGGTTTACTGTAGAACAGCTTCTCTCTGTTTGTCACTGCAGAGACAGTCCAGGCTTTTCAGGGATGTTACCAACTAGTAACCATGCTAAATTATCCTGAAATCAATTTTTAGTTGCAGTTCTGGGAATGTCCTTCACCGCTTAAGATCCTGTTGGCTGTACAGTTGTCCTCTTCACATGTCCAGCTTGAGGCAAAGACTGTGGGTGGAGTTCAGATGTAATCCAAAGCATGTCTTAAGATTCATACACTGACCTGAATGTGTGTATCGGTCAGTCATTTTTATTCATACTTTTCCTGACCTACTAAAGGCAGAAAGTTTATACAGAATGTTTGTCTATAAATCAATGTATTCATCAGTACAAGGAGTCAGACATTAGTAGTTGGTCATAATATTGTTACTTTACACAAAAGTCTATTAAAATAAAGCAGCACACTGCAGCCAAACTGTCTATGTTGAAGGATGTTGTCTATGAATCATGTAGAGGACAGATTCAATTAAAAACCACAAGAGCTGATTTATTGTACATCTTCTGAGTGAAAAGGCAAAAGGAGAGTTCACCATGATTCAGCAAATGTGGGTAATGGAAAATGGTAGATCAGTTGTGCGTGTGTGTGTTTGGTTAGGACCATTTAATATTCACTCAGTGTATTTCAGTAGAGTAAGTACAGCCTCAGAAGGTGGCTACAGACTTTTTGATCACCTGCTGAGAAAAATCTCCCCACTCCCAGGGGTTGGACCACGTTTGTTGCTTCGATCACAACGTCGACCTCAAAGCCAAGTGTTTTGCGAGAAGTTACACACAATAATGATTAGTCTAATAACACGTCCAAATGTGGAGACAAAAAATTGCAAAATAGCAGAAAATAGTCGTGGCGATGATAGCACAAGTGGCAGCATATGATCATAGGTGACCAGAGGTGGTGTTGCAGATCTCTGTTGGGGGAGAATTCTCCAATATGGGGGCACTGAAGGCTCTGTCCCCAAAGGTCAGCAGGTTAGCGTCAGCGATGGTGAGCACACCCAGGTCTGAGGACAACAGGTTCTAACAGAGTACAGGGATGGCCATCAGCAGCTCAATCTCATTATTATTGTATAAGGTCATGTGGATTTGTGATTGTTTTCAGGGCGGGGAAGAGGAGATGGAGGGTTTTACCAAAGAAGTTTTGATGATGTGGAAGGTTTTGGTCGTGGAGGGAGGGAGATGCATCGCTCCCAAAGCTGGGAAGAAAGGTACTAAAATATCCATCTATCCTGTGAAGTATCGCAGTAAATCTGGCCTCTTTTTGACCATGTATAGGTGTGTAGTATGATGTTTTGCCAGACTTTACATAATGGCTGTTCTATTTTTTCTCACCAGGGGAGATAGAAGATTTGAAAAGCCAGGTCGAAAAGACCCAGGTTAGTTAGTACATTTTGTTGCTCAAATAATCAATACATGATGTTTTTTTGGCAAATGCACTGACTTACCTTCTTGTTGCTCTCTACAAATGTAGTAGATGCTGCTCCAGGACATTTTCAGATCAATCACAGTGAGTACAAGTTTAATAATTGACCTATAGAATGTTAAGTAGGTGTAAATGATGCAAATTCTTTTCATATTTGTTCATTGTTTTTTAATTTCTGTCAGATTTCTTTTTCAATGCTTAAAATGAGTCTTAATGGCTTCTCCTTCCTTCTCCTACTTTTTGTAGTCCGAGGCAACTATGAGGACGGTGGAACAGGGATACCAAGGAAGCACGACTTCACTCGTTCAGAGAGTGAGAACTGGCGTACTTCTCGTGATGATCAGAACGGTGAGGATGATGAGGGGGGCTGGCGCCTGGCAGGTTCTCGACGGGACAGTGACCGGTGGTGCCCCCCGAGCCCAGGTGGGCACTGCACTGACCATGATCACAATACATTTATCTCTGATAAATTATCTTTGATAAATGTATTTGTGGTATAGCGGCATGTTTGTTATATGACCCATTTAGGGAAACAAATTTGTGTTTCACTAGCTGTGAACGACTGAGTGCTCTGCTGTTTTTACTGTAGTGCACAAAAAAATATATAAATATGTAGGATACGACCAAACTGAATTATTGGCTAATCTCCAGCTCCACTTCTTTCTTTATAGTGGCTGATTTGTCAGCTTGGCTATCATTATATTATTGCATATAACAGGTAACAATCAAGGACACTGGTTTTAGGTAAGCTTGACTGTCTCACTGGTGACTGCTTTCTTTATTTCTTCTTTTTACCTGCACATCCTCATAAATTTGGAAACATAATGTTGTTTTCGCAAATGGTGTTATCTGTATGTGTAGACGGGCAAAAAATCTTCTGTGCATGTTGATAAAGTTAATGTATGTCATGTTATTTACGGTTTTTAAAATTCTAGCAATTCTGCCTTTTTCTTTTTTCCCCAGATGGGCCTCGGTCAGCAGGGTGGCGGGAACACCCAGACCAACGTCGCCGTTTCCCATTTGATGCAAGAGAAGACGAGCGTGGCTACAGAAGGCCACGATCGGGCAGCGGCAGTCTGGAGGATGAGAGGGACAGCCTGCCAGAGTGGTGTCTGGAGGATGCAGACGAGGAGGCAGGCACCTTCGACTCATCAGGGGCCTTTCTCTCACTCAAGGCAATTGATTTTACTTGAAAACCAATATATATAAATGACATATTCTCACCAGATATTATGAAACAAATCGCTTATTCAGTCAGTTACTAAAGACTGGATGCTTTACAGAGTGATCCCAGAGCAAAACTTTATGTATTTGTGTCTTTTCTTTGTTATTAGAAAGCCTCAAAGGAGCCTATCCTGGAAGAGGCAGAGCTTGACTTTAAACCCCTGGAAGAGTGTGAAGAGGGCCTGGAGGAGGAGGACAGCCCGCCCAAGGAGACCAAAGAGACAGAAACAGAGGCCAAAAGAGACGCTGACCGAAAAGGTCAGGCATTCTGATAGTTATTTCTTTTATAACGCATTTTTATGTTGTTGTTTGCCAGCCCTGGATCTTAGGGCAGATGAACATAGTGCAAGTTCACATAAAGAAATGCAGTATCAAAACATTTTCCTCTCTATACTTGCTACTTTAATTTATCTGCAGTTAGCAAATGACAGTCACTTTGTTAACAGGGTGTTCGCACGATTTGCTGTGTGTTCTGCAATGGCATTCTCTTTAGCCAAGCTCAGGCAACAAGGTGGTAGCTGTGATTTTCCTGCCCCCAGCAAACTTCTTAGCTCTGAGATGAGATCCCCATATTGTGACCCATCACCAACACTCATTGGGTTAGAGCAGCTAGAAACACGTTCTTCTACTTTGAGCAGCTCTAGTAGTACTCGTCCTCCGTACTGAAGCGTTTTTGAATTTCTCTTATTTGCTTAGGGAAATTTGAATTGGTGCGTCTTGCCTGCATTCAGTTTTGTAGTGTGAACACCACAGTGTCAACAAGACATAGTGTAGTCAGAGTATTTCAGTGATTGCTGAAGTCTTGTTTCTGAGCTCGTCATTAGCGAATTATTACATGAAGTTATTTTAACACCAGTCTTTGATGTGCTGATATGAGTATTTAATGTGCATAATAGCATCCCAGTTATCGCTGTAGTGGATTTTTAAAAGCTGCACTACATGAAGGTATACTAGACTTTTAGGCCAAATGCTGTTTGGAAGGTAAAAGTCTTCTGTGCCTTTTTGTGTCATTGTCATCAAGCACACAGAAAGTCACTGCAGATCTTTCTGGCTGATTTGCCCACCAGCTGTACCCCAGTATTGTGCATCATAAAACAGTTTTGTTTTTCTTTTTTTCTGAAAACCTAATCATTTTATTTTGACCTAATGTCATGACTTTATTGTTTATTTTAGAGTTGGCCAGAGTGTCAGAGGAGGCTCCATCTGTTGCTCCACCTGTTGCTCCACCAGTCTCGGAGCTTCAGGCTTCTACCCAGTCTTTGTCCCAGAACCACCCCAGCAGAACAGAAGAGCCCGAGAGGCCAGCTGAACGGCAGCCACCCCTGGAGCTCCCTCCAGAGCCCTGCAAAGTCCCCCTGCATGTCCCCATGTCTAATAGCATGCTGGAGTCCCTTCCCATGACCCACATTTCCACGACCCGTGCAGGTGGGAATTGTCTTCAGTTTCACTGTACATACGACTTATTTTGTTAGATGGTTCCATGTAACTGGAAAAACTAATATCTACTTTTTCTTCACACTGTTCAATGCAGAAGTATCTGCTCCGTCACCCACCGTCCAGCTACCACAGCAAAAGCCCATAGAAGTGTCGGTGGCGCTGAACAATCCTTTACCCTTCACTTCCAGTATAATGGCTCCTATTTGCAGGCCCACCACTGTGCCACACGACACTGACGAAGACGAGGGACTAAAACACTTTGAGCAAGTAAGTTTGTAGGTTTTCTTTAACATGAAGATGTGTCAGTCGGGCTGCTGTCCTCAGTTCAAGTTCCAGTCAGAAGGTCTCTTAAAATCCTGTGGTCATTGAAGAGGAAAACATATTGTGAATATTATGATGAGAACACTCTTTTAGTTTCCTATAAATGAAGATAAAACAAGCTGTCAAAAACAATCCTTTCCACTAAAACTCCAACAATCAGTTGACTAATTGGCTGCGAAGAGGCAGCCCTGTTATGTCAGGTTGTATTCATTTAAACAGGATGAGTGATGTAATGCCTTTTTTAAAATTCTTATTAAGGAGGCAGAAAAGATGGTAGCATACCTACAGGACAGCGGGGTGGATGATGACAGACTTGCAGCAAAGACTTCAGAGAAGCCCAAGCCTGCAGGCCTGCCGCTCACCCATGAAGCTGCTCTCAAGTGGTTTTACAAAGACCCCCAGGGGGAGATACAGGGTGAGACTGGAGGAGATTTTATGTACTCAAAATATGATTTGAACGGTGTACTTTCATCTTCAACGCTGCAGATACCTGAATCTCTGCTGTCTCTTTGTGCTCCTTCAGGTCCATTCAGTAACCAGGAGATGACGGAGTGGTTTCAGGCCGGTTACTTCACAGTGTCTTTGTTAGTCAAAAGAGGGTGCGATGAAATATTCCAGCCTCTGGGAGAGATCATGAAGATTTGGGGGAGGGTGCCGTTCACCCCAGGTCCTGCACCTCCACCTCTACAGGTATGGACTCTCCAAAGCGTGGTTTTGATTCTTTGTCATGTGGTTTCTTTTTTAAATGAGCACGAGTACCAATGCAAGCCAATGACCTGTAGGTGGAGTTATAGTCCATCATTTTTTTTACCAGTTGTCCATGTAAGAGGAGTCCTTCTGTTTTGAGGAATATTTTTTTGTAATCTCACATGGTTTTTCTTCTCAAAAATACAATTATTGATTACAAATCTGTATCACATCCTTATTGATAATGTCAGTCGCGTTGAATGCGAGATCACTCCTACATCACTGAGAGTCCTCACTCAGTGTGTGTGTTGTGTAATGCAGGCACAAATCCACTTCACTTAGCTTCCAATTGGACAAGGACGAGCTTCCAAATTAGTGGTGAAGTCATAAATCCAGCTTACAGGTACACACTTGAAACGGAGATTTTTGGAGAACTCAGGGAAGCTTTCAGCAGATGATTTCAACACAGCCTTCCCAGTTACATTATTGAAAACACAGTTTGGCAGGAGGGGGGGCTTTTAAAGATCTCCTTTCTCTCTGACTTTCTCTCTGCCAATTTTGTGAGTGTTTTTTTTTTGTGTGTGTTGCACTTGCAGTGTGTGTGGCTGTTGTGATTTATCTGGACTGTGGTCTTGTGTATTGCAGGCAGATGGTGATCAAGAGAGGTTGAAGAGGCAGCAGGAGCTCACTGCTCTCAACCTTTATCAGTTACAGCAGCTCCAGTATCAATACCTCCTCAGGTATGCCACTTTCATGAAGTGACATTACACTGCAGACTTCACACAGCTCCCTCTGGAGCCACTAATTTATACAACTTGGTTCGCATATACAGCGTTACTACCCAAGTTTCATAAGTAGAGTTTGTTGTGTAGAACTGATGTGTTTCCCTTTAATTTGCAGTTACAACACAATTGCCTTTATGTCATGATATCAACATCCTAACAGACATTTGTACGCTGCCTTGCATGCTGGAATTGTTCCTTGCACACTAATGACCGAGGTCATCTTTGACTTCACAACCGAGATTATCCTCTGAACTCCGTTTAAACTTAAAAATGAAATGAGATTTAAAAGTCATGCGTTGACTTTAAAAAAACTGATTTATTGATATCCATTAAAACTTTACATAAAAACATAGAAAGGCTTTTGTCTAACTTTACATGTCCACCTGTCTTCCTCTCTTCAGGCAGCAGTATGCCCAGGCCTTGGCCCAGCAGAAAGCTGCTGCTCTTAGCTCAGCTCCTGTTCATCAGCAGCAGCAGCACCAACAGCAGATTAACCTGCTTCTACAGCAATACCAGGCTCTTAAGATAAGGTGGATAACACACACATCATTGCACAAACATGTTTGAATCCCCCGACCTATGAATGTCCTTTTACCCATGTTGACTTACGTGCTTTGAGAGTCTTACATGGCAGTGACATCAAGGGAGTATTGCTTTTATTAACATTTGATTTAACATTTTGTAGAGCATCTGAGAGTCTCCTACCTCCTGTTACACGATCCCTGTCTGTACCAGACTCTGGTTCTGTTTGGGAAATGCAGAACCCATCCTCTCAGGCTTCCTGCACACCAAACCTCCAACAAGCTGCTCCAAGCTGTAAGTTTCTAACTTTAAGGTTCCCACATGTCTGCTAAAGAAAAAAGTCTGTATCTCATTATGGCGAGTGTACTGAAACCTATTCTGTAACTCACAGCAGCGTGGGATGGTGGCAGCAGCGTATGGGATTTACCTATAGACTCCATGGCACAGGCTCCGACTATCGAGCAGATGCAACAGTTAGAGAAGTCAAAGTCTGCAAAGGTAAACAGTTATTGTTTATCTTCTCCCTGAAGGTTGAAGGCTCTTTCTGGTTGTCACTCCACATAGAATGTCATGTGATTCCTGCACAGTTTTGTGACATGACATTGATTACAATAAACTTAGCTAATAAATTGTCTAGTTATGTACATCTCCGATATTTTTTGGGATAATATTGTAAGCTCATTTGTATTTTGTTGTCCCACAGCTGGAGCTGGAAAGGCGTGAGGCGGAGATGAGGGCAAAACGGGAGGAAGAAGAGAGGAAACGGTTGGAGGAGGCCCTGAGGGCTCGACAGGAGGAGGAACGGAAACGCTTAGAAGAGGAGGAGCTGGCACGGCAAAAACAGGTCAACCATTTTAACAGTATCAGTTTGAAGCACTTAAAGCCTTCGGGTTACATTGATGGCACTGAGACTGACCCAGTGTTGTACAATTTTAGGAGGAGGCACTGAGACGGCAAAGGGAGCAAGAGGAGGCACAGCGCAGGCAAAAAGAGGAAGAGGAGCGATTAGCACAGGAAGAAGCTCTCCGAAGACTAGAGGAGAGGCGGAGGGAAGAGGAGGAGAGAAAGAAAAGGGAAGAATTCCTTCGCAAACAGGTGAGCTCCCAAAAACATGTCATGTACTCAGCACTTTTTAAAAATGTGTCACTAAATACAGCGTTACCTGCTTCACCAGGAGGAGGAGCGCAGAAAGCAGGAGGAACTTGAGGCATTGAGGAGGCGTGAGGAGGAAAAGCGAGCAGAGGAAGAGGCAGCAGCTGCTGCAGCGGCAGCTGCTCTGGCCCAACAACAGGAGGAGCAGAAAAGGAGAGAGCAGGAGGCCCAAAGACAGCAGGAGCTGCAGAGACAGAGGCAACAGCAACAAGAAGCACTCAGGAGACTGCAGCAACAGCAGCAGCAGCAACAGCAGCTTGCACAAATGAAGGTAATGCCACAAGAGGATTAGTCATCAAAAATAGATGGTACAAAATGGACCTAAAGTTGACAAAACATCTCGTCATGCTCTGCAGCTTCCATCCTCTTCAAAGTGGGGCCAGCAGTCAGCCAACGCTTTAAACCAGACCCAGAACGCCCTGTCACTGGCCGAGATCCAGAAACTAGAAGAGGAGAGAGAACGGCAGGCAAGGGAGGAGGTAAGGACAGTGAGCTGTGTACATTACTTCTTCAAGTCTGCTTTGTGTTGTTTGGTGACTCTGTTGCCAGCAGTGTGCCTATCTTTAGGTATGCTTTCTTGTGATTGAAACAAATGGGATTTTAATGCACATTATTACCCATCCCATTCTCACAGCAACGACGTCAGCAACAGGAGCTCCTGAAACTACAGCAGCAGCAGGCATTGCAACAGGCTCAACAGCCCCATGCCAAGCTGTCTGGGTGGGGCAATGTAGCCAAACAGCCAGTTGTTACCAAGTCTTTGCTGGAGATTCAGAGGGAGGAAGCCCAGCAGATGAAACAGCGGAAGGATCAGCAGCACCATCAGCAGCAGCAGCAACAACAGCAGCAGCAGCAGCAACAACAGCAACAGCAACAACAACAGCAACAACAACAACAACAACACCACCCCCCCATCGTCGCCCAACAGACCCGCACTCAGACCAGAACTGTATGTGATATATGTGATAATCTTCTTTTTTGCTCAAACGAGATAAAAGTACGACAGAGTTGTGTGTGTGAAACCATCACTAATCCAATTAATCAGTTGATCAACAGTGAGTCAGAAACTGTTCTAATCTGTTGACTATTTTGATTTACACGTTGATAATCAGTCATTTCCTTTCAAACCCTGAGTGCACACGGCTCCTGTGTTCCAGCTTTTGGGTTTCAACTGACAAAATAAGCAGTTTCAGGTTGGACTTAATGAACATCGTCATGGAAATCTTTTCTGAAATTTTGTAAACCAGACCGCCAACTGGTCATAAATGTAATAGGCAGATTAGTCCGTAATGAAATTAACTGTCACTCTTATCTGAAGTTGTTTTTAATCACCGTGTCTTACTCTCTCAGCAGACGTCTCTGAGTAACTCCGTGTGGGGGTCCGTTAACACCAGCGCCTGCACTAACTGGGGCTCAGACTCCAGCAGTATCTGGGGTGACACCCACAACTCAAACATGGGCTTCTGGGATGAGGCCGTGAAGGAGGCGGTCCAGCAGCCTCCCCCGACCAGAAAAGGAAACACTCAGAAGAACAACAAGGGCAACGCCAACCTCAGGTGGTTACCTAGAATGCCAGAATAGAAAAACGTCTTAGTCACAGCCTCTGGTGAAAAGCACGACTTATGATATGAGTAATACACAGACCTTAATGACCTTCTTTGTCTTCCTCCTTCATTTGTTTGTGCACATAAAGTAACTCTTTGAGTGGGCGAGCCAACAAGAAGGTAGAAGAGGAGGAGAAGCTGCTGAAGTTGTTCCAAGGGGTCAATAAGAGCCAGCAGGACACTTTCATGCAATGGTGTGAACAAACCCTGCACACCCTCAACACAGCCAACAATCTGGATGGTAAGTCTCTAAAAGCACATCTTACAAAGTTGCAGCGCCCACAGCTATTGATGGATCCTCTCCGGGAGTCAAACTCACAAATGTTCTCCTCCTGTCTCTCTGTCAGTTCCTACGTTTGCATCCTTCTTAAAAGAAGTGGACTCTCCGTACGAGGTACATGACTACGTCAGGGCCTACCTGGGGGACACTCCCGAGGCCAAGGACTTTGCCAAGCAGTTCCTGGAACGTCGTGCCAAACAGAACGCGAACCAACAGAAACAGGCACCGCAGAACCAACAGCAATCCCTCAAGCAGCAGCAGGTGAGCGAGACTGAAGTGGTTGCGGCTATTTTGAAGCTCACCAAATGTTTCGCTCTCATCTTTGCTTTGCTGATCCCCGCAAGTCTTGTAATGCGATCAAAATGAGAGACATCTGTCCATTGCTTTCCGCCAAAATCTTCTTTTCTCTGGGGTTTTTCTGCCCGGCATGTTGAGACCAGTCGTAACAAGTCAATTGACATAAGCAGTATCGTCATTCTCCATGGCTGCTGCTGCTGCTATTTACTTTTCTGTCGTGAATGTGTCGTGCGTCACCCCTTTGGACCAGCCCCAACAGATGCCGTTGTACCACTTGTTCCTTGTTTCTTAGATAATCATCTTGTGTGTAGATGCACTAACATGGGTTCTTTTTAATATCTGGATCAACGTGAATATACTTTGTCTGCTGTTTCCTCGATCAGCCAAAACACGCTGCAGTCTGAGTGTTTGATCCATCAGCTGTTTCTCAATAGAGACATGGAGGGTGGGAGCTTATCTGTTTGGTACATGCCTGGGAAATTTAGCTTTTTTCGTAGCTGTTCAAATGTTTTAATCATAATCTCTGGCCTTACTGCACAATACAAATCTTAAAAACTTCCCGTTATTGGGTAGCTTGTAGCTCAGAGATTGTTGTTTCCTGTAGCGAAGGGGATTTTGAAAACGGTAGTAGCGTATGGGACGGAGCATAATATATGCGGCGGATGACAAGCTTATATCTACAACCTACATTCAGTGAGTCAGACTGGCACCGAAACAGTTCAAGGCGGCACAGCCTCCATCAAAGATACTCTTTTATGTCGTGTTGCATCAACTGCGGATATTTGATCTTCTTTGCAAGAGGCGCTTTTATTCATGCAACGAGAAGAACCAAGTTTTCTGGATCTAAACACTGTTTGGTGGAAGAATAATGTGGCAGCAGTGGTTTCTCAGAAATACAGAGACCACTGGTGTTTGTCACATTACTTCATTACGTCATACATGTTTTGAGAATCTAAAAGTTTAATTTTCTGGCTCTATTTAATGTTTACTAGAAATGTACTCTTTGAGAACCTTGAGATCTATTTAATTGTTTGGGTGTTTTGTGATCAAAGTTAGTTGGGACTGCCAAATCAAGTTGTATTATTTTGAGTTTGCTCATGAGATTTTCCTCCTGTACTCGAGTCGCTCTTTTAAATCCACGTTTGTCTCTTTCCAAGGATTCTGTATGGGGCGGAACAGGATCGTCGTCGCTCTACCAGTCCAACCATACGAGCGGCCAGCAGCAGCGCTTTGAGACCGTCACCTCAGGGAAGAAGAAAAAGAAGCAGAAGATGGTCCGGGCAGACCCCAGCCTTCTAGGTGAGAGCAAGCGTCCCATCTGCTAAATTAGAAAAACCTGCTTTTTATTTCCCACATGCTAACGAGGTCTTTCATGTGTTTATTCAATTTTCAGGTTTTTCTGTGAATGCGTCATCTGAGAGATTGAATATGGGAGAGATTGAGACTTTGGAGGACTTTTAAGGGACTGCAGCCAAGCAAACCCCACTGACTCTATCCAGTTTGAACAGCAGCTGTTTTACCCAAACCCCTGCCCATCCCCCCCTCATCCCCCCAACTGCTTCCAGGACTTTCACCTTTATTTTCAGTTTCCCATCCATGAAGCATACTCTGCTAATTCCTCATGAATTCCAAAATTGTGAGCAAAACTGTGACCTCTGAAGGCGCAGGGTGTGTTTTCCTGTTGCAAACGGACCTGTGATCTGATTAAAATCCTCCAGAGAGACGGTCTTGAGCAAAACTGGTGAGCGAAACATCCGACCAGCCAAAGCGAGCGATGAACTCAAGTTTCCGGAGAAAGTCTGCCCGAGGCGTCGACGTCTCCTCGGCCGCTCGATCCCAAATCCGACCATGTTGTACAAAACTCACGGTAACAGATTTCAAATTCGGCCTCCATCGTATGTGGGTTTTCCTTTCACAAATTGTGGATATATGGGTGGGGTAGTACGGGAAAGGTTCGAGAGATTATATCCATTGTTTTTGCTTTATTTATTGAAAGTTTTTCCCCCTAAACTTTAATCCCCTCTTTTCTGTCCGCCTCCCTCTTTTCGGCTGGGTGTTCATGGATAATGATGGCAAAGTAGAGCCCAAGGATTCGTGCCCACTTATGTCCTGTTTTAAGGACATGTTCAAAAGTTCCAAGTAGTTATCTATTTCTTGTAAAATACTAGGCTGTTTAAAGAATAAACTTTCAATTCTGCATCTGTATTATAATATATGAAAAATGATCTGCTGGAGTCATACTTTTTTATTGCAGTATGAAATAAAACAGTCTGATGTGTGGGCTGCTCACACACCTGTGTCTGAACCGTTCAGGAAAACCACACGAGTGCAAAATTCATTGGATCCACATTCATCCGAGCGGTCACACCACGCTAAATCACATTTTACACAGATCCTATTAACAACTGCAAATGTATAAATGCATATTAATCACTGCCAGGTGCTGAAGAGAGGACACGAGTGCAGCCAGATATCAGGATTTATAGGGTAATTAAATTTAAGAGCATCCTAAATCCCTCTAATTCTGAGAATTTAGCGGCAAAATTGAGAATGATTTGTTGCATCTCACCATTATTCCTGATAATCTGCTGACGGTTATGTATTGACAGTTTGTGCCGACGTTTGGTTTCGGTTTCCAGCTGCTTGATGCGTCAAGACTTGCCCGAAATGATTGGGAAAGGGCAAATATGAGCTTCCTGGAAATGCTCCTCAGTAACACATTGACCCCTGTAATCTCCATACTATTGCAGCTGTTTTCTCTTTTCTCAAGTACACTTAAGATATTTATGCATTTAATTATTTTTTCTTCCTGATAATCTGCTGACAGTCCTTTTTCTTTCTTACCCTCCTGTGACAGTTTGTGCCAACGTATCATTTATTTATTTTTTTTCTCTCACAAAAGAGGACCATGTTAATTTTGGAAACTAACTGCACCTCACCACAGCTCATGACGTTCCAGGAAGTAAAAGCTCATCACTCAGTTGTGGTGCATGCATAAGGTTAAAAGTTAGTCACTGCTTTTAAAACGAAAAAGAGGAAATGAAACCCACCAATTCCTCGCAATGAAAAGCAACATTTCTGATCACGTGTACTGAAAACTGACTCAACTGCTTGATGCGTCAAGACTTGCCCGAAATCATTGGGAAAGGGCAAATATGAGTTTTTCCTAAAACGCTTCTCGGTAACGCGTCAACCTCTTTAATCTCCAGACTAGTTACTCATTTGTCGATCAAGATCAGCAAAATGTCACATTGCAACCACTGATGCACGATATTAAGATTTCCGGCCGATACTGATATTAAGATTTCTGATATCGCAGATAACAGATATTACCGATATTCAGTTTTTGTTTACACTGAAAAATGAAGTACGTACTGTTAGGACGTTAAATATATTCAAAAGAAGCCCAAATTAGACCACAGTCTTCTTTACTACGTAACATCCAGGACCATTTAAGTAAAAACATCTGTGAAATAGCAGCAAATGTAGAGACGAAGGTGCTGATGTAAGAGGATCATCGGCTAAATTTGTTCATCAGACCGATGGTAATTTATCGGAAAAAAACACCGATGCCGATGTGGTCGCCGATATATCGTGCATCCCTAAACTGTTCTCTCTCTTTTCTGCTTCCTAAGTGGCCTTAAGACGGTGCATTTAATTATTTGTATCCTGGACAGTTTTTTGTGTTCTCGGAGACGATGTAAGCCTGGTACCATACCTGAGAAAGATTCTTGACCCAGTTGTGTTCTGACAGCAAAGAATGACGAAGAAGACTGACGGTGTAGATCAAGCAACAACAAAAAACAAGGCATATCTCGTTTTTATTATTTACTTCTGTCCAACACAGTCCCATGAGCCTCCTGACGTCATCACGGTTCGTGGTTTTGTGAAACCAACGTGTGGTTTTCAGCCTCTTTGTGGAAACTGTTCAAATTTCGATTTGTTATCCAGAAGAGAGCAAATTCTGTCGATGCAAAAGCTCCCAAACGTGTTCAGCGGCCTGGTGTTGGGTTTAGTCACACAAACAATCCACCACTTAGATCTTTAATTAATGTAATGGAGACAACCTGAAGCTACGTTGCTATTTCTACCCAACTACACCCCAAAAACATCAACCCCTAATCGGATTATTACATTCAAATGCAAACGAAGCAGCTGAAGTGATGTTGGTGTTGGGTTTCTTGTTTCCAGCTGCTTAAGACAAAACCAAACTGTCCTCATAACAAATCACAGGAGCTCGAGGTCGACCCGATCGATTTAAGTGAATCATAGCAGCCCTTCAGTGTTAAATGCAGGAGCTGCTTTTTGTGGCCCATTTAAGAGACTAGAAGTCGGCATATTTCAAACCTGCTGCTTTGATTTTGATCATCAATGTGTTTCCTACAACTCTTTCCAAGTGCAGCACCAAAACGTGTTCACCTCTGTTTCTGACCTCTGACTCCTTACATGTTGCTGCCATGGCTCCTGTTGTCACCGCTGACATCTTCTTGTTTGAGGTCAGATGTTTCCCTCTGCTGTACAGGAAAGACCTCTGTGATGTGACACGGTCAGCAGCCGCCCAACCTTTCCCGCCCCTCACACCGGACTATGTGGTTCTGGAGTGGGTGGACCCTGTGATGATGTGCTCACAAAGTCTGCACTGTCCAGACAGTCCTGTGCACACCTAGTCCCACCCCTTCCCCTCACCCTGCAGCCGGCCACCTTTCCCTCCCCGTACTCTTCCTACTCCCTCCGCAGGGTCAAGTCGCTCGGTCGAAGTCGGACTCTCGAGGACTTTTTGGAGACGCTCATCCTTCGCAGCAGCCACGATGGTTCGCAGTTTGTGCACGGTGGTCCCGCTGGTGCTCTTCAGCCTCTTGGTGGCCTTCGTGCACACAGGTAAACCTCCTAATGAGTTATTTTACTTCTGTGGCTGGGTGACCAACTTTGTCTGCTGCAGCTAACTTGAGGTGGAAATGTTCCAAGAAGACAAAGCGTGCAAGACTGCGGTCGGATGTTTAGAAAAAAAATCATGACTTCTGAAGTGTGAGGTGTGACATGGGGGAATTCAATTTGCAAATGAAAAAAAAAAGAAGTCCCTCACTGTAGAAGCTGATCTTTTCCCCCTCATTCTACTGCTACACACTCAGGCCTTGTGTGTGTGTCGGCTGATGCAGTTGTTGAACCTCTGAGAGACGTGAAAGCTGCTCTTTGACAAACAGGATGACTCAGTCGTGATGCCTAATGTTCGTACGAAATCCTCAGCCCTCACTCGAGCTGAGCTGAAATGATTCAGTCGAGCGCTGGTGTGGATTTCAGACGCTGTGAAGGTTGTTTCGTGAGAGATTTTTTTTGTAGAAGCAGATGAAGTGATTTTTTTTTTGTTTTGTGTGTGATTTAGGAAGTGGTTACAGTCAGATAAACAGCTTTTTTTCCCCCCCTCTCGCTTTCACTCATTCCTGTCTCTTCGCTGCTCGTCGTGTTATCTCACGGATCGACTTGAGAAAATCTCTGGCGGCGCAGCTCTCAGGCCCGAAGGTCAGAGCAGAGGTCAAGAGGGCAGCGGGACGACAAGGGTGGACCACAATGTCCTCCCTGTCCGGAATAGAAAGGAGGAAAAAAAAAAAGCTGGCACCTCTAACACAAAATCTAAATTGGGGTAACGGTGGTTTTGAGGATGTTTTCTGTGCCTCGCAACTCTGAGGGTTAAACTTTTGTCGGATAGAAGTTCACGTTTATAAGAAAAGTTAGAAAAGTTGAGCGTATTGTTGTCGTCGTGTACAGTATGTGATGTTGTCGAGCGGAGCCACAAGTCTTGACCACAGCACCAAAGCAGTGACTGCAGCAGCGTGACGCGCCGCCTCACGGGTTGACTCAGCGTGGGAAACAAAACGAGACGAGTCAGATAACAAGTCAGAGCAACGCAGCGTGATCATTACTCAGACCAGCTCGATGATCGACTTCCAAGCGGCCGATGAGCTCAAAGTGCGAGAGGCTCATTGTGCCGGCCTACAAATAAAGAAACGAATCAATCAGCGCTTGAATGCAACTGATTTCAGAGTAAAAATCCAAATCCAATAGTTGAAATATAAAAGTAGGTAATGAATAAAGAGCTGAACTAGCTAAAAAAAAAGAATAATAGATAAATGATTGAAAATGTTTAAAAAATTATGGACAAACGGTTAAAATAATCAACTAAAAGTGATAAACGTGAAACGGATAAAAGTATTTAATAGTTGAAATAGTTAAAGTAATAAACAATTAAAATATTTAGCTAAGTAATGGATGAACAGTGGAACTAAGCAGATGATTTTGCTAAAAGTAATGGATAAGGAGTTAAAATATTTAGCTATCTGTAAATAAATAAATTAAATAGCTAAAAAAAAATCAATATGCTGTTGAAATATTTAGCTAAAAGTGATGGATACACAGTTGAAATAATTAATTAATGCATAAATAGCTTAAAATACCTAAAAAGAAATACTGGCGATAGTTCGCTAAAGCCTACGCTAGCTTGGTGTTATAGTTAGCTAAAACTGAATAAACAGTAGATAGTTACATAAAATAAGAGCTAATTAGTTGTAATAACAAAAAAAAAAAATGTTTAAGCAGTTGAAATAGTTCACTAAAATCAAAGATAATTAGTTAAAATAGCTAATAGCCATGAAGAACTCGCTGAAATAATTAGTTAACATGGATAAACAACTGAAAAAGCTAAAAAATAATGTATGAACAGAATATTCAGCTAAAAGTGACGGATGAATGGTTGAAATAACGAAAAATAATAAATGTAATGGATAAACAGTCAAAATAGCAAAAAAAAGAAAACATCAAATAAGAGCTAACTAGTTGTAATGGCCAAAAAAAATAGTGGTAAAGCAGTTTAAATACTACAACCATAGATAATTAGTTCAAATAGCTCATAGTAAAGAATAACCAGCTGAAATAATGAGTTAGCATGGATAAACACCTGAAAAAGCTAAAAACAAGGTTAGAAAAATAAAATGAACGAGCAGTTAAAAAAGATTTTTTATTACATTTTTATTATTTTTTAAATGGATTAACAAAATATTTAGAAAATGAAGAATGAACACTTCAAATTGTTTCCTAATAGTAAAGAATAAAGGGTTCAAACTAACTGCATCACTTCAGCAGTATAAATGCAAACCTAAATAATAATAAAAGAGTATTTTCTGTGTATGAAACTATATTGTAATAATAATAATGATCAACTTTCACATAATTAACACACTTCATGATTCATTCGTGTCGTTTTTGGTCCATGAGCTCGTATGACAGAACCGTGGAGACATCATAGAGAGCCTTCATGTTTGTTTCTCGAAGCTTCAGTCATGTTAATTCCAATTGAGCAGAAATTACAAGCCTGAGTGAACCCCTCCTCATGGAAACAAACACCAACGGAAAACATCGTGTTATTATTTTTTGCCTTCTTATTAAATCAGGCTGTCCAGAAGGCACAGCCTTTTACACACAGGGACTATTTAATAAACAAGTTTGTTTGACATGCAGTGCCCAGCCGGTGCCTGGTTTGGGCCTGGCTGGTTGTTACTGGTTGCAGCCTGCCGCCCTGCGTGACCGCACAAGCTGCCTTTTGTGCCCTCGGCTGAAGGCCTCATTGATGGCTGAGCTGGCGGCGGGCCTGGGCCTCCAAACCTGCAGCCAGCTACAGAACAGGAAGCGGCGCACGGCTCCGAGTCAACACAGCGGTATCAAAATACTCACATCAGAAGTGCGTATCAGGACCGAGGCGATAGCACATCTGACACGCTGATTTTTCACATTTGATGGTTTCGTCCCACGCTCTGGTTTGAGTCCCTCTGTCACCTTGTCTCTGCTCTGGTGGAGGCTGTACATGATGCTTCTTCAATAATGACACAGCAGAGAAAAGATTCACTGAAGGCATCAGAGGCGACAGAGTCAACACGTAGCCGAGCGTAAATATGTTTGGATTAGGGTTTTGTCGGTATGCGTAGCGCTGAGGATCGGATAAGTGAATTAGTGAGCGTCTGAATGGGTGGGCTTGTGCACCAACGGTTTGTTTTTTCAGGAGAGACGACGATCAGATTTTTCCCTCCTGTTCCTCTAAAGAAAAAAGTCTTGCAGCTGTTCAGTCACCAGAAAAACCACAATCACAAGAAGATTTAGACTCTTCTGGGCTCGAGTTAGGAAAAAAAAAGAAAAAAGGCAGCCCAGAGAGACACCTTGTTTCTCTGGCTGCCGCAGAGGTGTGAAAAGTCTCATGCTCACAGCAGAGGAATGTCCAACGAGGACAATTTGGGATGGAAAGAGAAGAGCCTTTTATGCACCGTCAGCAAATCGCCGCCATCTCCTGTTTGTTTGTTTGCTCTGTTTGAAGTTCGGTCGAGTGCCTTGTGGAAAAGAGGAACATGTTGAGAGGCTACCAGCAGCTCAAACGGACAAAATGTTCATCCTCCACAAAGGCATCCTTATGCCCCGGAGCCGAGCTGTTTGACCCGGCGAGACAAGAGCGGGGCTGTTGGAGCGGCTACAGAAGGGCCCATGCATGCAGCCCGGAGGCCTCGGCGTCCACAGAAAAGGCAAACAGGCCCATTAGCGAAGCCTGGTCACTGACACGGCTGTTCTAGGAAAACGCACGGTGAGCCGACACTTCGAGATTAAAGTCTGTTTCTTTGTCCTGCCGCAGAGACAGCCAGGGACAACCAGGACACCATGTCCGGAGAGCCGCCCAGCGACGTCACCACCAGAGTCCCCTTCCGGGACATGACGGAGCAGTCCTTCACCTACGACTACGAGGACGCCACGCACTCCAACGCTCTGGACGAGGAGGGTAAAAGTTCCTCCCGCCAATCCAGTTCACGCAAACACCAGTTTTGAACGCTTAAAATATTGTAAAAATAGTGACTAGTGAGCACACAGTTGAAATGTTTAGCTGAAAGGAATGGATCAGCAGTGGAACGAGCTGAAAAAAAACAATGATGTACCTGGAAGTAGTGGATAAAAAGTTGAACTATTGGGGCGCCTCTATAGCTCACCTGGTTGAGCTGGTGTCCCATGTACAGGTCATGAGTTCAAATCCCGCTCATGACCCTTTCCCACATGTCTTCTCCCCTACTTTCCAGTCTCTCTCTGACTAAAACTATCCAACAAAGGCCAAAAAAGTAACTTAAAAAAAAAAAAGTTGAAATATTTAGCTATCTGTGATCAATAAATAAATGAAATAGCTAAAAAATAATCAATACGCTGTTGAAGTATTGAGCTAAAAGTGATGGATACACAGTGGAAATACTTCATTAATGCATAAACAGCTTTAAATACCTAAAAAGTACTGGCTAAAGCCTACACTAGCTCGGTGTTATAGTGAGCTGAAACTGAATAAACAGTAGAGATAGTGATGTAAAATAAGAGCTGGCTAGTTGTAAAAGCAAAAAATAGCAACGTCACCACCAGAGTGCCCTTACAAGACATGACGGAGCAGTCCTTCACCTACGAGGACACTCCAACGCTTTGGACGAGGAGGGTCAAAGCTCCTCCCGCCAATCGAGTTCACGCTCTATCAGATTATTAAACCTACAGTCGTCCTCCAATTTATTACATTAAAGAAAATCCAAAACTCACAACAGTCACTCGAATAACCAGAAACTGAAAAAAGTAGTAATAAATTTTAAAAAGTTGCCAATTGCTAAAATTTGCTTTTGAATTGTGGTTGAAAAGAATTATTTTTTCTTTTAATGGCAAATGAGAGCATGTTGCTGATGAGCAGTGAAATCCAAACACCTGTCAACAGGTGCAGGAGTCTGACTGAGAGTTACAGGAAACACCTGATGATGGCAGTGATTGGCTCAAAGGGTTGTTCATTAGTTCACGGGTCCCATCATGCTTGGTTTTTAAAAAAATATTTCTATTGAACCACAATTCAAAAGCAATGTCATGATTTTCATTACATTTTTACTTTATTGTTACTTTTGTCAATTTCAACTTCTTCCAGCTGATTTTTTTTCCCTCTTCCATGTCTTGCAGGAGTCCTGGGGCCGGGCGCCATCACAGCCATCGTCATAGCGGTCTTCCTGGGAGCGTCCGTCCTCATCGCCCTCATCTGCATCGCGCTCCAGAAGTTCACCGCCTCCTAGAGCGGACACGTCCCGTTTTGTGTGTTCGTGTGTGTGCATGTGTGTGTGTGTGTGCATGTGTGCGTGTGTGTGTGTTTGTACAGCACGAGTGTCTGCGTGTTCGTCTTGAGCCCCGAGTGTAAATCCGTCAGCTCTAAACTTGCCCGCTCGTCTGTCTTTCAAAGCCGTCTGTGTGTTTTTTTGTTGCTTTGCTGTAGATGCTGAACACTGTGGCAGGTCCCCTTCACTGACTCTTTAGTAAACACTCACGTCGTTGCTCCACTCGTTAGAAACTGGCTGGTTCCTCCAGTGCACTCGTAGCTGTTCTAATGTTGCTTTGTTTTGCAAGATCTCGCGTGCATGCTTTGGGAAATGCTCACAAGTTTTGAAGTTTGTATTACGCCATTAACAAACATTTGTAGAGTCAAAATAAGAAGAGAACTTTTTTTTTTTTTTTCTTCAATGAATGTAAACAGCAGCAGGGTTATTTGTACCTGCAGACCAAACATGAAGGTAGAAGCTTGGACGAATGTGTGTTTGCACTCAGTTCAGTGTTTTTTCTTTTTTTTTTTTTTTTTTTAGCAGCTTTTCTGTTTTGTTCTGGCCCTTCAGCCATACAGCTGCATGTTGCCATGGTAACGTCACTCGTCCAGTTTAAGTTGAACAAATAAATAAATCCGATGCCAAACAGCCGTGACTACTGTGTGGTTTTCAGCACATGATTACGTTGTCAGCAGGAATATTCCTACACAGTTTCCTTTTTTTTATTTTATTCTTACACCATCTTCTTATTCTTTGTTAATCAGCAGAGAAGCAGTTCATGGCATACAGTCTGTAGTCCATCCATCCATCATCTATACACCGCTTGATCCTCACTAGGGGCTTGAGTCTGTCCCAGCTGACTCAGGGAGAAGGCAGGTTCACCTGGACAGGTCACCAGTCTATCACAGGGCTACACTTAGAGACAGACAACCAAGCACACTCACATTCACACCTACGGACAATTTAGAATCACCAATTAACCTCAGCATGTTTTTGCAAGGTGGCGCAGTTGGTTAGCACTGTTGCCTCGCAGCAAAAAGGTTGCTGGCTTGTGTCCTGGTGAGGACACCTGGGATCTTTTTGCGTGGAGTCTCCATGTTCTCCCCGTGCAGCGTGGGTTCTCTCCGGGTTCTCCAGCTTCCTCCCACAAGGTCCAAAAACATGTTGAGGTTAATTGGTGATTCTAAATTGTCCGTAGGTGTGAATGTGAGTGTGCTTGGTTGTCTGTCTCTAAGTGTAGCCCTGTGATAGACTGGTTACCTGTCCAGGTGAACCTGCCTTCACCCTGAGTCAGCTGGGATAGGCTCCAGCCCCCCATGACCCTAGTGAGGATTAAGCGGTGTATAGATAATGGATGGATGTGTTTGGACCATGTGGGAGGAAGCTGGAGAACCTGGAGAGAACCCACACTGCATGGGGAGAACATGCAAACTCCAGGGGTGTCCTCACCGGGACACGAACCAGCGACCTTCTTGCTGCGAGGCGACGGTGCTAACCACCGAGCCACCTGCAGCCCTGGTCTAGTCTAGTCTAGACTCATACAAGTGATACATAATTAACTGAACATATGCAGCGTATTTTACCAAAAGATGCACAACATGCAGTAAATTTGCATCCAAACATAATCACTTTTTAAAAAAAATTTATTTATTCTGTTGCTGTTCTGGTAATTGAGACACAATAAGAGCAATTCGTGTGTCTTAAATCACTAAAACTACCCTGACATGAAAGCAGACCAGTGTTCAGAGACAGCTGACACACTTCCTACCCAACAGTAGGTGGCAGTGTGACTGGCAGCTTTATTTGCATTTACAGAAAAAAACCTTTTCTTTTCCCAGAAGTGAAAGTAACATTTCTCTCTAAGGTGGCCTTAGACTCCTCTGAGTCATTCCAATAGAACAATATTTGTCTGGAGGGGTAAGTTCGAACCGTTAAGTCCTACAGCTGATGAAACGCAAGATTCTGTAAAGTCATCTCAGCACCTGAAAGCAGGAAACCCTCAAACATTAATCACAGTCTAAATCTGCTTCTGCAGCTTCTCACAGCCTTGAGAACACCCACCTTAAAGTCGGGCTTCAGGCTTCCTATCAGTCCCAGAATCTGCACTAATAGCAGCACCAGCACAGAAATCAGTGTTGGACTCGTCGTGCTTTATTAGCGGATGCAGACCTAAATATCTAAACCCTGATAACTCACAGACACATGAGGTCACATGGTCTGTTTTCATGCACGTTTCAACACCAAAACACATGCTGCATATTAAAAATAGTCCCGTCTGACAGCAGTTTAGTGAGCTTACATTCACGAGGTGCAGAAAACAACCTCATGAGTGACTTGGTGTTTTTATTATTTTTATTTTTTACGCTGATGGAAATTCCACTCTGAGGAAATCTAAACCACACTTAGAAACACTCACCGCTCTCAGAAGCCTGTTGCACTGCAGTTTCCTCAATTTGATGTCATTTTACTTGGTTTTTTTTTCTCTCGTTTGAAAGTTCGGCTTGTTACTCTTTCACCCAATGCTCATGTTGTGGCCCTCGGTGAGGCTGCACTGGTGTGTAGGTCAGGAGGTCGGTGCACCGCTTTGGTGACGCATCTTGACAAGCGTCGAATGGATTCGGATTACATTTTGCACAGACAGTCGCAGCGTCCAAGGGGATGAATCCTACCGAATCGGATGACTTTTTCTCGAGGTTGGTGGTTTTTAAAGTGTAACGTCTCATTAAACTATTGGACAGACTTCCATGAAAGTTAAAACTGACCACAGACGGTGTGTAAAGACGTTCATGTTCCTCTCAAGTTCAAGTTCACGATCCGTTCCATAACAAGTCTACCACCACAATCAGGCCAACGGTTAGGAACGTTGGTTTAAAACCACAAACCTTCTCACACCACCATCAGCCGTAGCTGTACTTAGTGTTTGGTGTTCGTTAGCAGGTGCTGGCATGCCAAAACAGCATGCTGGTATCACATTTAGCTCAAAGTACCGTCTATTCTTCTGCACTCAAAGGCTTTACAAAAGCATTTATCTGCGACAACCCCGATTCAGCCAAAGATAGCAAAATTATACCTGCCACAATCCCTCAGAAGCCAGCGTCTTTATCTGGTTTTGTGCAACCAGCAGCTAAAAAGTCAATAATACTCAGTTTATAATGAGACAAGACTCAGGAAAGCAGCAGACCATTGATTTCTAGAAGGAATCAGCCAATCATTTCAGTGAAATTCCTCTCCAGCACAACAACGGTTCTTATCACTGTGTTTTTATTACTGTTGATTTCCTTCTGATGTTTCCACAAACAAATGGAAAAATCTACCGTTCCGGCCGTTTGCGTCCATCACCCGAGTGTCACGTATCGGAGTGGAGCAAAAACCTGCTGGACGAGTTCACCTCTGCTTTGATTTTAAGCAACTATAAGGCACATCTGAGCACACACGCATGATGTGTGGCATTACTCAGGAAGTGGTGATGAAACAACAAAGGTAGAAAAGCAGAAGTGCGTCTGGCACAGTGCAGACAGTCAGACAGAAACACTGAAAATTCAGCAGCGAGACGGGCATGAGGTAAGAGCACGGCGAGATTTCACGGATTTGCACCGTTTATAATTTATTATATATACCTGATAGTAAAAGCGTGTAAAGCTGCATGTTTGTAGTGTTGCAATGAAATGTTGAGTGCAGCTATTTTGTTTAAACGTTTAAACTTAGAACTCCTTGCAAGTGGTAAGATGCAAGTACGGACTAAGTATAAAGACATTAAAAAATAGCCACTACTTTCTGTTTTATAGGGTGTGAGAAGTCACGTCTGTTGTCTGCAGCACAACACTTACAGCCTCCACCTGGTTTATGTCACTTGTCTTGATATCTTCTCAGACTTACGTTGCTCAGGAATTTATTTTGGTTGCTTCAGATTAGTCATCGCTCAGTGCTTCCACCTGAGATGATTCAGCTCTGTTTCAATAAAAAAAAAAAAACAGATTGAGAACAGACTTTTGTTTGTGTTGAATTCAAAATGGGTGAATTGGAAAAGTTAAACAGGCGACTGTGTTCAAATATACTGACAGTGAGAACACGCACTGCTGCATCTAAATCAGACCTGATGAAGGAAGAGATGAGATCAGGTTGTTTCCGTTCCAGTCCTGGTGATTGTCATGTACATTAAGGGCCCAGACTGATCACCGGCTACGTCAGCCTGGACCTCATTCACCTTTACTTTTTACCGCCAATGTAATTTTGGAGTTGTAATATTCAGAAAGTTCTCATGATGTCTTTGACTTTTAAACCAGAAACAAAAAAACGTTCTCAGCGTCTGTACCCACGCAACTGAGAGGTTTCAGGTGGCTGGGTGCAGCGCCGTATCATACACATGTTTCTGTGTGGGAACAAACGGTGATGACAGGAAAGGCTCATTCATTTCACAGACATGTCTCAAAGTTAAACTTGAAAATCCTGGCAGAGCTGCTGAAATCAAATCAAACTGTTTCCCTGCAGTGGCATCATGACAAGCAACTGCTCCTTTGAGGAGGTGGACCACCTGATGAGGTATCTGGAGCTGGTCATCTACATGCCCATATTCCTCCTCGGCCTGCTGCTCAACGTCGCCGCGCTCTTAGTCTTCTGCTTCTTTCTGCGGAAGTGGACCGAGTCCACGATCTACATGACCAGCTTGGCTCTGATGGACCTGCTCCTCCTCTTCCCTCTTCCCTTCAAGATGCACGCCACCAATCACCTCTGGCCCGTCGAACTCCAAACCCTCTGCTCGGTCCTGGAGAGCCTGTATTTTGTGGGGATATACGGCAGCATTTACACCATCATGTGCATAGCTGTGGATAGATGGGTGGCCATCTGTCACCCGTTCAAAGCCAAGCAGCTGCGATCACCCAAAGCGGCCCGGGTGACCTGCGTGGGGGTCTGGGCTCTGGTGCTGGCGGTGATCTCTCCAACCACCTACCGGTTCAGGCAGGACAGCGACAGGGACTTCCACTGCTTCCACAGCTTTTCTCAGAAAGGCTGGAGCCCTCCGTTGATCATCAGTCTGGAGGTGTTTGGCTTCCTGCTGCCCGCCCTGGTGCTGATTTACTGCTCAGCTCAGACCATCTGGGCTCTCCGGCAGTCGGGCCAGCGCAGCGCCCAGAGCCGGGCCTGTGTGAAGATCATCTACAGCGGCCTGAGCGCCTTCCTGCTGCCTTTCACCCCGAGCCACCTCGGCATCCTCCTGCAATTCCTGGTGAGAAAAAGTTTGTTTAAGTTATTTATTTTTTAATTCAGGGAAATTGCTCTGAAACAGATGAAGATTGTCACCTTTCAATTTCCTAACCTCCTTCTCGTCCACTGGGTTTCATTCACAAATTAAATATATTCAAGATTAAAATCAATCTGACACGTAACAAGCAGGGACTGAAAAATAAAAATTGTGATTCAGTTTAAAAGAAAATTACTCACATGGTTTAGCTCTTGATGATTCATGAGAAAAAGAAAAAAAAAAGTGAAATTGCTGTCAGAAGTAATTGCTTTTTAAAATGAACTCCAACGAATGACTACGCTCTAGATTGGGTCTAGATTTTAGAAATACTGCTTTGTTGTGGATGATAGGATTATTTTTCTTTTCTCCGCCTGTTTTTGGTACGAGAACTGCAAACCAACCGACTTAAGGTTTTACTATTTTACAACATATTTATTAACCCTACTCAAGACTTTCATGCTGCCATACGTAGAAGGTCTGTTATTATTCATCACAGCCTTTTACACTACTTTACATAAATTTTCTGTTTCTATTTTTGGCTCCAAATGCTTGACAAATGTCCCTCTTTATATATATATATATATACACATACAAAATACAATCTTCAAAAATAAAAAAAAACAATACCTGTCACCTAAACCAAATGACCCCAAAAGTCCTGAACAGGGTTAAAACATTCAGTATCTCAAATTTTGTTGGTACAAATGTTTCATAAAGTGAAAGAAAAAGTGAGAGAATTCTTTATTTTACTTTTCATTTTAGTATCGTACTTGGCATCGGTGCCAGAAAAGAACACCCTCATAATAAATCCAACCAATCCAGACTTTTATTCACCAACATTGAATCCAAAACATAACAAATTACAGTTTAAACTCTTGCGTGTATTAACTCTGATACCAGCAGATATATTTGAATATTAATGATCTAATTCTGAAATCATACAAAAAAGTGTAACAAGCCGTAACGAGTAAACGTACGTCAAAAAAGCCGCGTGAGTAATTGCAGTATAACAGCTCAAACTGCTGCGTCACGTCTGGTGTCGCAGGAAGATTTTAAAGATTGAGATTCTCGCACAAGTTGAGAAGATGGTGAACTAATGCCTCTGTGTGTAACCTCACGTACTCGCAGGTGCATCAGGGGGTGATTCAGGACTGCGGCGCCAAGACCAGGATCAGCCTGTTCATACAGGTGGCCATGTGTCTGTCCAACATCACCTGCTGTCTGGACGCTCTGTGCTACTACTTCATCGCCCACGAGGTGAGGAGCACCAAACACAGCTTCAGGATGTCAGTGATGAGCCAAAGAAGAGCCACCAACAGCACCTCAGAGGTCTGAGAAAACATGATTCATGGTAGTATACGATTTGACCCCAGAGGACTTCTGGTAGCGAAAACAAGAGCTGGCATCCTGTTTTAGGGCACCACAAGAGCCAGAGCTGTTTCATGATGCTAATGAGCAAATGTGGCATGCACTAAGACGAGCAGGTGGAAATGAAGCAGGTCAGAGTGCAATCTCAATTAACCGCTGAGCTCAGACTCTCAGGCTATGTGATGTTGTTGAGCAGCAGGAAGCCTGTAGGCATCTCTGTAACCTCAAAGAGCTCTGATATCCAAAAAGTAAGCTGCAAACAAAAAAGTCCACCACCGAGCCACACAGTGACATGTTCCTCAAATGACTTACGGGAGATTGCTCTCAGATCACCGAGTCCTGGAAACTGACGATGAGAGATAAAGTGACCTGTGAAAACCTGAGCGGGCAGCTCGTCGCACAGCTTCGTCGATCATATTCTCAAGAAGTTAAAGATGTACAGAAGGAGCTGTTAGCATTCTGTAGCTCTGGTGAAAGACGACAAGAACAACGTACACCTGGGAAATTATCATATTAAATGTATGATTAGTTAAGACACAACCAATGTGGTAATAATTATGGGTTTTATTTATCGACACATGAAGCATTTCTAATGAATAAAATACAGATTTACTTAATAGCCAACTTCAAATAAGTACAGAATAAATAAATTAAACTTACAGATTGTTTCAAATATTAATGAACACATTTCCTTCTTATGAATAAATCTTGATCTGTGAATCACATTGACACCAACCAAGGACCTTTAAACACATAAATGTAATTATTATGACTTCATGAATTATAATTAGTAACTTAACAAAACAATACTTAAAACATTTTTCAAACTTAACACTCAACATTTGGTTCATCTGCAGATTTTAACAAAAATTTATTACTTATAACAGAAGTTGACAAAATATTAACTGTAAATATTACATCAGATTTACATTAAGTAATAAATTCTGGGTACTTATGTTTGTTTTTGGGAGAATTTAACACAGAGAAAAGCTGTATTTATGTAGCCACCCTATAAATCATTCACTGAGTAAATCCTGATTTTACATGTTGTCTTGGACTTGTTCATGCAAAATTAAACAATATTCAGGATTATACTTAACATACTTCTAATAATTGTTTAAGCTAGTTTTGCAGTTTAATGGATGCAAACTGACTGCAGGTCTTGTAAATGACATGTTGTTGCTCGTGACATATGTAAATATTATGTACATATAATTCATCTTCCATCTGAAATGTTCAGAGTTTTGTTTTTTAAACTGTAGAATTAAATGTGCAATAATGTTTTTTTATATATTGTTATCAGCCAGTTGTTACTGTTAGTCAGCCTGCGTGCTTCAAAGCCTGTTCGTGTGTTGACGGGGGATTCATGTGAAGTCACACCTAAACGAAGAGTTGTGAAGCGCACGAACCTTCATCAGCCGTGTGTGCTCCTAACGTTTTGGTAACAGCAGAAGGTGTTGCTGAGCATTAATGCTGTTCTTATTGAACGCAGTAATCAATGACGAGCTGTTTTCTTCAACCGGAAACAAGACGTGAAACTATCGTGTGTTTTTCTTGCATTACTTGAGTCTCGCTACTTTCATTTTGCACAAGTATCGTCTTTGTTGACTTTCAGTCTTATGTGTTTGTCCTCGATTCTGTTTTATTTGTCCATTATTGCATTTTCTGTTTCTTTCTTTTTTTTTAGTAATATATTTTAAGCCAAAGTTGTCTCTGTGAAGCCACTGAACCCACACAGTGCGCAGGTGTTTTTTCTGTTCTTTTTGGTCTGCAATAAATGTAAGACAAACAAAAGGTCTGTCAAATAAGTATTCATCAGAGAAAAGAGCCTGAGTGATTTTGCTGAGTCACTAGAGATTTGTTGCCTTCTTGTTCCATGCACTTCACCTTCATGTTTTAAAATTTAAAGTTCAATTTAAACTCTAACATGACACACTGACTGACTTACTTTATTAAAACGTCGTCACTACCTTTAGTTTTGTAAGCACATCTTCCTGTTCACTTTTCAAAGGAAATTTAACCAACCACATGAGGTTCGTCTTGTGAAGTAATTTACCACAAAGACGCTGAAGCGGTGTCTTCTGTAGAAAAATCCTCCACAGACACTTAGCAAACAAATTTAAATATTCAGAGAACCTAAACTGATAAAAGCTGTTTGTTCCATTGACACGACAACGTGGTCCCGCTTCCTCTGCTGCCTCTTCACAGTGATCACACGTTGTCACTGTTGTTCAGACAATCTCTAATTAGCCAAACCCGTAATTTACAGCCTGATTATGTGTATGCTTCGCTGAAACTGAAAAACATTCAGAAGACAAAGAAAGTTTGATCGTTTATTCTTAAAGCAGCAAGATATTACAAGAAAATCGACTGTACAGCGAAATAAAGTATCCGAGACGATGAAATGTGAGCACATATCACGGATCTCTCTCAACAGAGACTGATTTGCTCCGGGTCGTACGTTAGAAAGACACCCCGAAGCTCTCTTAAAGTGGGACGAGTCGACGTTGTGGAGATTCTAATGCCAAAATAGGAAGGAATGGGAAGTGGCTAAGAGCTAAAGACAACAGGCAAATCTGAGTGAAGAAGAAGAAGAAGGAAGAGCAAGACAAAATGGTCCTTTGATATCATCTACAGTAAGTGATCTAAACTATAAAGCATTCCTTATAAATATTTCATACATCCTTAACCCTAAGCAAAGCGACACTGACTACAGACTTTGGTTCCTTCTGTCCCTCTACAGCACTGCTGCTACTGGTTACAGTCTAAAGCCATTTAAATCCAAGGAGTAGGAAAGTGTGATACCAAAGGAAATAAGAGGCAAACCATAAAGACATGATCGTCCACAAAACAAGTCGATTTCAGATAAAAATCTATGCGTGTAACAATATGAAATTAAAAAGAAAATCAGTTTACAGTATATATTGCTTAGGAACAATCAGTTATATACACACCATTCATTAATGATAGAAACCAGCAAAGAAACATCTTAACTACATGAGGTATGTTTTGCCATTTTCTGACATTCGAACAAAATAAAACAACAACCAAGAAACAAATATTAACAAGAGTGCACGGTGCAAGCAGCGTCCAAGTATCTTTACCATCAGTGCACTGGGTAACTAAAAAAAAATAAAATACACAGACGAGTCTTAACTCAAGTCCTCTGATGTAAATGTCACAAACTGACCTACATTAACATCTTCTGCACAACATGACAAGCTACAGATATATCCAAACACATCGAGAACGCTTTGAATAGAAAAGACAGGAACGTCGTACATGAACAGAGCATTTTCAAGTTGAGACAGAAAACAAAACGAAAAACCAAAAACTGAAACTAATGGACGAGTACTTGCTCTTAAAGTGCAGTTAAAACGCCTAAGGAATTCAAGAGGTATGGTTTGAAATTGGCTTCAGTGTTGGATGGCTGTGATTTCCGCCGCTCATTTAGAACCTGTCGCAGATGACGGTCTCGACCACAAAAGTGTTCTCAAAGTGACGGATGCTGTGACACTTCTTCGTCTCACGCCTCTCGATACCTGGAAGGGAAGAAGACGCATTTAGAAAAATCTGTTCAGTACTGAAAGTGGAGCTTTGTTCATATTGCTTCTGCTGCTGCCATGCCTACAGCATCCATTCTGAATCAGCAGTGGTGATCCCCACAAATCACATCCATATATGTACGCAGGGGAAGTTTGTTGCATCATTTCTGAAGCGCTCGCGCCAATCAAAGGCAGCGACGACAGAGGTATCACTCATGCGCATCACTGCCTCCTCCACAGTGTGTGGATGTGTCCACTGCACTACAAGTGAGTCACACAGCAGGAAGCTCCCAGGCTGTGCCCACACAAACACACACACACACACACACACAAACATGATAATCAGGCTGCCGGGCTGTTAATGGAGTATTTTACACTGCAGACACGCCGTCTGCAACGCTCACAAGGAAGCCCCTATTTGGTTCTGGTTGTATTTGCTCTCTGTATACGGTCACTCTCGCTCCGCTCCTACACACCGAATGTGAACACTGGAATCCCTGTGACTCAGTGGAGGAACATTTTTCCTCCACAGATACAGAGAGATCACAGTGACCCAGCACATGTCACATGACTCAGCGCTTCACAAGAGTCGGTGTGGAAGACGGGCGATAAATGGCGGAAGTGACCTGGCGCACGCCGCTCAGTTTTTGACACTTCAAGTAGATCGGAAAGCGGATGTGAGAACTCACGTTGGCGCTGGTTGCGACGTCTGAGGCGGTAGGTTTCTTTGCCGTAGCAGAGCCGGTGGATGAAGGGGCCCAGCTGCCTCATGTTCCTCACCCGCCCTGTCACCACCATCTCCTCCTGGACGATGTAGGTCTGAGGAAGGTATGTCCCTCTCTGTGGCAAAGAGACACACATGAATCACTCGGTCAGTTTTGTCTGTGGGAGGAACGCCGCCGACAGAGAGATGGGAACACGCTGTCCTTCGCTCTGTCGGAAGGCCATCTATCTCTCACGGTGCTTCTGCAACTACCTCACCAGCAAACGTATCGAGTGTCTCACCTTGACATTGACAAGCAGCTCCCACAGGTTTCGCGGAGGCATCACCAAGGTTGTGTTCAGCTCAGTGATGTAGCATTTGTCCAAGGCAATGTCATGATAGGCGGTGAGGCCCTGCAATAAAGAAAGAAAGAAACAATCGTAAGCCACGACGGAACATTTCAACAAGAAACTGGAACGAGAGGAAACCATGTGAATAGAAAAATGCCTACCCTCTGAAAATCGTGGATGATATCAGCAGGGTCGCTGCCTCCGAAATGTGGCACAGGTACGCTGATCTGCTCGTAGTTGTCGTCAAGGTAGATGCCGACATTCTCCTCGAGTTCTTGCCGCCCCCTCAGAGGAGCGTACACTGAGTCCTCGTAGATAACCCGGCAATGGAACAAGCTGTCCTCTGGGATTTGCTGTTGGGACACAACAGAGCTGAGTTAGCAAGTGAGGTCTACTTCAGGTTGTTTTTTTCTTTCTGCAACCAGCAAGTTCAAGATGTAATATATTAAAAAAAGAAGTAGGGTTAGCTAACCTGAGGTATAAAGTAGTAGCGATAGATGTAGATAGAGGCCAGGACCAGTCCTGACATGAAAACCACCAGGCCAAAGGTGAGGCAGCACAGGCCAGTTGGGAAAGGCTTCTTGGACCTGACAGGAGGAACCAGCTGCTCCTGTAAAGACAAAAGTAGGGACTGGTTACAAGGCTGGTCGAGGAAAACAGGATTGTATTTTGCGTTGTCAAAATGTGCAAAGTTTTATTGTCGGTTCCAGTGAAAACCTAAACTTGTCAAATAATAGAAGATCTGTGCCAAGTGGTGCACCCAAGAAAAGTTGATTTTAGTTTAATGAAGCGCTGCAAGTGAATCTGTAAAATAAGGATGTCAGCTGAATCTAACTCTGAAGCTGCACTGAAGAAAATCTGAAAGAAATGTGGATAAAAGAGCTTGAATATTAGCTTCCAGTTCCAAGACACAGTATCAGTGGATGTATTGTCCTCTCACATGCTTTCCTATACTAAGTCCAAATTGTAACAGAGCTAATTCTGACAGAAGGCGGTTGCCAAATTGCTAGTCAGGCGAGGAGATCTGGTAGACGTAGGATGGACTGGAATGAGGTACGCCAGATGCCCACCCACAGTCTCTCAGTCAATCTGCTGCCTCTCCTTACTACTGTTGCTATGGAGAGCGGAAGCAGGGAGAACAGACTGTGCCAGGCTCTGACGAAGATGCTGGCACGTGGCCGTCTGGGTCTATTCTTAGAGGCCTACTTCCACACTCCATATTTGCAGATATTGAGTCTTAGCTCCCTCAGTGGGAGCATAAACGAGGACAATTGCGTGGAGCAGGAGCCCCTCAGCAGAGGCGGACGTATTAATAGATCCACACACATTGGCTCTGACGCCTAGACTCCCAGCGCAGCCCGTCTAAATCCACACTACCTTTGACATCCTTCGTTTGACGTAACAAACAAGTAATTGCAGAAGCGGTGGACGCGTCATCGAGCGGTATTCACACAGTACAGTACAGTGTGTTGGGAAATAAAGGATGAGGCTTCGACAGCAGGCGGACATCCACTGTGTGTCAGACATCTAATTATGCTATCTCTTGGGAAGCTGTCCAGAGAGGAGGCTAAGAAAAGCTGCACCTTATGTGACAGTTAACTCAGGTTTAGGCTATTCTATAATCCCAACTCAGAAATAGCGTGATCACAATCAGTAAGGGCCAATTTCAATATCTATTTTAAAGCACTTTTTTTCCCATTCTATTCAAAACACTGTAATACCAGTAAACAACGTCATTTGAGAAGTGAAACCTGAAGGACTGATCTGCAATGTTGCAGAGCTGCACACAACAAGATGTTCAGCCCCATTCTGACCTCTTTGATCTTTTATGTGAAGTCAAATATGAGATTTTCCACCAGATTTACACACGTAAATGCAGAAAATTATAACAAAGCTAGATTTGTGCTCATTACAGATGCTGACTTTTTTTCTACAGCTAATTTTGAGAGGGCGTAAAAGGCTAAGCTGTCTTTAGATAATGCCCACTGTTTTTATTCAACACACAGTAATCCTGGATTACCACTCATTTGCTCCCCAGCGCTGCCTGCAGGATCCACGTGGCCTAACACCTCGTGACATTACTGAGTGGTGCAGTATCTGACTGCTGAGCTGTTCTCTCATTTCCACAATATTTTTTTTTTTAAAAATTAATAAAAAAAAAAACAGAGACTAATTGGACACTTATAGTAAGATAGAAGCTCTGGTTACACACATGCATACTTTATGAAGCACTTAAAGTCATGGTGTCACACTGTGCTCTACACACACAGGACTGCCATCTGCAGTGTGTGTCCACACAAGGTGACGTAATGTCAACATCCCCCGGCTGGGATGCAGCGCTGGGTCTCTCCCCTTGTTACTGCTCCACTACTGCACAATAAAACTTTTCTTTGCAGTCAGAAACAGCGTCTTTTAGTGACTGCAAATGCAAGATAATAAACTGCTGTCCAAGTGGTGTTACACTAAATAAAAAACATAAATGCATGAGTATTAAAGCATATTTACATACACGAGTGTTTGCATTATCTCTTTTAAATCATGGAGCAAAGTGGCATCACGATGCAAAGAAAAACACATCAAGACTAAACACGATCATCTCTGCAGAAGGAGCACCGGCTGCTACACTGAGAGTCAAGAACAAACACCACAGCGTGAAACAAAGAAGGACAAAGTGCGCAAACTCACGTGAGCCTGAGGTATAATGATCTTGTCCGCATCGTTGTCTTTTTCGGGCTTCTGCGCCGACACTGGCTGGAAAGTGATCTTCACCATGTTTGTTTGGTCACTGTCTGTTTGCTTTGCTCTCCTATCTGATTCAGTGCGCTGCTTTCATCCACCGGACCCGGGAAGATTATATAGCGGCGGATCGGTGTCGCCCCCGGTGCTCGGTGACGACACAAGAGCGTTTTCTCTGACGAACGAGCGCTGTGTGGGACTTCGCCTCGCCGATTTCAAAGTAAGAGTCCGTGCCGGTCTTAAACTTTCAGACCTCATATAAAATGCATAATTCATGTTCTTATTATCTATTAAATAAATCACCATGGATTTTTTTCATCTGTTTTGGTCGAAAACTACGAATTATATCTCCCCTTTGTGGATATTAGACTACTTACTGCCCTTATTTTGAAGGCAAGTGCCCTATATGGTAGTGCATTCCGTATTTTATTTAAAGCTGAATCTCTGTCAACCAACACGTTCATCCGGAAATGTTTCAAATTGGCTACTATACTGCAAGATACTTGCAAGAAAGTCATGAATAGGTCACTACTACTGAGCAGTAGTAGCAGCAGCAATATTCATTTATAGTCCACTTATTTATGGGCTCCTCATGGCATGCAGTGCAGACAGTGTTTCACTACAGAACATTGTGTACTATGAAGTGTGTGTGCCTTGCTTGGAGTATTTAATGTATACTATAATGTAATGCAGTGTAATTTAGCCTTTGTGTAGTGTAAACTGTGAATGAGCCTTAAAGCTGATGTAAAATAGGTTCCTCCATGTGGTTACTCTGGATGAGATTCTCTTTCTGACCACCACATCCTATAAATTATCCTAAATGATTCTAAATTTGGTCCACTTGTGTGTTTGTTGTACACTATGCAGGGACGACAAACAAAGCAATCTGGCCTGGAAAGCAGCTAAACTCCATCACAGACTGCATTTCCTGAAATAAAAATCTTTACCATGTCCAACATGCGTCACAGGCCCACCAGTGTATGTACCGATGCAATCGCCGGATTCGTCCCTCCTGTTCAGGAGCTTGTCCTGTTTACATTAAAACTTTGTACATCCTCTGTTCAGCCAATTTTCTGTGGCCTTGGACAATGTGTTCTGAGCAGGCATAATGATGAAGTGGGGCGTACAAAACTAATTTATCAAAGTTGTCTTGGATCTTCCACACATATCACAATTTTTACCCTTTTGATTATTTACCATCATTACATGAAGCTTATGTGATTATATATTTCTACCTGCATGTTAAACATATGGGCCTACACTTGATTATTATTTTATTTTTTTACAAAGTGGAGTTTTAAGGCTACAAAAGATGCAAATATATTTTTTAAAAAATCACTTAACAAAAAAGGTCTAACATTATAAATTATTTATAAATCAAATGGTATAATGGTTAAATGTGAATATCATTTTTTCTCAGCCAGTTTATCACCTGTGCAACCAAACAAATACAACTGCAAAGCAAGCTACATGTACTCGTACACACTGTATGTGACATACGCACATTAGCAACACATGCAAATTAACACACAGCTCCCCTCACCATATGTGATTAATCACGAGAGCGTCCATGTGACTCAGTAAGGACATAAGCCATGCAGCATGTTAAATTTGAACAGTTCAGGAAATTTGAGGTGATGCTAACAAATAAAATAACGCCCTTCTGTAAAGCTCTACTTACAAATTCCACCACAAAAGAGTAAAATCCAAATGGATTAACCACTTTATTCTGTTATTCAGTGCCAGCACTGTTTTAAGGCTTAGAGGCTCCAGGCTCTTTACACATGAGAGTAATATACTTGACAAATGGCTCATATCACCCAATTCACATTAGCTCTTTTTTGGATCTGTGGTCGTGTCCTGATGGTTCACAATCAAGCAAGAGCTGGGCCAAAATAACAAATGATCTAATGTGAGAATTGGCTGAAAATGTGGCCTGTTGAATACTCTTTTAAAATGCAGTACTCAGAGGTGTAGTATTAAAGAGAAGATGCTGAAACGCTATTTATTGGGCAAGGGGAGCTTGCTGGCTATTTTTAGTTTCTTCTGCTAAGTGATTCAGCTACAAGGAGGTGGTGACATTAAACAGGACAACTGTTGGATCATGGTTTGCACGTGTATTTGTGCATCTAGATCACTGGCTGTATGAACTAACACTGTTTGATCTGGCTTCACACAGAAGTTGGGAAAAAAAAGCTAACATGAGGGTTGAGGGGGGGGTACGAGCATTGCGCGCCCTCGATACCTCGCAGGCAGTTGACCCATTCACATGTAAATGAGGCGACGTATATACCCAGTACTGCGGCATTAACAGCCCATTCTCTGGCTGGGATCACCCGGCCATCTGTCCCCCCGACGGGCTCTAACGGCTGTCTGTATTTACACACCGACCTCCTGTCCAGCGGGCTCCTGGCATCGCTTGGGTTAAACTGCAGCAACATGGCCCCCATCCGCAACAACACAACCGGAGTGGACAGAGGTGATAGCTGCGGTGGGATCACATCTGACAGAAAGGTACAGGCCGAAGTTAGCATGTTGATACCAACACTCGAGCGTTTCTTTAAAACTGACCACTCCATTGTTCTTACTGTTTTTTTTCTGGGCAGATGAGGAAACCTCTGGTCGAGAAGAAACGAAGGGCTCGCATCAATGAAAGTTTACAAGAACTCAGAGTTCTCATAGCGGACGCCGAGGTAAGATCATTCGTTTTATGTCGTTTTTTTTTTTTTTAAACTCTACCGACACGTCTTGTTTTAGCTAAGTTAGCTAGTGTTGCTTGTGGTTTTATGTCTCTTACCGCAGTTACAATCAAAAATGGAGAACGCCGAAGTGCTGGAGATGACAGTGAAACAAGTGGAGAGCATCTTACAAAACCGGGCTCAAGGTAAAAACTGTATTTTAGACCTTTTGTTTTATATTTACTCGAGAATACGCCATTGAGCTAAAGTTCGACAACTGTTGACTTAGCAATAAACTTGACAGCAGCAGTACAAAGTCATCTCATTCTTCCGCTGAACAATATAGTTCTCCGGACGCTCGCTTACTCATTAATTTATTGCGGTTAGCGGATTAATATTCTAATCGACTGCGCTTGAGGCCACAGGTGCGCTTCGACCGCGGCTCAGCCAATCAGAGCGGAGAGTCGGAGCAGCCGCGCGTCGGTTGGTCGAATGTTACAAACTTTGTGTCTCACGGTCGCTTCCCATCCGCAGAAGTGGACGCCGTGAACCGGGAGGCCTGCGAGCGGTTCGCCGCCGGCTACATCCAGTGTATGCACGACGTCCACACGTTTCTGTCAAGCTGTCCGGGAATAGACCCGACAGTGGCCGCGGAGCTGCTGAACCACCTCCTGGAGAGCATGCCCCTCAACGACGAGGACCGCCTCCAGGTCATGCTCCCGGACGCCGTGGCAGACTTGTCCGGCTCTAACAGCACTTGGTCCCCGTGTGAGAGCATAGTGTCCCCGTCCCCCTCCAGCACCTCCACCGATGACCTCTCCTCTGACCTGGATGAGACGGAGTCAGATCAGAGCCAGGTTTCTTCCTCAGAGGAGGCGGACAGCCAGGACGTGCTGCCCTGCTTGACCTCCTCCAAGTCGGTGTGGAGGCCCTGGTAGCAGCATGGTTTAGATCAACCAGCTGGATGGGGTGTGTTAGGATGCTGTGTGGGATAGGCTTCAGTACATGACAGAACACTGCTGAGATGGCAGCTTTGGAAACTTGTTAAAATGCATCTGAGAAGCTCTTCTTTAAAAAAAAATATCATTAAACTACAGTTAAACGTATTTAATGACTAAAATATGTAATTAAGTCACTTTTGCAGAGGACGGGGACCTGTATGGTCTGTATTTGGAGATGTGTTGGCCTGGTGTGGGCCTGCCTTCAGTGAAGGGCGTAAAATGCATGTGTAAATATGTACTTGTTGAATATAACTGGGCTGTACAGAAAATAGCTGTCCCACCACAAATGCATTGTTAGTTCTTTGTAAATTATTTCCTATTTAGGATGTCTTTTTTTTTTTTTTAAATAATGTATTTATTCATGTCAAGTGACTGTTAGTAGGCTACCTCGTCTGATTTGTCCTAAATTTCAACTTTTCAATAAATATCTTTTCAACTAATAACTAGTTTTACATTCTATTTGTGCAGGAGACGCTTTAAAAAAAGGAAAAAAAAGACCCATTTCACACACAAGGATCCCACTAACCACCCACTCACGGCTGTTTCCAAGATATTAGTTATTACTCTGCAATTGTGGGCCATTTGTGTGCACTCTCTCTCTCTCCAAGATCCCTTAGCACATCGTAGGCATTTGTGAGGTGTGAAATGAGTAATCCACTCACTCCTTATATAGGCCTGCTGTAGAACTTGACAAATGGGTTTTATAACTCTACTGGAGTTCAGCTTTTTGGTGTTTTCAAATAGCATTTGCACATATCATGACTCTGGGCTCTTAACCAAGGAAGGCAGAGTAATAGAGCATCATTTTATTGTGTTGTATTATATTGGGAAACAATGTGCAGTACTCCGCTGGATTGTTTTGCCAGATAGTAAGTGCACTTGACTGTGTGTACCTGTATAAATATACACATTTTGCCCCTTGTAAAGTCTATTTATATTATCTTTTTAGCAGCAGGATAGGCTCAGGAGTGTCATGCTAATTCACTTTCAAAGCCCGTGTCTGCATTCTCAGCAGACACGACTTCTGCGACCCCGGTGAGATCCACAGACACTGTTCTGCCTCTGCACTGTCAGCTCCTTACAGCCGCAAATGAATAAGAAAAGACGGCAATTCTTAATCTAGCTCTAGTCAAATGTCCCCTCTTGTGTTCCTGTGATGTCCACGCAAAGTGTCACTTCTTACACTGTCCATGGTATTAACACCCACCACCACAACCCACCTACTTAGAGGGACTTCTAGTGCAAATGACAGGAAAAAGATTAATACAGTGAGCTTTGGATAATAGTAGTTTGTCCTTCCTATTTAGCATATACAGTGCAGGGAAGTGATTAAGCCCTCAAGATACTTTGATTTATCTTTACTCTTTAAGGGGAACACACTGTACTTTTTCTGACAGCTGCTTCAAAATGTGCCATCAACATAAAATATGAGTGATTATTATGTAGAAAACTGACCTGAGTGTTTCCATTTTATGCTTTAACAGGCCACTTCTGCTTTATGGTGTTTACACAGTGCACTTTAAAGCCATTTATTGGTGCAAAATGCATCAGATGCATCAATATTGTTAATAAAAAGAGAGAAAGAAGTCAACCCAGGATGATGAACTTGATTCACTGCGCTTATATGCGCCTCTGCGCGGTGATCAGACCGGATTTGCGGGTCCAGAAGTGTAAATGACCGCTGCAGGAGGCCAGCGTGTCACTTTTCTCACCTCGTCCTCTCCGTGTAGTGATTCTGAAGGTGTGAACGGTGGAGGGAAGCAGCGCAGCTTTGATCAGGAGGATCACTCCGTCTGCAGAGAAGTCACAGCTTTGTCTGACAGAAAGCCATTTGCATGACGAAGGTGAAAGTCATGACTTCAGGACAGAAGTTTGGGCGTGTTTCATCATTTACACATGTATTACATTAACTCTTACTGCATTATGATTTATTTAACCCCCTCTAGTGGCCATGCGTAAACTTTAAACGTGACATCCAAAGCCGCATTCTCCAGAGTGATATTAAAGCAAAGGAGTAGTCGATTCCCCCCCAGAGCCCAGCATTAATGTGATTAACTCGCTTGTTACTTCCAAATTTACTAACATCCTTTATCCTTGGGTTCAATTTGACCTCAGCAATTTAAACCTCCAGAAAATATCATAACTAAAATTGTTACCCAAGTTTGTGGAAATATCCCTTTAAATGAAACTGAAAACACATGTTAATGACTTATTTAGAGATGTTAAACATTGAATGGGGTCAAAGCCACCCCGAAGATAATAGGAGGGTTAATCTTTCATCCAGCCCACAAAATCAAATGTGTATTTTGTTATCATATAGCTGCTGAGTCCAGATTTGCGCTGCGCATCGCTGCTGCGCAAACCAGCGCGCAACTGTCAAACCTCGACCTTCAGCAGGTAACGAATATAAAAACATCACGACACACTTCACTGCAAATCAGGCAACATTTTATTCTGAGAAAAAAATAAACATAATAGAATAATCTGCATCAAAAAAATAAAATAAAGAGAAAAATTAAATTAAATAAAAGGTGCATTTAGCCAGATGTCTGTTCAAATAGCAGAAAGACAAATGACAAATTCAGGAAATGTTCAAGTCGCCCAGAAGGAGTTCTGTTTCGTCTCAAATTACAGCATGAACTTCAAAGTGAAGGAAATCTCACTGCACAGCCACTTGGCATCTGTCTCAGCTGCTTTACACCCGTGCAATAACCCTAAAGTCAGTCTGAAGTGAGCACACGTTTGTTCTGAATGGTAATGAGCTTCAGTCATGACGCTCCTCTCCATATTCATCAGACCAGTTTACAACAGGGGAAAACATCAACACTCTCCTCCCACCACAAACAGCACGCAGCTCTGCTCCGCTCCAGTCTGAGCTGGGCATTGTCCTAATGCTGATTATGCAAATCACATTTTCAAAATAGTATATACAGTAAATGGTCCTCTGTTTGCTTATCAAGCTGGATTTTTTTTTATGTGTCATAAATTAAAAACAACCTGTTTATACAGAAACAGTTATTGCATGTAAAAATATACAAGCTATGCTTTGAGTGAAAGACTTTTACAAACATGAACACAAGCATTGAAATACAGTTCCTTACAATGAGAGGAAGAAATAAAAGTCAGTGCAGCTGAAGAAAAAAACAACAAAACGCTGCATTTTGTTATAAGAACAGTGAAAATGTAAAGCTGCATTATGGTAACATGTTATAGAGGCAGAGGGGGAAAAACTTTAAGTGACATAAATTCTCTGACATGACCACAGACCCAGTACACGCTGCACCTGACGGTCTTGTTTCCTCAGTGCTGCCTCAGATGTTTGCACCACCTCCATCGTGTGTTGGGATCAGTAATGTATGCACTTAAGAATTTCCATTTTTTTGCTACATTACTGCATTTAAGAGGGCACCTTTTCCTCTACTACTAGTTGGGGTTAACTTACTGTCATTGATGACATTACACTGCTGCTTACGTGTCACCACATAAATAATAATTCAGTATATGACCCACTATAGTGTTCTGAAATGGGCCTTTCTGCATAGTGAGATAAAAGTGCTTTCAGTACCTAAACCTGAATATTTTTGAATGAATTACATCCACTTGTAATGGGAGCGTTCCTATATTGTGTTTACTTAAGTAAAACAGTGGCTGTGAATCACAGGTGTTGATGGAGGTGGTGAAAAGCTCCAGCCATTGTCGCTGCTCGCTGCTGCGTATGGGAGCCCGTTTGTGTTTCAGTCCTGGTGACTTTACACGGGGAGTCTCATTCACGTTTTTCCTCTCCATCCACTGCAGCCCACAAAGTGCACTTGTGCTCATTTGGTGCTTGATGCGTACGAATGCCAGGAGCGACTGAAACTGATCTGTCTATCACCTTCAGCAACCTGCACCTGTTTCAACCACACGCTGACGTACCATGGCGTAGCCATCACCAAGGAAACGTCACCAAAATAAGGAATTCATTCATTAACCACGACAGTTAGAACACCACTGAGCCACTTCCTGGCGTGTAAATAGAGCAGCCTCCACCACGCTGACGCAACTTTGACCTGGACTCGGCTGTCTGGTGCATGAGCACATGTTGTATTTCCCTTAACCAGTGCGTAAAACACTTTTTCAGTGCCACACATTGCTACAAACAGAGAATAAACAAATGCAGTCATAGAGCCCCCAAACAACAAAACAATCCTGCCTGCTGTACATTATGATTAAAATAAAACGTAGTTTGATGACCACTACATATATATATATAAATATACATATACATATATTCACATTCTACAAAAGTCTGACTTTTAAGCCGTTTTTTTTCTGGTATATAACTTATAAAACAGCCCAACAGAAACAGTAAGAGCCCGTCTAGTGCAGGTCCCTCGGCGAAGGTCGCTCTTCACAGTTCTTCAGTCCAACAGGCTGGGTAACGAGTCACTCTGACAATGTTTAGCAGTTTATTGGCTCGGTGATTGTGTCTGGAGGCTGGAGCCTGGACAAAGCTGGTGGCAGGAGGTGTTTGAAGGCTGTTCTGTGGGCCTCTGCTGGCAGCCGACTTCTTCTGTCTCTGTGTCACCGAGGTCCAGGTCTGGCTGATCCTCCACTGCTGCTGCTGCTGCAGTTGCCTCTGAGATGTTGTCACAGCAGGAGCACATCTGGAAAACAGAGACAGGTGTAAACGTGGCTTTCAGGTGAGAGGAGCCACGTTTGTTGAGCTGGTCTGGGTACCGGACTGTACCTTGACGTCTATGGCCTTGGGTAAACCTCCCTTCTTGATCCAGGGGTGGACCGCGATCAGCTCCTTCTTCTGCTCCTCTGAAAAGCGCGGCTGGTTCTTCTGCATCAGCCTCAGCTTCTCTCTGTCCTCCCTGAGAACTCTCTGGATGTCCCTGCAGACACAAGCAAACGCACAAGCACGACCATGTTCAGTTACAGTCGTATTTAACAAGTGTTCTGATGTCACAAGAGTCCAAAAAGGTTCACACAGTTTAAATGTTGGAAAGTAATAACAACAAAGCTTCTTGTAATTAGCTCGATCCACTGAAGTGTTTTTACAGCAACCTGCTTCATTACATTTCTAAAAACATAAATCCCTGTTGACCGACAGTCATCCAGCAACAGTTATGTCTGCGTTACTGTGATGGTGCCATCTAGTGGCCAAAAATCTAACCACAACCGTCTCGCTCGGCGCGTGTGTCTGACATGGATTCCTGTTTCGATTTACACATTAACCACAACTGACAATATTGCGTGCCGTCTCTCAACGAGACAGCGCAACTGGAAGGAAACAGATTATCAAAACATTCAGTTCCACAGTTAGCTTCTTTTTTTTTTTTTTTGCAGGTTTCCCAGTAACAGCACTTTGACGTGTGTGTGTGCAGGCAGGAGGTAGAAAACAGTCAAGTGCATTGCTGAGAACTCAAGTAAGAGGAGCTTCTTTACTGGATACTGTAGGTAGACGTACTGAGGATGATTTGGCATTTGTAATGTCTTATATCCAGTGACACGTAGAAAAAAAAACAGTCAGTTGGCCTCCAGTGGTGTGGTTTTCATTTGAAGTTGTTGAACTCACTCTTGTCTGATCACATAAGTGGATTTTAACAAGTTCATGAATATTAATCTCTAGAAACTTGTGAGGAAAAAAAAAGCTGGATTTGTGTTTTAACTGCTTTGATAAAATTGACACTAAGTCAACAAAAAATCATGCTTTCTGCATCCACATGTGATGTAAATTTCATCATCCATCCAAGTCCCCAAGGCTCTGCAAAGATCTGCATGCAGCCTAAAATGTGTGACGGCACAGACTGTCCACGCTGCAAGCATGCTGACTGTGCATGAAACAAATCCAACTTGAAACAAATGTTCGTTTTGACGACAGGCTTTATGAGGCGAATCTGCGTCATCCACACCTTTTATAATCCATCATTAAAAGTAATTGCGATTGCAGTTGCACTCGTGGCTGCTGGACTTTGGAACTGCTTTGATCTGGAGATGCTTTCTATCAACGTCACCCAAACTAAGCGGAGGGTTTTAAATTCTCCAGAGATCCTATGTTACGTCCATGCTCTGTGCTTTACACACTTCAGGAATAATCATACTGCACATACGGTGCAACCAACTGCTGTATCCTGTAAAAAGTGCAAAGTCACAGCCGTTTAGAAACGTCCACTGGAACCAAGGGGGGTGTTCAGTGTAGGATATGAGGAGCAATGCTGCGTACTTATTGTAGAACAAACAGAGCTGTCTCCACATTGCTCTGCACAAGCGATGAATTGGCTCTTTATTTGGATGAGGAAGATTCAGTTTGCTATTTAGTGATAACTGAAATACAACTGCATAATATTAGTTATCTGGAGTCAGTGATTTTCTGCTGTGTTGTGGAAAAACAAGTTTACTTCCTAAATTAAAAAAAAAATATTTGTTGACCAAGTTGTTGCCTTCAGATACGACCAGATCCTGACACCTGGGAGGCTTTTGTCTCCTGGCTGCACACACATACTCTGTAATCTACAAACAGGAAACCGTTCTAATATGGAGGAGTAGCGTACAGTTTCCCTCAATGTACGCTCACCCTTTGGCTTCCACAAGAAACAAAAAGTTGATAAGCTACCCAACCACAGTGTCTACAGGGCCTCTATCCTACTCCTCACTGGCTGCGCCCTGTCCTCCGACTTACCGCGAGGGCAGCTGATAGGTCATCATGACCTTGTCATCTGTGTTGGCCATGAGCAGCCACAGCGGGTCCTGCAGTACATACTTGATGAAGTGTTCGTTCTGCTCCATCTCCACCGGGCCTCCTTCGCTGCTGCACGAGTGTCCTTTGACCTTCTGGCTGTTCTGAGATGAGTCCACGCTGCCAAAGTATTTACTACTGTTGTTGCTTCCTAAGAACAGCCAGAGAGCAGAGCATTAGAAGTTTGGTACAAAGATTTACTTCTTTTTTTACTACAGAACTTTGAAGAACCAAAATCACGTGTCAGCGGTTGTACATGATAAAAGATGCTTTTCTACATGGCACAGCAGCTTATGCACATACTGCTGGGGATGAACATGTATGCACACATTCCCTGATACTTATGTACCCCTGTACTGTAAAACAATAAGTAACTTCTTCAACCCATAACACAAATGAAAAATGTGAATATCCAACAAGGATTCCTCCTCTAATTCCCGACTCTATGTTGTGATAATAAACAAACAATCCAAACAACCAGAAATCAAACATTTAAATGAGAACACAGCTGACTCTGTTCACTTTGGTGTTCTCTCTTTCTCCACACTTCTACCTGCGTTCACTTTTCCCGTCTATTTACGCCTGAAGATGAGAGAAATTCAGCGTACAACATCCACAAGACGATGAAACTTGCGTGCAGACCTGTTCCGCTGCCCGATGTGCCACTCGCTGAGGCTCCGCTGCCCGACGTCCTGCTCTTAGACGTCCCGCTGGCCGACGTTCCGCAGCCGTTCGACCCGGAGCCCATGGACCCCGAGGTGGCTGAGCAGGAGTCTTCTTGGAGGAGGATGTCCAACATGTCGCTGGATAAAGAGTTGGCATCGCTGTTGTTGCCGTCGCCGCGTGAGCTTGTCTGCAAAAACACAAAGATTAAAGCGATAAGAGAGGAGCTTGACTACACAGCGATGGCCTCCATGTGTTGTTTTTAAAAATACAGGCAGGTGTAGCATCGCTGGCTGTTTTGCATCCTGCCTCTGAATTTATAGACACAACTGGGAGGATGTTTTTGCTTGGTCATGAAAAATGTCCATTTCAGAAATCACTTGGTCCTCAGTAACACAACAACCAATTTAATTAGATGCATGATCCTAACACTTCATGCCGATTTACAAAAGAGAAAAAAATCACTAAATTCATAAACATTTGCAATATATTTAGAAATATATTTGGGAAAACTCAGCACAGAAGCAGAACTATCACTTCCCCACTTTTGATGCTGAAAAAGGTTTCCACTAATAAAGTTATCTGCATGGTTCAAGCATTGGAGGACCTGCATGCAAAATCAGAGAGTATGTGCAGTGGCAAAATGAGAAAGTAAAACATTTGAACTGACTGCATTTATGTATTCTGTACATTTGTCTTAAAGTATGATCAGATCTTTATCTAAGTAACATCTACAAACAAACGCGGTCCATTTTAACTGATGGCACACAAACCGTTGCATTTGTCTGTACTTAGATGAAGATCAAATCACATTTCACAACCGATTAAAAGAAGAAAACATCCAGAGACTGTACGGATGCTCACACACGTGGGATAATAACTTAATACACCACTTGTTTCCAGGTTACATTACGACTCTTCAAAGTTTCATGCTTTATTTAAACCCAACATCAATCCTGGAAATACTTTCTTCTGGACAGACAAGAGCGGTGAAGGTTAAAATATAAATCATAGGTCATGAAAAGGAAAAAAAACAAGAAGCTGTTACAGTTGACATGGAATTGGGGAGGAATGGGATTTGAAAAGTGTAGTGGTTTTCTGATGATTCGCCTACCTCTTTGCTGCCAGCCCTCAGCCTAGAGCACACTTTATCCCAAGACAAACGCTCACAGACACAGGGTGTGCCCCCGAAATACAAGGGTCCAGGTGGACCAAGGAGACTGAGAGATGGCTAAAGGGTGTAAGGGATAATAACATCATGTGTTAACACCCTGGGCCACATTTCATCTGAGGAGTCTTGATTGACTTGTCTTTACACATTGCATATCAATACAATGGCAAAAAACTGTATATTCTGGATGAATCACTGTGACAATGGCATCACATCCCATAAGGCTGGGAGACATATGATTGCAGGTCTCGGGGGGAGCATGCCACAGCCTATTTAAGGTGCTTTAAACACCCCACAGTGGAGGAGTTCAGAGAGGCACTGACATTTTATCCAGACACTTTAAGAAGCTTACACGTAAAAATAATTAGTCAGGCAGTGGGAGACTTTGGGGGGGAGGGGAAGGGATTAACAAAACAAACAAACAAAAAAGCAAACAAAAGGAGATTATTTCCTTGTTTACCTGTTTCAGCTCTCTCTCCTTTGCTTGGTTGCCACTTGCTCCTTTTTCCCTTTCCGTCGTGTTATTGGCTTGTCCTCCAGAGGAGAGCGCCGTGCTGTCCTGCCGGTCCACAGACAGCTCCAGCTCCAGCAGGTTGAGAGGTGAGCTGCAGCGAGACTGGAACAGAGGCGGGGACGTCGGGCCTCCAGCGCCTCCAGACTGTGGTGTTGAAGAGCGAGACTGACCCTCCACAGGGGGCTTTGGGGTTTCCGTGGACGGAGGAAAGTAGAATGATGGAGCTATAAAGCCCGTTTGAGAAGTGAACTGGTTTGGGGAGTTAAACTGATTCTGACCGCTGAAGGAAGGCAGAGATGTGAAAGTGCCTTGGCCTGGAAAGGCAGCCTGACCGAAAGGCTGTGCTTGGGCGGGGAAGCCCCCAGTCTCTGCGTGGAACACCGGCTGTGGTGGAGGAGGCCCGGGGCCCATTAGAGGGTACAGGTAGTTGGGCAACACTAGAGCCACAATGGGGGTGACCATGGAGGAAGCGTAGGGAGCCGCTTGGATGGATGGCGGGCAGGGAGGTGCTTGGACACCCTGACTGCCCCCAAAGCCTTGTAGAGGGGCATCTGTGTGGTGAGCTATGGTGTCAGGTCTGGGGTAAACCTGGAGGGGGTATCCTGACACCATGGCAGGATAGGCCATGGGGAAAGTGGACTGTGAGGTATCGGAGGTCGACCAGGAGGTTTGGTTAAGGCCGTGGTTTAGCAGAGGAGGCCGCGGCTGCTGCTGTCTGTGATGGGACCCTGTGCTGTCCGAGGACTCGATCTGCTTTGCCCGCTTTGACTTGGTCTTCTTGTTCCGCGTGCCTCGCCGCGTGGTCGGCTGTGCAGCCGGCGCTTCCTGTTTGCCGGGCCGAGCAGCAGGTGCAGCTGAAAGGTCCAGGAGATAAAACAAAACTAATTGAGTGACTCGTGAACATGAATTAAGTGGGATTATTGTTACTTAGAGTCAAGTATGAGTAGACAATAAGAGAGCACGAGAAACATTTCAACTTAGTTTGGAGCTACATTCGTAGTTTTGACCAACAGTTATGAAAATACTGTACTCATCAAAGTCATTTATGAGACCTGGGAATGTGGCAATATCACTGCAATAAAGTCTGACCAGAAGGCTCTTTAAGTATTGGTCTGGACCCTCCGTTACACAGTTAACAATAGAAGAGGATAAAGAATATTCTTCTGCTACACCTATCTGTATGAATATATTTCTAAACTTTGCTTCCAAAAAAACAGGAATATTTTAACGTCTTCGGATTGGTTTCAGTTCAAATGGAGGAAATTTGGAGGGAGAACGTATTTTTGTTGATGATGCTTTAACTGCTCAGCACTAACAGACATGTTAATGATCTAAAACAAGAGTCTTATATCAAAAATAGCTGGAAAATGTTCATCCAAGCTGCTTAATTTGGAGATAAATCTGTGATGTCTGTGTGCACATATCGATGGCATACATGTGAGATTAAAGAAAGTTTGTTATATTCATCTTCACTTTCCAAAATAATCCCGACTAATTAACTGTCTGCCAGCTGTGTGTGTTTTTAGTGACGTTGCCATGTCCCCAGATCTCACAAATTAGTCTGGTGAGTCCAAAGTTAAAATTAGAGCTTTAACTAATGGCCGAAAATTGTACAAACAAATAGAATTGTGCTTCCTATATGCTGGTCAGTATGGTGTTGGTGTTACCATCGCTGGTGATCAGCCCCCTCTGGCGCTCAAGGTACTGTGAGCAGTTTGCTTTGATGGATGTGAGTCCACGAAGCTCCCTAAAGCGACACAGGAAGGCCTGCTCCTCCTTCTGCGTGTGGGCGGCCAAAACCTGCTTAGTCAGCCCTAGTTTCTTGTACGACTCCCTCTCCTGACTGGGAGGTAAAACTGCATGGGGGGGAACCCCGGGGGTCTGGCTGGGTTCTGCCGTCTCCCCTGCACCTGGTACATCCTCTATGATCTCTGCACAAACAACAGCGAGAAAACAGCGTCAACAGGGCGGCAAGCAATGAAACGTGAGGTTTAATCATGTGATGAGGAGAAAAGCAATGTCAGGTAAACACTGTGGTGGCTCGGGTTAACATAATGGATAACGTAAAAACTAGTGCTGCACGATATTAAAATCTCCGACCGATACAGATACTTCTAATATCGCCGATAACCAATATTACCGATATTCAATTTTTGTTAACACTAAAAAAAGAGTATAAGTAAGCACTTTGAGAAAATGAAAACTATTCAGAAGAAGCCCAATTAGACCACATAGTCTTTTTCTATTACGTAACAAAAGTAAAACATATTTAAACATATCTTAACATGTTTAACGTTCATATAAGTAAAAACATCTGTGAAACTGCAGCAATATCAAATGTACAGACGAAGGTGCTAATGTTAGGCAATTGTCGGTTTTTCACATCAGCTAAATTTGTTCATCAGACTGATACCGATATATCAGAAAAAAACACTAATATCGGCCGATACCGACATGGTCGCTGATATATCGTGCATCCCTAGTAAAAACACTTTATTATAAAAAGGAAGGAAGCTTTTAAAAAGTGTCACTAGTGGGAACCACTATCAGTCCCCAGTGGCTGAATGACACTGCAGTGGAACACAACAGTTATATATCTATACACAGTATACAAAAGAAGTGAGTATGCTCCTGTGCAATATCACTTAAATGTAAAATTATTCTAAGTTGTTTCGCCTCACAGCTATTCTAAGTTGCACAGTAGAGTATTTGCTCTCATGCAGCCCCACATCATCCCCCTCCCATCTCCATACTCTACTGGGGGGGACGATGCACTCACTGTGGAAGTCCTGAGCAGCAAACCTGCTAAACCCCATCTGAGCTGAACAAACTTATCCTGGTCTCATAGGAGATAACCAGGCTCATGCCATTAGACTGTTTGGAAACTACTTGTACTCGTTGCACTGAATTGCCTGTATTTTCTTTCTGAAGTATCTGCTTTTGAATGTTCATGAGAGCAAATAATTTACTTGTCAGCTTAGAAATGTTGCAAGAGAGGATCCTGAATCATTTGGCATTTAGGTAATATTCCACAGGAGTCTACTCACTTCTATTGTCTACTGTACATTGTACTCGCTTGGGCTGGAGTCTGACTCACTCACTGGCTGAAATGATTACTACAGTGCCTACAGTGTTTTATATTTGTACTTAATTTGCATCAATTTGTAAGAAGCTTTTTGTTCTTTCCGTTAATCGTTGTCAGAAAGCTTAAACAACGCACCGAGGTACAAAGCTGTGAAACAATAGAACACTTGAGAGTTAGCCGCTGATTAAAAAGCAGTTTGTGCACACTGTGTATCAGAGCAGCCACTGATCAAGCTTCCCCGACACCTACTACTTTTGCTGATGCTCGCTACGTCATGTTAGGCAATGAATACGCACATGCAACACAGGATAAACATGTATCAGCTACGTAAGACTTGGCTTATTATTATCATCACTAGATTACCATCATCATCACTTGTTGTTTTAAGTTAAGAAATGTTCTACAAACTGCCAGATGAAGTGAGAGAAGCGCTTCCACTGATGCAGTGCGCCTCCTTGGCGATGACAGACTTCCAGCGTTAGCTCGGATGGGACCCGAAAATGGGTTTGAGATATTTACCTCAGTGAATATTTTTCAGATATTCAAAATGTAGCACAGCGAACAAAGCGTGTGAATAATACTAATCTGATTCTTGCAAATCTTCAGCTGACTGAGCAGGAGGATTTTTTTAACACCTTGCTGCTGATTTGGTGCAACCTGGTGATGTGCTGACGTGGCCAATATCTGTTCATAGAAATGTTGCTTCTTAAATAAATGAATAAGCCAAACAGTGTGTCTCTTGTGGTCCTTAAAAAAATAAATAATCTAAAAACCTGAGTGTCGTGTTTCAGTATGTACAGATAGAGGAAATCTGGTTGGAGATAAATACGTCTTCACTCCATTGTACCTGACTCGGGTTGAGGTTTCTTGTCCCCGACATGCACTATGGTGCTGCTGTAGCTACACTGGCTGGTTATGGACACCACACTTTCTGGTTTGTTTGGTACAGGGAGGGGCAGCGAAGTGCCCACTACCGCTGTGGCTGCGTCACTGGACTTTTTGTCTTGATCATCCAAAGCAGAGAGAGCGGACTGATCCTTCAACAAGGTTGGTTCTGCCAAAGAGAACAGAGAACAAGAGCTACTAACAGGCATTTCAGAGTCCTCAGAGAGAAGCTTAAAGCGAAGGGCGTGAATGCCGTAGAAAGCCATAGCTTTGTATGACAAGGTAACAATAAGCGTCTGGTATCCTTATATCACATGAGCTGCCGTAACGCCACATACCTTCGGACACCTGCATGCTGTTGGGTCCTTTCTGTTTGTCCTCGTCCGAGTTGGAGGACCCGGTGTTGGAGGAGGACTGACACTTCCTCTTCATGGTGATGGGAACATTACAGCTGTTTAAGTACCTGCAGGAGTCATCGAACACAGCACGGTGATCAGTTTCTGCTTTTTTTTTTTTTTTTTTTTTTTTTTTTTTTTTTTTTACCATCAGGTATTATTCAATGGGTATTTGCAAAAGTAAGAAGCACCACAAAACATGCTTTTTCAGGGGAAACTTCCTCTTAAGGCCAATTTAAAGGAAAATCTAAACATTTTGTTGTCAGTAAACACAGAATATGAATATGTCCACTTGGTATGAAAGCATTAAGTTTGAGAACTGTCTTGATAAAATTCTGTTTCAGAGCACTGGCTGGAAAGCTCATTGCAGTTTAGATGTTTCTGTAATCAATATAAGCCTTTTTTTTTGCAGCATTTTGACTGGTTTCTTTAGGTTTGTGTCGACCACAGTTACTACAAGTCACATTGCCAATAAAATGTAAAGGCTGCATCGGATGAACCGGACTCAAGGCGTACATCCATCTCTGTACCTGATAACACTGTCCAGACAGCTGATCTGCTGATAGGAGTACACAGTCTGATCATTGAAGGACAGGTCCTCCTGTAAAGAGGCTCGACTCTCCTCCATAGGTGAGCCGGCTTCCCTCCAGCTGAGATGGGCGGCCGAGTCTTTGGGTCGCACCACCGCTAGACTCTTTGGTACAGACTCTACTGGAGAGAAGTCAGGGGGTTAGTGTCTGAGAGCAGAGAAGAAATGTCCCATTTTTTTCCACAACAACTGAACGAGTCGCAAAACGACACGTGAAAATAAAAACACGAGGATAATTGTGAGGTGAACTTACTGCCGCTGCCTTTCTTGTTGTCTAGTTTGGCTGTCTGCTGCTCCTGGCTCTTCTGAAGATGAATTCCTTTACAGATTTCCTGAAAAGTTCGCTGTTAAAAAGGAGACACAAGAGTCGATTTAACATCTGTTAAAGGAGCCTGACATGATCATGACAGAGCGATCTGCAACAAGCTGGAACAAGTTTGTTTTGGTCACATAAACTTTGCTGAATATAAATGACAACTCAATTATTCTGGATGGCAAAATGATTGAGCAAAAATTAGGTCTAGCATAGAGTGTTTGTTTTAACCATATCATCCAGTTAAAGTAGGTCCCTGTGTGCAAGAACTAACTGCCCCCAAAGGTGCAAATCTGTAAAAACCAGCCTCTTGTTACTCATTCAGTATTCCTCAAAAGCTGACTCAGCAGCCTAGCAGTAAACTGAGGTTTCGGTTGCTTTGTAATCGTCCTCATTTTGCATCGTCACTGTTGAGTCATGTGACGGCCGCACAGAGAAAGAGCGCGCCATGGATACGCTTGTTTTGGTTCCAACGTGGAAACCGCCCGAGTATTCGGGTTCACTCACAGGTCGGGCTTTGCCGCTCGCTTTCTCTTCCTCCTGCTGCATCTTGGTCTCGTTGCCGTTGTTCAGGCTTTCGCTAGAAGACGTGATGCCCAGAAGGTGGTCGTTGCTGTTCAGGCTGCCGTGGCCACTGGAGCCACTGTTATGAACCGGCTGGTTGTAGAAAAAGAGAGAAAGAGATTACAAAGGGCGCAGAGGATGTAGAACTGCTTAAAGTAGATAGATGAATAGATCTCATGTGTTTGGTCTAAAGGTTCCTTTTTCTTCCACCCCGTTTTCTAAATACATTCATTCCTTTGATTGATTTAATCATTTCTATGATTCTCCTCTCTCACCTGTAACAGGAGTCGATGAATCTGCTCAGTAATCTCCTGGATGTCAGAGTCCATGGACTTCATCTCCTTGGCAGCGGAGGCCGGGGCCACAAAGACGTCTTCATTCACGGGGCCCCTGGTAGAAAAACACATCAGCATGTTGACGTACAGCAAACAGCTTCAAAACCTGACAAACAAAAGAACAACTTCGCTTTCATTAGATGGCACAGGACTGATACTCACATTCGGACTTTGTGTCTTCCGATAACAAAGGAGACCTTGCGGCTCCAGGGGTTGACAAAACTGGACCAGCTGGTGTCTAAGATGATGTATTCTCCGTTTCGTGCACAGAACCGGATGGATGAGTGGTCAAACGGCTGTCCTGCGCACTGAAGAACTGCAGAAGATGTCAAAAGAACATAGTCAGATCGTGCCGGGGACGGACGCAGGACATTCTTTCCCCATTTCATTCTGTGGACTCACTCTTTCTGTGAATGGCCAGCATGATTGGACGGTCGTTGGGATGCAGGTGGAGGAGGACCGGGGTGCCAATAAGGTCCTGGGGGAGGTAGCCGAGGAGGGGTACCGCCCTGTAGCAAAACATCAAACACAAATTGTTCTATCCATGTAAAGTTCAGGGATGTCTGTGCAAATATTCCATTTCTTTTTTTTTTTTTTTTAGCTTAGCACTAAAAGCCTTCGTGGCATACCTCTCGTCTACATCCTGGAACACACAGCTGGGCGTGTGCGTGGTGGTGAAGATGCGCTTGTCTGTTGGAATCCTCGGTGCTGCAAGGAAATAAATTAAAAAACAGAATTACTCATTTGTCCAAAATAGAACTGGGGCTGGTCTCTTTTGAAAAGTCATGGTTTAATTACATTTCAACACACAACATCTTCTTTGAATTCATAATATTTTTCCGCAAAGATTCGACTGTACAGATTTTGCTAGCCAGGAGTTATCAGTGAAAACATTGCCTTAAACAAAAACATGCATCGATAAGCACACTTAACATTTACCATTTGCTGTGATTTGTGTCTGATTCATAATTTGTCCTTCCAAACCTGCAGTCAGATCCTCACCATCATAACCCGAGTGAACTCTCTCAGCCAGGAGGAGGCAGCAGAACTGGTCTTCAGCGTGAACCGTGTCCTGGACCTTCATCCGGTAAGGCGTCATGCGGAATGGATAGTACTGCCGGTCGCCTTGACACTCCTTACCGCCGCTGGAAAATTAATTACAAGAAGAGTTTACTAAATCAGAGGAAGCCAGTACAAAATACTCCCAATTAAAGTGAACATATTTTCAGCTTGTGAACACATGGGGGTGCTGTGCAGCTATCTGTCCATCCATATATGTGAGCAAATAAACAAATGTTGGTGTGAACATTTTCAAAATTCTAGTCTTCTGTTTGGAGTTTAAGTCTTAAACTGACTCTGTCATCACATATGAGGTCTTAAACTTTAAGACCTCATATGTGATGACAGATCAGGTGATTACTAAGAGACCTAATGACTGGAATTAAAAAATTAATAAAGCTAATGGAGCTTCCTAACTAATGCAATATGCGTTTTTAATGTGTAAATGCGCCTGACTGTCTATATGTATAACACCGGCCCGGAAAAAGCATCTGATTACAGTTTCTACGCTTATGATGTCACAAGCTAATTGAAAAGCATCCAGACTGGAATGAAAGCATGAATAAAAACTACAAACAGGTACGAGCAGCAGATGGCCCGACGTCGTGTTTGAACCAACACCCACCTGATCCGGCAGAAAAAGGATTTCTCCTGCATGCAGTCAGGCGGGGATGACTCTGAAATGGGAAAAGGGATGTTTTAATTCAAAAGCAACAGGACCCGGCCAAATGGCAGTCGGTGTCTCGGCTCCCGCAGGCGGACGACGTTTGATTAATTCCATCAAAAAAACATGGTTTAGAAGCGCGGCGCTGCACTTACATGCGATGAATTTAAACAGAGTCAGGCTCTTGATTTGATACGCTAACCAAAATATTTCGAGTCAAATAGGGGACAAATAAAATAAATAAAGACAGCATGGGTCTGATGTGTAGAAAAAGGCAAAAGACACAGTGGTCAATTTGGACGTTATCACTTAAACTGGAGGTACAAACTGACCCCTGTAAAATAAAATAAAACTATTTCATTATCTGAATTCAGACTGTGCTTTGGAGTATTGTACATTTTGTTTGTCTGTGAACCCCACTCAGTAACCCATTGTACTTTCCTAATTACGCTTTAGCAGCCGGGACAGGTCAGTCCATCCTCTCCAGCTCAGTTGAAAACATCATTTTCAGAGGAGAAGGTCAGGTCAACTTGAACAAAATGCACCGTGATGATAGCTGGTTGTGTTTCGCTGTCTTGTACATACAATCCAAGACTCTCAAGTAGTAATTTCTGCATATTGTACACAGTGTCCTATGCATGCACATGACTTCAAAGAACACTTAAAGACAAGATATTCTTATCAACTTTGAGGTTTTGCGGTGCCGGCAGCAGCTGGTAGCAGCTTGATGTCTTCCCTGATTCTACACATCATTCCTACTCAGCTGGTCTCCATATTGCAACCGTTATTTCTGTCTACTCTGCACCTACTGAATAGCTGGCTGTGCTGCAGGATAAACCCCTTCTGGGTGTTTTTATTTTTGTTTCTTATTTGAATTAAGGATCTAAGTGTACAGAGCGTTGTTTGTTTTAGAGACAAATTCAGGATTTTAAGCGTTATGATTAAAATCAGCTTCACTTGTCAGTCTCATAAGCGCAATCATGGTCAAAGACGTCCTTGAAGTTATAACTGAAACTGTGTTAGCCGTGCGATTTCTGTACCTGCTCCGGTGCACATGCTCCAGGAGGGCAGGCGGTAAGGCGTTGTGAAGCTGTAGAACACACTGACGTCCTGCGGCGTCAGGAACTCCACAAACTTGGAGTTCTTGAACACATCTCGTTTGCAGTTGAGGATGGAGGCTGCCTGGTCGGAGATGTAGACTATCCTTCCCGTGATGAGTGACACTGCGACAGCGAAAATGTCCTGTAGGAGACAAAATCCAAATTGCAGGATGATTAACAAAACTTGTCCCCGATTGCTCAAATTTGATTTAAACATCAGTGAACTGTAATTTTATAGCAGCAGTATTTCAAAGCTCATTTAATATCTCACATTGTTTTTGAGGGTGTACTCAGACGTGATGCTGTCGATTTCCTCTATCGTATAAGAAGACACATCCAGGCCTGAAGGCTGACTGTCATTGATCATCAGCAGCTGGTAATACTCCTCATTGGCTGCAAAAAAAGGAAGAAACGAATACAGGATAATCTCATTAAAATACAATGCAGAAAAACAGAAAGCAACAACAATGATGACGCAGAGTAGGATGAATACATAGATGACTTCACGACTCAGACCGATGTCACAGACATTTTTTAGTGATGAAAAACGTCTCAGCGCTCCACTGAAGTGCGTCACGTTCTGCACGAACCAAACTGGACGCTGCACTGTTGAACCGCTCCACGCCCATTTACAGCTGTAACCATTTAGACGGGGCTAATTCAAGCACACACAAACCGCTACTCGCAGGACAGCCAAGAAAAATGTTCCCTCCTGCTCAATGTTAAGTCTCTTTTTTTTTTTTTTTTTTTGGGCTTTTACGCTTCCTGAATACCACAGTAAAGGCATTTTTGTGAAAGAAATAATAGTTCCATTCATACATTCACTAATGAATGTGGAGTAAAATATTAAAGTCCCAAAAATATCTGCTCGGGAAAACGAACGGAGCAGAAAAACAGGCAGCATCTTCGTAGAGGCTGGTAATGGCACACGAGGCGGAGAAAGATGAGGATGATGTTTTAATGCATTACACACCTTCCACCTGCTTCACACAGCGAAGGGCGTACTTGAGCGTGTTCAGCGTGGTGGACTTGTTATTGTGTCTTTTCTCAGCGGGCAGGTGAAGCTTCAGCTCCTTCAGCGTTTTGATCACCTCCTTCTGGGTCTTTGCTTTGGCGGACTCCTCACTACTGCAGGTCGGACAAACATGTGCACAGCAGCACGTCGGTTATTGCAAGAAGGAAAACAATCCCACAAAAAGCAATTAAGTAAAGGAAACAGTAGCTCATTAATGATGTAATATTGTGAGATGTGCTCCTGATGCACTAACCTGCAGCCGCTGGTTGAAGGGTTGTCCTGCTCCGAGCTCAGCAGACTGAAGGCGTTCGAGCTGCTCGGAGGAGACGGACTGTGGGAGTTCGAACTGTGTTGGGGGGAAGAAAAAAAAAACCATACTGATTGAGCATCACCAAAACAAAAAAAAAATTACCTAAATTACAGCAAAGGTAAACACACAGAGAGAGGAGAGCACTGACTCTAAATCAGTCGGCCTAATTTTAAGCCCTGTCTCGTTAAATTAAACAGCAGCAGTAGACTGATTGGGGACACAATGTTGACATCAGTTTCTTCTTCTTCTTTTTTTTTTTTTTCCCTCTGAAGCACCATTTTCACATGTTTCATACATGCATCTGAGGTGCTCAAGTTACCTAATAATAAAAGAACAAGTATGGTCAATCTCACCATATGGGGTGTTATTAAGTTGAGCTATAAAAAGATTAGCGGCTTTCTGCTTTTGTGGAAGTAAATGAGGAACAGTGTTCATGCAGCTTCACATCTCGTTTGGTGGCTGGGCTACAAAAGAAACGTCATTCCAAATCTGAGGTTGGTCTCACCACCTTGAGGACCTATTGTGCATCTGCAGGTCCGGGAGCGCGCAGCAGGAGGGCGCCGATAAAGCAAGAATTAGAGGGCAAAAAACACAACCGGGAGCACAAGACTCTGGAGCTGCTCTCCTGGTGCCCTCAGACGGTTAATGCATCATTGACAAAGCTGTTTTTTGTCTGACCCGTTGTTGCCGACCTGCGGTGCCCCAGAACGAAATTGCACAATTTTACACTCTAGCTCAAATGGCGTCGAGAAGAAAATCGCTAACTGTGCATCATTAGTTCAGTTTTTCTCGTGAGTCGTTCCATCTCTCCCATCAGTCTGCTCTTAAATCAAGAAACAAAGCAATGGAAAGTGAGCCCTCGTCTTCTTTGCGGCGAATGCTTTCTATTCATTTTGCTCATTTTCAAGCAGACTTTTCCAAATTTGTTAAAACATAATGACTCAACATTATAAAAATATTAACATCTATTGGGTGAAAATTCATTTTACAACTAAATAGTAGCTGTTTAATGGAGCTCACGGTTCATTTCTTCTGTATCTAACAAACCCCGGCCCTCCTCGGCGTCGGGGTTCTGGGTTGTCACGATAACTTTGCGGTGTCACGATAACCACCGCCGTGACAACCGCTCATTAACACACGACCGAAACTCCGAGGTTGCACTGACCATCTTGTTTCAGACCTCTTAGAAGGTTTTTGGAAAAAGCTCTGATTTTGAGTTCATATTTTTTCCTGTAGGTACATCAGGCTCGTGTAGAAAGCTGCGTGCACTTGAAGAGTATTTGTGTGTGATCCAAGGTGTTAACCCACAAGCTTACCGCCGCACTAGCACAGTGAAACCAACGGCCTTCAGAGACACTGACTCACTGTAATACAGCTTACTATGTATAACAGGCTTACCTGGACAAGAATAGAAGACACCTGTACAAATAGCCTCTCCGAGCACAGATGGGTCTCTAATTCGATTAAATATAGCCCTCGGTGCTCAAAAGCGCAACAGCTGGTTTTAGACTGCGAGACTTAGAAACAGTTTATCACAGCAGGCTAATTGACAAATTGGGAGTAAATCTGTGTGCAACCCTCCGTGGACACCGAAACAGATCGCTCAAGGTCTATTTTCAGGTTCTACTTCGTGCAAGTTGGCGTTCCCAAGAGACATACATCTTAAAGAGTGTTTGAAGAACAAGAGCGGTGTTCAAATTCTAGTATTGAGTAGGTCCCACTCTTGCTGCCAAAACAGCCACGGGACATTTGGAGGTGTATTGTTTAGTCAAATTTGGAGGTAAGTAAGGACGCACTCGGGCTCTTTGTCGTGTTCCTCGAGCAGTTCAACAGGCACATTGTTTAGGCGCATGTCAAAGTAACATCTGCACGAACGCCAGGATCCAACGTTTCCCAGCGTAACGTTGCACTAGATGATCCCTGTTATCCACTTCACCTGTTTTAATGTTGGCTGATTTGCTGGGATTTTAAGTTTGCTGATGAGCTACTCACAGCTGCAAGAAGTGCAAATAAATTTCACATAGCGATCCAGAAATGTCTCAGAAAAGCTTTAAACACTTAAACTGGAGAAGTCTGACTGAGAGGGACATCTGAGTTTGGCTAATGAAGGTCAGGCCACGGATCGTCTCGCTGGTGCAAAACAATAAGGTTCAGTTTTTACATACAAAAACATCAAAAACAGACAATAGCAAGCAGTGAATGAAGTATTCAGATTTTTTTACATTTATTACATTTGCTTACTTTATCAGAAAAACATAAAAACATTTGAAACGGCACGAGTAAAATGGAAATTTAAAGTGTGAAGTAACTTGTAACACAAGCTATGAATGAAATAAACTAAAGTAAAGATAGATGTGTGTCTTTAAAAAGTCCAGTAAAGATGTAAAGTAACAGAAAACACTCACGTAAAACACAAAACTGCATTATTTAATTGTATTATGAGTGTATTAGTTGCACGTATTGTGACAGGCTACATGTGGATGATGCCGCTTTACGCTGACACCTGAACAACACTCTTTAAAACCAAGACTAATTTTATAGTGATGTACAATCATTTTGTTTAAATAAAACACTGAAATTACATTTAATGTTTAATCAGAGAGCTATTAAACAATCTGATTAATTGGGGGCATATTCGGGGGGTCTTCAGAGCCATCCTGATGAATGAGAAACTAGTTAATTCTCTTTTTTTCTTAATTCAAACACATCTTTCTGAAGAAGAAGTTGAACTTAAATCTGGAAACCGTCTCTCAAAGTCACACACATACAAGATGCAGGCGGCTTCACGGAGCTGACTGTGTGTTTGTAGTCCACTGCACTGCATTAACCGACAAGCTTAACTAAAGTCTATTAACAGCTGTCTGAGAAAGTGACTCACCTGAACTACAACTGAAGCTCCCGGCTTACCCGGCTAAGAATAGGAACATTTATACAAATAGCCTCTCTAGTCACAATTAGGTATTTAAGTCTCCTAAATATAACCTTCAGTGCTAAAGAATGCAACAGCTGGGTTTAGACGGGACAGTCTGAGCATCTATTAGTGCTGAATCGACTCTTTTGCAGCGCGGTGGTAGGTCCGGGAAACATGTCACAGAAAGAGACGCTCAGTAAGTTTCTGTTTTAGTCTGTGCAGAAGAGGAAGATCGGAGCAAGGTGGTCCGGGTTAATTAGAAACCTTTCACTGACAGGCGTTATGTTTAAACAGACGTGGATAACACGGGGAATCGACTGCATATAAACAAGGCCAAGAGGACCTCCAGCGGCTTTAAAACCGGCCTGATTTTCCACTCTGCACGATGACTATCAATGAACTGCACAACTATCATTAGATTCTACTTTTCTTTTACAGGAAAGACTGATTAGGAAGCACCATGTTTGTTTTTCCTTTTTTTTTTTGCCAAACTCTTGACATTGAGAATAAAATAAAGCATTTGTGAGTGTAAACGTTTCTGACTCGGCCGTGAACTTGTGGAATCTGTGTAATTTAGCTTATGACTCCACAGTGCAGCTGGAGTCGGCGTGTGCAGGATGTGGTCAAGCCACATAAAAGCACTAATTTGTGAAAATCAGCAGCACTGAAGAGACCCTGACTCAGATACGACACGTTACTATAACAGGCTTACATGAATTAGTATTACAGCGTTATTAAACTCCTGTCCAAGCGTGACCTAATTCTTTATCAGTAATGTTTGGAGTGCTGCTCAACCGATTTTCAGGTCTGGTCACAAATTCTGGGCAGATTTAAAAGCCCTTCTCTATCGAGCTTTTTGCTTTTTGAGGGTGATTGTCTTGATGGGAAAAAAATGGTAAAGTCACATTTCTGCAGCAGGTCTTTAATCCAGACTTGTCTGTATTTTACCAGGTCCGGTCTTCTCGGAGTTGGGCTGTTTGGGAATGCAGCCCAAAGCGGGTGGTAAACTCCATCTAAGGCTAAATACCGGCTTCTTCTACATTTATCGGCCTTCCTGGCACGCATTAAAAAAAACAATCCTCCCAGCATGGTGCGTTCACCAGAACGCTTCCAGGTGGGGATGATGGAATTCTGGTTTCATGCAGAGTTTGGTTGATGCTAAATATAGCATTCAGCACGATGGCAAGAAAAAAAGTCTATAATATTGGACTTTCTTTAATTGTCATTGCAGAGTTATGTGGCTCGGTGCACTTAGAAATGAGAAGTCCGGCGCCTGGATAGCTCAGCGGGTCGGGCGGGTGACCCACGTACAGGGGCTATAGTCCCCAACGCAGTGGCCGCGGTTCGATTCCAGCCAGTGGTTCATTTGCTGCATGTCATTCCCCCACTCTCCTCCCCATGTTTCACTGTCAACTATCATTAAAGGTGGAAAAGCCTAAAAATAAATCTTAAAATAAGAAAAGTAGGTTCAAAAAGAACAGAGACAAAATTGGGAATGTATATGTCAAATAATAAAAAGGTAAAAAAAAAAAAATGGTAGAAAATATAAATGAAAGAAACTCTGTATAGGCTATGTAAGAATTAAACCTATTTAAAATAGAATATTTACAATATATTGCACATGTTTGTTATTGTTGTTGTATTGCAGTGAATCAGTCCAACATCCTCCCACATACAAAATTTATTAGACCACCTGTCTAATTTGTTAAGCACTGTATATATATTTATAGACCATCCAACATCATGAAGGATTTAATTCACACTCAGCTCTCGGCGTTTTTTTGAACAGGAATGAGGAATTTCAAATTAAATCTATCTTTTTATACCCAAATTTAAGCCTAATCAAGCATAACATTGAACCACTAAAACTAAATTTTCTGTTCAGAAATGCAAGTAAACAGCTATAATTTGGCATCTTAACCAAGAAATACTCAAGTGCTTTACTGTTTTTTGTAAAACAGTTAATCTGAAAACTCATGGATAACAATAATTGTTATATTTTAGCTTTAAAAATATCATTTGGGTTAAAGAGCTTCTACATGCTGGTGCATTAACCATCACAGAAACATGAGACATGATTCAGGGCAGCTAACCTCACATTGGGTGGTGGTCTAATAAATTAGCTAAGCGCTGTATATACAGTTAGTTTTCCACTTCTCACATATGATTGCGTCTTTCCTCAATGCACCACCGTCTGTCTCCTGCTCAAGCCAACAGCAGCTTTTGTCAGGCTACTGATTGGGCTCTAGGGTTATATCACCACCTCTTCACTCCTATTGTGTTAGCAGGAAAAACCCAGACCACAAAAACGCCCGCCTATTTGTGGACTTGGCCTAAATATCCATAATCTCTGTGATCCAGTGTTATAAAACATGAGACAGTTTTTATTTTATTACTGCTTCCAGAGAACTTTCCTCCTAATGTTTCTACTAAACACATGACAGTCAATAGAAAAGACTGACTAAAAAAATCCACCACACTGCACCTTTTAAACAAGCTTTTGGACGGACTGAGAAAGAAGAAATAATTTGAGCGACAGGTGGGAAAGTTAAAAAAGTGTGAAAATGTCTGAATGTGGAAGTCGCGGTTTGCAAAAAAAATGAGTACAAAAGGTTGGAAGTTCAGCTGAGTGGAGGGAGTGGTGAGCAGGCCAGAGGGACAACAGAGGGAATTAGAGAAACAAAGTTGGAAGCTGAAGTCATTCCGTCAGCACACGACTGTGGGAGCAGGAAGAAGGAGTGGCTCGCAAAAAAAATAATCAGGATCCAGAGGCCGGAGCTGAGGCGAGACGGGCACGGCCGAGAGTGAAAGAGCACCGACGTCAGAGCGCGTAACTCCACCCTGTGACAAACACACACAAACATGGTGCGTTGCCGTGGCGATAACAAGGAGATGGAGTGCGTGACACAACCCATCTGGCATTAAGAGAAAGACGGTCTCTTGCCTCCCAGCTGACATCAATTCAGTTTTCCAACCGGGAGCTGCAGTCATTTTACTTTTTTTTTCCGCCCGCCCAGGCCGTCTCCCGGGCAGAGGGCATTGTGTCTGCGCTTATTTTCGATCTCGCTGTCGTCACATTTGGACAATTTGGGGGGGAATTTTGGCGATGCTTGTGAATCATTCGTATTCCTTCTTCTGTAATGGAGTTTAAACGCTGCACAACTGCGAAGGATCTGACACATGGCTAGGAGTTCAGTTTAAAATGATATTTATTCCAAGATCAGGCAAGTAAAATCTGTTTGCTAGAGTCAAGCTTTTAGAATCTGAAACAATCTGACTGTAGACAAACATTAACCCTCATTTAAAGTTATGAATTCCCCCCGACAGTGCCATAAAAAGGAGCGACAACTTTTTGTGACGCACACTGCAGCGGATTTGGCAGCTCTGTGCACCGTGCCCAAGGTCAAGTTAAAACATGTGACCTAGAAGTGCACCATAGTGAATTTTTGCCAATATGTTGATATGGTCCAGCTCATGTATGCACATATTTCTTTCCACCGAACCGCAGAGAACATCAGATCTCCGCTGCAGTGGAATTAACGTGCCTCTCTTGTCGTGATGGTACGTGGGCAGCTGCAGACATAAAATAAGAAAACTGCTCACATTTGAAACGTGCCAGATTTATTTTGATTTATTGGATTTATTTAAATCCTCTGACGTCAGAGGATCAACTGTGAAAAAAGGCGGATTTATACTAGTTTTTACTGATTATCTGCCAATTATTTTCTAAATTATTATCACATATTTTCGTATTAACAGTAAAAGATTCAAAGATAATAGGAATGCTGTCACACTTGACGTGAAAAAAAACAGAAACTCTTCATATATGAGAAGTGGGACAAGTGGTGTTGACTTTTTTTTTCACTCTTACAGTCAAATCCCAACCTCTCAGCATCTTACCACAAGTGTCTGGTCATGTATTAGGGTTTAGTGCAGTTTTTGAACTGGCTTACGGTAAATGTAACTAGTACTATGATTGCATCAGACCCAAACCGGATGTTTTTTGCCCTACATGCAGATCAGATAGTGTTTACAGTGTTTCAGGGTTTCATCAAGCTGGGTTTCATACGAGCAAGACTACAAACTGTCAAAAGCAACCACCAACTGCTGCGACCAGAAACAAAACCTGACTCACTCGTACCGCGATGTGAGCTGGCAGCAGATCTGGTTCAGGCAGCGATAGCACGAGTGCGGTAAAAGTGAATGATGTCAAATTAATCCTCATTTGGACAAAAGTCCCAAAGTAAACCGCTACCGGATGTCCGACGGGCAGTTTTTCCTTTCACGTCATTCGGAAGAAGAGCTCAGCTGGCAGGAAGAGTGTCATTGAAGATGAAATTACCATTTAAAAGCTATTATTTAAATCAGTCTTTTTGTTTGGGAAACACTCACGGTCGGAGAAAAGCGGGTTAATTTATGCGCAGCGTCGACGCACTTTAGGGCCAAGAGCTCGGTGGCCATCAGCTGAAGCCTTGGTTCGCTCATTTACAGACAAACACATCAGATAGCCGCATTCATCATGAAGAGAACGTGACGGTACAGGGAATCGTTTCTCGTTTTTTTATGTCAATAAAATGCCGCTCTACATGAACATGCCAAGGTTCGCCACGAGGACGACCACAATCCTGTATTATTTGTTCAAACAAAAACGCTGTTGTTCCCTTAAAAGTTTTGCAAAATTCCAGTTTCAGAATTGTCATTTTAATGGCACCAAACTTTTTTTTCCCCTCCTCAGGGACATTTATCGTCCTAATTTGTGAGCCACGACTGCTGCCGTTTGGATTTAATTACTGTTTCTATCCCGTCTGTTGACCTACTGACGGATGCCAAAAATGTATTGCTACAGCGCCAACTTCAAAGCATACGTGGAGCTGAATAGCTGTGTGGCGAAATCGACAAAGTTAATATTACGAGTAGGCGACGACAGTGCGTAGCTTGCACAACAGCTTTCGTGACAGCCAAGTAAAGTGTGTAAGCACTTCCTGTTTGCAAGATTAAACTTTGGTTTAATATCTGTTGCTGCTGGCTGCTCATTCCGCCTGTCGTCCTCAACAGAGTTTTGGAAATGTTTGGTTCAGGAGAGTTTCATCTTTCTATCTAATCTAACGCCTAGATATTTAGTCATCAGAGTGGGTCAGAGTGTTCTGACCAGACTGGATACAGGGAAGGATTCCTGCACAATACAGGTGTTATTATTGCAAACAACCTGAGTAAACCTCTCTCTCTCTTTTCTTTACACTCACAATCGTGGTAAATGTGTCGGGGAAAACGCAGGCGGGCGTACTAATGGATTTGTCATTCTTCCACTGACCTCTTATTGCTCTCAGAAGACTCCAGCAGCGCCGAGTCCTTGCTGTTGCCGTTGGAGCTGCCCACCGACTCGTGGCTGTGGCTCTCGTTCCCGTGACTCTCGTTGCCGTGGCTTTCATTGCCGTGCGACTCGGTTCCGCTCCCGCTGGACCCGCTGCTCTTCATCTCCACATCCTCCTCGGGGAGCGATGGGGAGCGGGCGTTCTTGCGAAGGTTGTGTGGCGAGGCGGGAGGGTCCTGACCGCTGCTGTCGCTGCCCTCCGAAGCGAGGCCTAGGTCGGGCCCGGCCTGGCTGTAGCCACCCATGCGGTGCAGCTGTGCCATGGAGCTGCACCCTGAAGCCCCCCTGGGGATGGAGCCGCACGAGGTGGACGCTCTGCACCCTGAGGTGCCATCCTGGTCCTCCAGCACTGGGAAGCAATAGGGCTTGGAGTCTGAGTCTTCTGACATCAGGAGGAGCTCGACCCTGGGCTTGTTCCAGGTTAGTTAATTAGATGATGAGAGAACGCAATCACCCCATCTTCACCAGGGTGACGCCAGAGGGAACTAACTAGGAGGCGGACTGATCTGTGAAGACAAGAAGATTAGACACGTTAGGAACGAAGCATCGCTTGTCCAATGAAAGCAATGCACATTTTAGATATTTAGAAATGTGAGCTAGCACATAGACTAAAAAATTTTTAAAAATCCAGTGAAAAAAAAAGAAAAAGTAAAAATCAGCAGCGCAGGTGCCACAAAAAGGTAAAAAAAAAAAAAAAAAAAAAAGCAACAATGATGGCACAGATTACAAAAGAGCAAACGACTATTTACTGATTGCAATACAAAAAAGAAAGGTGTAGTTTTATGGTTAAACATTATTTACAGTTTAGGTCTGTTTTTTATGGTTACAATGTGAATGAATACTTTTTTTTTATTATCTGTAATTTAATGAAATAGGATGAATGTGTAAACTTGTAAACAGTAAATTGTTCAAAAAATTACAGTTAAAAACAACTTACTCAAAGAAAAACTGCTCTGCCAACTATAAAGGCATGCATTGATCTGAGTTCAGAATCAAAATCAACTTTTTGGCCAAGTTTGCAAACAAGGAATTTGACTCTGGTGAATCTTAGCCTTCTGTATTAGAAAAAAACTAGAATAAAATAGGAGTAAGAACAATATTAATATTCATTACAATGCAGGGACAACAAAACGCTGCACAGATCGACCAACAGGACGGCCGACTTAAACAAATCAGGTCAAGTAAGTATTAAACTTTTAATACTGACATGCACTGAAACCAATAGTTGCCTGGATGGCAGGTAGCTAATCTAAATGTCAGCATTTTAAAAAGGTCAGCAGTGAGTCAAAAAACATGTGACGTGCATTCAATTAGTCAAAATATGCAAAAACACCAGTGTTGATCTTAAACACGAGGACGCGCTCATACATTTGCACACACAGACACACGTGTAAACAGACTCATACATACGCATAACGCCGAAAAAAATCCCCGTGAGGCATAAATCAATGCTGCACCGATCAGGCTTCAAAATGGTTTCTTTTGTCTGGTGGGATATCAGAGCGTTTCGAGGGTTTAACCCCTGGCCTGTGAAGAGCCCCGCAGATGCCTCTCTGATGTACAGTGAAAAGGCTCTCTGGTACAGACAGGGTGGCCTTTAAGAGCAGCGGGTCGGTCCCATCTGAGCCCTCCGACCCTTTGAAAGCATCGCTCACACTGGGACACATAAAACACTCGACTGTGTTTATCTGAATGCCACCTCAGGTTGCCAGCCGACCGTGTGGAACTTTGCCCTGTTCTCCGCGGCCTCAAGCAGGCGTGCGATGCGGCGAGAAGGGCTTCAGACGCCCTGACTGGTGTAAAACCAGCACCATAGATAACGATGTTATATAAATGCCAGAATTTCTAAACAGTGTCGAGTGGAAATTCCTCGGATTACGCGGAGTGACAAATGCCAGATTTTCCCTGGACAGTGGTGTGTTTGGAGTGAAGTCAAGAAAAACTGGTTAGTAACCACGGCCAGAATTAGAAACTAAAACTTTTTGTGAAGGGATCACTCAGGAATGCAGCTCAGAAATACCACACATGGGTATTCGTAACTTTGGGTAATGACAAAGTACGGGAAAATGGAGAGGGAGAATTTGAAAAGCAAATGCTGTTAGATAAGAGCCCCATGGAGCTGTAGTTCAAGACTACAAGGTTGAGATGAAAAGGTAGAACTCAGTTGCCTCGGGTCATAATGATATAGAATTATACTAATGATACCGTAGTGATGTAATGTTAGCCTTTGTATGACTGTCTCTGTGTGAAGTCCTTCTTTGTTTTAGCCTTTGTAGCAACAAGTTCAGTTAATGTTCATTTACATTTGAACCCAGTGATGCAAAAATTTGTCGAGCCTCGTAATTGCAGTAATACTTGAGATTTAGAGCGCAGTCAAATAAAACAATATCGCCCACATCATCCTGTCTCCGGGCAACAAGTCGAGGTCAAAGTGAACCGGCTTCTTTCCACTCGGCACCGCAATGGAAAATGTCTGTTTTCTGTTCTGGCTGAGGACGCACAAGTCTACAACCTCCTCAGTTCACCTGAGCTTCATAGGAATGTGTGCTTAGTCTCAAGTATCAAGTTCATTTCTGCCTCAAGCCCGTGCATGTAAGAGCATTTTTTTAACGTAGGTTTTCTGTTGAGTGACGCTCGTGCTTGTTGTCTGTTCATCTGCTGATGAGCCGTTGAAAGCTGAGTTTGATTATGTGTTTTTTTTTTTCGGCCTTTCAAGTAAAGAGAAGGGCGAGAGAAGTGTGGGGAAGGACATGCTCAGCCCCTATACATGGGTCGGACTGGATTAGTCCCTATACATGGGTCGGACTGGATCAACCCCTATACATGGGTCGGACTCAATCAGCCCGCATTCATGGGTCGGACTCGATCAGCCCTGATACGTGGGTCGGACTCGATCAGCCCTGATACGTGGGTCGGACTCAATCAGCCCCTTGAGTGGGTTGGACTCGATCAGCCCCTATACATGGGTCGGACCTGATCAGCCCCTATCAGCCCCTATACATGGGTCGGACTCAATCAGCCCTGATACGTGGGTCGGACTCAATCAGCCCATTGAGTGGGTCGGACCTGATCAGCCTCTATACGTGGGTCGGACTCGATCAGCCCTGATACGTGGGTCGGACTCAATCAGCCCATTGAGTGGGTCGGACTCGATCAACCCCTACACATGGGTCGGACTCGATCAACCCTGATACATGGGTCAGACTCAATCAACCCCTATACATGGGTCGCCTGCTCAACCTGTTGAGCTAGCGGGGCGCCCGAAGGGGCACCAACAAGTCCACATGTTTTATGTTGTCTCTCCTTATTCAGGAATATCTGAAGCATTATTAAACAACAGATTTATCGTCGTTGAGCTTCTCAGCGCACACGATCTCTGCAGTAATGAGAAACTTTTATTGCCGCTGCAGCTGGTGTCATCTGGAAATCATAGTGGTCCCTGAATAACACAACACAACTCCACGGTCATTACGTTGACAAACCTTTGTGGTAAATGGCAGCAGTGGGGCTGAATAATTCATCAATTTTAAATTGAAAATTGAAGTAATGGAATGATCAAATCTCAAGGGCTCCAACGTAGGATATAAGTTATGTAGCCCGTCTGACCCAGCTTTTAAACCGTTGTGTGATTGTTTTTACAAATTCGACCACCCTCCATGAGGGACAGTCATGCCTTTGATTGTGTCTCAAGCAGTAATGTTAAGTCACATGTTTAACTCTAATACACATGATATACTGAACGTGTACTTCACTTTGATATTGCAAATCAAACCGCAGTAACTGAAAACTACAATTACATATTTTACCCAAACGGTTTACCCATGGACAGTAGTTTTTACATTAATAATTAACAAATCTGTTGAACTTTTCTGAGGCCAGTTCACAATCACTAGTCTGCTTATCACTGACCTGCTCCAGAGAAGGCTTATTTTCTATGTCCGTGCTGCTGTGTGAACTGGGTCAACATACAGCCAAATGACAAGACAGCACCGGGGTCTTGATAATTTGAACATGAGCAGTAAGTTTGGTAATGACCTGTTGTCTGTTGTGCAGCACTTGAACTCAGCTCTGTGGTTACGTTATTATTCTGCAAGGCAAAGTGCAGACAGAGCCTTTGATATTACTCACCCAACACTCTGTGCATAGTGCACATTCTGTAAAAACTGCTAAGCAGGGCTTTTTTTGCTGCACAGAAGACTTTGGGCAGGTGGCGCTGCAGAAGCAACAAGTGTGACTCAAAGTTTAATCCAGAGTTGAAGAGCTGGCCAAGTCCAGGAGTTCACACTAGTTTCCAGCTACCTCTCGGTCATTCACCTCATTAGGTCATTATCGTGTCAAACCTGTTGGCTCAACACCAGCAGACAATCAGGAAGGGAAAAAAGGAGGGAGGGAGTAGAGCAGCACGGGAGACGGAGGGGAGGAAGACATAAACCTGGACTCTACAGTCAGATAGTGAGTAGATAGAGGCATGTGAGGCAAATTAGAGAGGGCAAGTATAAGATAGAATTCCTCCACTATCAGAAAAAACTTTTGGCGCCATTCTTAATCGAAATGGCTAAAGTACTAATATTGTCATGAAATTAAAGAAAAAAAACAAAAAACTCATCCCCATCTGGGTGAAACGCATCAACTGTCTCCAACCTACACACCTTCTGCAATCAAATTTAACATCTACTGGTTGAACTTAATTAAAAGAGAAGGAGCCAATTAAACAAATAAGACACAAGGTAAGAAAAAGAAAACAGGATGTTTATACAGCTGCAAAAGCATCGGCGTGCTCTATAGGACATAGTGCATGACATTCGGGTGCTAAAAATAAACAATCAAATATTTACTCTGACACAACTTTGAGATTATTTATCGTACAGAACTTCTTGATTTCTATGTTTACAGAAACAGAAAACTCACTCTAATTTCCACTTGCTTAAAAGACAACCAGTGAGAAACCATCAACAAAAAGGATAAAACAAAAAGTAATATCAGTGCTTTATGCTGAGAATTTACTCTCTGCAAACCACCTGTTTACTCTTGCTGATAGGAGCCTATAAATATCCCCTCCATCCCTGCAGCGACGGTTACCTGCGGCTAATTCAGCATCTGTCATTATTCTTTCTGTCCGTCCCATCGTTAACAAAATCTAATCTTCCTCCTTAGCTACAGCAGAGAAGGAAGCGGATGAGAGTAACGTGGATGTCTTGTGTGGCCACCGGGGAACCGATCATCGTTTCAAGCTGAGCTCGCAGCCGCCGCGACGCGCCCTCGTCCCTCACGTGACATTACAGCCGAGTCCCTTGTCAGTCATCAACTTTCACTGACTTTACATAATGGAAAAACGCAGGCCGTGACACCGTTAGACGTCATCAAGGCTTTTCTTGTCAGACTGCACAATGTGGAAGCGAGTATAAGGACCAGGTGGCTAACAAGGCAAGATGAGGAAAAATAACACAATTACAGGTTGTATTTTACACTTTACGGACCCTTTTAATGCAATTAAAGTGTCATTCTGCACGACTGGGAACATGTTGCTTGCTTGACATTTCTTAACCTCTGGAGACTTTGAGAGATCATTTAAAAGGAAATCAATTTTTCAAGGTAAAAGGACAAAACAGTCAATTAAGACATGGCTTAAAGACATTATGTTGAAGATGCAATCAAGGTGAGGAATAACAATTTGATTACATTTGTTTTGGGTTTTTTTTAAGGTCTAGTCAGCCACCCACTGTTTTCCTAGACGGGTGAAAAGCAGCTCAGCCTTATTTTCGAACTTGCTGCTAACCTTAATCAGTGCTCCCAGAAATAGTCAAATCTAAGTGGTGTAGTAATGTCAGGTAGGAACTCAGCTTCCCACTGACTGTTTCCTGTACAGCACATTTATTGTTTAGAGACTGAAAACTCTTCCATTCACAGCTTAAAAGAAACCAATAAGAGGGGGAATAAAAGGACAAAAACCCAGCATGGTGGATAGAAATTATGGGAAGAAACACTAGATTTTGTATTCAGCTTTGTTGATATTTAAAACAGTTTCCTCCCTCTGTGATAATTTTTCATGTCAGCATATTCATGCTTTCAAAATACTCATTCCAACCACATCACACAGCCACCACAGCCAAGAACATGCTAGGCTTGAAACTCAAAGGGAGTCCGTGGGTTGTAGTTTTGGAAAACAACTCTAGCTCAAGCTGCAACTTCATTTCAATTTCATTCAGAAGCCTGACCAATATAGGATTTTTCTGGAGCCATTGCAGATTGTGAAGAGCAAAAAATTCTACTATTGATATACCAGCTCATATTGCTTATATATATATTAGGACAATATTACTTTTGCACAGTCTAATTTTGCACATTGGTACCTATTTATTTATCTTGTTTTTATTTTATATTGTATATTTTCTTTTGTATTTTATGTGTGCCTTCAATGTCGGGGTTGTCTGTGTTTTTCTTTTAATGTAGCTGCTGTAACAAGTAATTTCCTGCAATGGATCAATAAAGGAACTATCCTATCCTATCCTATTGAGAAGGGGAAATGATAAGTCTACTGTTTATTAATTTCCAAGCAATATATTCTACAAACTAGTGAGAATCTTACTGTGGAAACACTGCTTAACTCTGCACCCCTGTCTGCTCAACTGTACTCTGCTACATGTGCTGCAGACGGCTCTGACAGTAGCAGTGCACTCTGCTAGACAAACTGTGTGATGACACCATTTCTAAATCACTCCAAGCATCTTTTTCTGCATAATGCTTTGCACAAAAAGCTTTTCTCATTGGCACCATATCAGATAACATATATACCACAACACCAATACATCTGTGACAGGCCAACATCGCTCACTAGCTCTGTTTTATTCTCATTTGCATGAACCAAAATAAAACAATATACAGGTAGATGTGCCAAAAACAAATCAGATTGCTCAATTGCTGCTGATTGCTAAACTTAGAACCAAATCTATAAAAGGATTTTCTTTGCTTGTTTTGGCAAATCCGACCCTCAACATGCAATCTGGTGTGTATTCAGTCGTTGTTGCGCATTTTGATGAGCTGTTCATGTTCCTCCTTTAGCGCTATTTCTTAATAGTGTTATGAATACCTGTGTGTTTGCAAATGTCATCCCTAACAACCAACCCTTTGGCAAAAAGTGCAGCGAGTTCTCTCACATGCCGACATGACTGAAGTTGTTTCTTCTTTCGTTGACCTACATCCGTCTTCGATGGCATCTTAAATAGTCCACGTAAATCGGTGCACACTTGCCTCTACACACTGCACCGCACCTACCAACAACACTATCCATTTTTGTCTGCAGCTGCTGAACCACCAGAGGTCAGCAAGAAACTCCACACAGAGCTGCAGGCTGACAGGACAAGATATTCAAACACAAGCTGCTGCACAGGTGCTTTGTCAACCTCCCAGTTAAAAAAACAAAACAAAACATGTTAGTTTAAGAGAAACCGCAAGTCCAATCCTTGAATAAAGTTTGCCTGGCAGTCAGAAGGAGAGTCATTTGCAAGCTCCTCTCCTCCTCTTGTGCTGTAGGAGGGGGAAATTTGTATGGTTGCCAACCTTTCCACTGATTGCAGCAGAACGATAAACAGGCCTAAGTGACTTGTCTCTTGCCAGTTCTACGTGCGTCAGGCATCCTTTTTCCTCCCCCTGGAGTCACAAGGAGTAGCTGAATATGGACACATCATACTTCTCCACCCACAATGCATGTTTTACACACAGGACTGTTTTTTGTAAATCAAACTCCAGTTTTCAAAGCTAAATTCTGAATCACATTTTTTTCTCTGAATGGGTTTTATGCTCTTCTAGGAAAACTTAAAGCCAGCTGTCACTTAATTATCTTGACAATTTTCCTTTAAATTACAGAACACAGGCATCAAGCAAACAGTAGTAAGTTTCAATATCATTGCATAATGTGACACAGCAAGTTCTAATGAATGAAAGCCTTCACATCCCCCCCTTGACTCCACATGAGGATAAAGCGCATCTCTCATATTCTCCATGTGAACTTCTGCCATGTGCGGCTGCTGCAGTAGACTCTTTATGTAAGGCGTTATGTCTGAGTTTTCCTATGGCACCGACACCACAAAGCACGTCCACAATGCGCCATATGAGACTCTGACATCCCCACCTCAGTCACACTGTCGGCTCAGCTCTATTTATTCCGCTGCTTAGCGATATCTACCGGTTTGGCTGCATAACGCATCCACGCTCCTTATGTAAAGTTCCCGTGAGCGGCTGCCTTTCAGCTTCCCCCCCGCTAATAACAAGGTTATTCCCTCACGAGGGGACCCCGGTTCCCGCCGTCCTGTGGGCTGGGCCGCTGTAGTCTACTGACCGAGGCTGACCCTCACGTTTGCGCAGTTATGCAACTTTCACGCCTCGCATTCACAAAGTGTGTTACATATCCACAGCCAACTTCACCGTCGCACGCATTTTGTAACACAGCGCAATACACAAGAGAAGCTCTACTAACCTCACAGCAAGCGATCCTCTCCTGGTCTCCGTTAAAGAAAAGCTTTGCTGCTCTTCAAGGTTGGATAACTAGCACAGATATGGAACAGAAGCCGTCGGTCCTGCGCCGCCCTGATAGACTGCTTTCCGCCGCTCTGGTTTCCTCACTCACCGGGACTCTGCCCTGGATCTCCAGTGCAGGCTGTGACCTCATTTCGGGCTCCTCCCCCCTGCTCTACGCCCATTGGCCCTGGGAGCTGTCCCTCTCGACGTCACTCTGCTGCAAGCCAATCAGCCGTGCCCGCCCCCACGAGGGCGTTTCCAGCGACTGCCGCACCGCGCTGCGATTGGCCCAGCGCGCTGTCAGTTCTTTTACATAAGTATGTCAAAGCTTTCACGTGGAAACCCACGGCTGCTGCCGGCGTGAGAGAGGCGAGAGCAAATCACTACGACGCAGCTGCCGGTGAATGAAGCCGCGGAGATGGTTGGCTCGCAGCGGCTCAGCACGGCCGAGTGTTATCTAAACGGTTATACAAGGGTGTGTGTGTGGCCAATGTGGGTGAACTGCTGGCTGCGCAGTGACTGGGCACGTAAGAATGAAAGTTCCTTGACTCTCCCAAAAAATGTGATATAATTCAAGGTGTCTTTGATCGGGGGAGTTATCTAATTTGCAGCCATACTTATGTAAAGTGCAGTTATGTTGTCGCAGCGTTTTATTTACAGTTGGAGAGCATATATTGTAATAATAAAGCACGATGCACTAAAGTGAGGATGCTTTTGATTGTGGTGCAATGACATATATATCAAATCAAATCAAGTTTATCGTCATTTTGCTGTACATGCACAGTAGCAAAGGCAAGATGAGACAGCGTTTCTTCAGGATCCAAAAACTTAAAGCAATATATATTATATTATATTATATTATATTATATTATATTATATTATATTATTTATATTTACATTTATCACCTAGGTTCATACAAAATACAATAAGCAGAAAACACCTAAATTCAAACAATATTTTAATGTCAATGCCATTTGTCTTTGGTACAGTTACACAAGTTTTACTCTGTTTGGCTGTTGGGTTCTTTCATCATCAGTTCTGTCTATTTATATAATCCCATATGACTGTATCATATTGAGATCATGGCTCTGTGCAGGTCACACTATCTCTTGCAGAACTCTGTCTTGCTTGTGGCTGAAGATAGTTCTTTACGACTCTGCTTTATTTTGGGGGTCACTGTCACACTGTGCACCACCTGATGGTACTGTGATGGACAAAGGTTTGGAGCAGAAGGTACAAAACAGACTGTACTTTCATAAAATGCTCCTTGATGTTCAGTGGCGACCGCTTTATTTGCACAGCTGTAGGGGATGTTTCTGAATTATGTCCTTCTGAGGAGTCACTCAGAAGTCAAACTGTCCCCCTAGTGGCTGCATTTAGATCCATCTTGTGCTCAAATCACAAGACATGAATTTATCTCTTGCTTTTTGGTAAGTGGTACCAACACCTTTTACCCCAATTACACAGTTTGGAATTTATCAGTCTGACATATTTCTAGTCAACAAATGTTGTGGTTGAGTGTATACTCGCACTGTGATGTGATTTCTTTCTGTATTGTCTTTGTAATACCGTATTAAATGCTACCTGAGGACCACTGCCAAGTCTGCAATGTGTAGCGATGGAGTAGCTGCTGCAGCAAGCATTTTTGTTGTTGTTATTCTGATTGTGACTAAGCACTCTGTGTTTACTCAGCTAAAACCAGGGCAATTTTTCACAGAGCCACTTCCCACATTCTCATTTTGGGGGCCTGTTGACTCACTGTGGGCCTTTTGTTTTTACTGTCTTTGTAGGTCGACACCTCCAATGCAATGAATTTCAGCCCTGTGGTTGATAGTGAGAGCTCAAAATAGAGCAAACAGTAGGTTTAATTGATTTTATCAGTATGTTTTTCTTGGTTTTGTTCACATTTCCATATAAACAATGCATAACTGTCTAGAGATAACAGTATTTGGAAGACATACGGGTCTTTGTCTGTATTCATGGGCAGCGACAACAATCTATTTTTCTGCTGATGTGTGAATTTAGATTAGAAGGTGATGAGCAAACATTTGTATACACAGAAACAGTTCTTCATGACGAAGCAAACTAAAGACCGTTCCAGCCAACTTTTAAACCTGTATAATTTAGTGCCAGTTAGAAGCAATTTCAATACATTAAAGTGAAACAATCACTTATCCCATTCAGAGTTGTGAGAAGCTGCAGCTTATCCCAGCTCGGCCTGGACAGGTTACTGGTCTATCACAGGGATAAAACACATGTTACACGAACACAAACAGGCAGTTTGGAGTCTCCCAGTTATTCTGCATTACAGGAGCAGCTGCAGGAAACCCAGACACACACATGCAATGCACCTTTCCACACAGGGAGGTCCTGCGGCTGGGTGGGTGGCTTCAAACCCAGCAGACACTGAACCACCAACATGCAGTGAGACAAAATATTTAAAGTGTTTCTATAGCACCTTTTAAAAATAAAGAAATTAGACTGCACATGTAGTGGTGCCCGTATAAGACACGATAAAGAAAAAAAAGTGGCTTTTTTCAGTCTGTATCCAGCCACACTTGTTTCCATTCCAACACACTAAGAAAGAATAAACAACACACACACTACTGACCTCTGCCTACACATTTATCGAGCTGCTCTGACACCGTCTTGCCATCTGCACTGAGCCGAGACAATTTGCATTAACCGAATGTCAAGGCGAGGTGATTAATGGAAAGCTGTAAGAAATTATCATTCCATAATTATCACAAGCTATTTCTTTTCATCAGTCTGTAAATATGATAATTCCCCATGCTGTTATAAATGGGAAAAAAAGCCAAGGAGAAAGTTGTGACCCTTCATTTACACAGACGGTTTAAAAATGTTTACAATTGGATTGATTAGAGCACAAAAGTCCAAATCAAACAACATACTGTATACATATAAAGTAAAAGTGTATGTAAATGATCAGTCATTTGCAATTTACTTGTTTCCTTCTTTATCGCTTAATCAACAGTAACCATAGTAAATAAGCCCGAAAAACGCTGATTCCGTTATCGTTAAGTTCCTCATTTTCTAGGCCCAGTGCGATCTGTATTTGCCCAGAAAAACAAGTTTGCAGATGAGGAACGGAGCACCAGATGGCAGAGAGAACGAGCCAGTCTCGACTTGTGCTGCGTGCCTTCCTTGTGTTGTGCATCAGGCGACGCCAATGCAAAGAGGAAAGGTGAGAAAGCGGGTGAGCAAGCGCGCCCAACATGTGTAGCCCCCAAAAACAAGACGGATGTACGTATGTCTCTGGTGCTATAACCCGTGTCTGCTTCCACGTTTATGTACGGCAAATATGGAGACGGATTGAGTCGTGTTTGAAAATATAGAGTGTGTATACAGAGGAAGGTGTGCAGACAGGCATATGGATGTATAAATGTATATTGATTTGCCTCTTAGGATGGGCTCATTGGAAGCATCTCCATTTAATACATACTGTATACACTACTGCTACTAAAGTAAAATATTCCTCATTACGATGCGTTTTTTTTAAATTCTTTCGACAAATTCAGGCAAATGAAAGTGAGGTCATGTCAATCGCACAGAGAGGGCATCTGCTAATAGCTACCAGTGAGTCTTTTCTGTGGGTTGTTATTGCTTTCCAAAGTGAAGCACGGTGCTTTTAACAGAAGTCATGACATCTTGCAGAAATACTGCACACACTGATGTATGAGAAAGGCTCATTCTGCGAGCTGAGATACTGTACCGGAATGGAAACGTGCAGAGTGAAGCACGAGTTCTTTTATTTTTCTTTAGCTACTAACACACTAGAACCAGCCCTAAGTGTTTCAAAAAAAATCTACCAACTTAACATAAAATGAATGTTTTCAGTGCTGCAGAGAAGCCTCAAAACCTTAAACCACACTTAATCCATCCCTACGTAACCAGTGACGCACGCATCCTAATATGTCACTGAACTAGGATTAATAATATCCATGTAAACCACGGAGGGGCTGACAAACATGATGAGACATCGTGACGCAACATAAGCATTTCCCTTCTTTGGTGCCTGAAAGTAAAAGTGTGAGAGTGACGCAAATCAGCCCGGCAGTCCGTTATCGAGGCCTCCATGAAAACAAGGGCATCCCCGGTGTGAGTGGGTGGAGCGAGGCAGCTACCATACATGATCATCCTTATCATGTGTGCCTCGCAAGTTGGTCGCACCGAACGCTGTCATGACTGTGGGATTAAAGCGACAAGTAAGACACTGATAAAAGTCTGGAAAACAATGTTCGACACTGACGCTCAGCCTGGAGCTGCATGAGTAATAGGAGTTAAAAGTGTTGTAGCCGAGCCTGCAGGGTACTGAGCCCCACTTTCATGTGTCACAAAATATTTATGAACGACATTGAGCTGGCAGTTTATTAAATACAAAAGTAAATCTCAAACTAATGCAGTCTAACACAGCAATAAATTCTCTCTCCATTAAGGTTGTTTAGTTTTTATTTAAACCGTCTTAGAGAGTGTTTATTCAACTTCAGTGGTCATTTTGGAGGCTGCAGTGTGTGGTGCTGTTGGACTTTACTCCATTGTGAGATGTGTTTCTGGTATTTAGTCAACCATTGTTGGTAAAAATGGGATGGACACAGTGATAGAATCACAGTACAGTTCAGCAGCAGAGACAGCAGCCTTGAAAATGAAAGTTCTATGAATATAATAACCTTCATGAGGAGTGATACGAGACACTGTTGTGTTAGACTGCATCAGTTTTAGTTAGGTGTAACTAATAAACTGCCAACTGAGTGCATGTGCGTAAATCACCACATTCTGCGTGCAATTACAGCGGCGTTATATGGTATTTAATTGTCAAACAAAAGCAGTGTTTAACTTGAAAGCCCACACAAAAGGGCAAACATGCACTAAGGCTGTCAGTCTGTCTATTGTGCTCCTCACCAGGGTGCTACTATTGTGCAAAATTATCCCTAAGTGCTTAATACGGGGCCATATGCAGACACAGCCTGCGTCAAAAATGAATCAGTTCGTTCTTTGGATTGTGGCCTCTCTGCCAGATGTAACTGAAATCTGTTGTTTTTAAGGTGTCCTGCTATTGACCTGAAAAAACAGAGCGAGCACACG